TCTGGCTGTTGTTCTCCTTCTCCCTCTGGCTGTTGTTCTCCTTCTCCCTCTGGCTGTTGTTCTCCTTCTCCCTCTGGCTGTTGTTCTCCTTCTCCATCTGGCTGCTGTTGTCGTCGTCGTTCCCTCGTCCCCATTCCCATCCCCAATTCTCCCTCGTCACCTATCGGCACCGTCATCTTTGGATCATCCCAAACAACTCGAAACACTTCTTCGCCACAGACATCACCATACCACGCCCTCGCATTGTCCAAATCCCCCTCGACACGATGTAAAATCCCATGAACGTACATTGCCTCCGAACAGGTCTTGGGGGTTCCTTGCATGTGTCTCAACAGGAAATGGGCCGACGATAAGTCGTGGTTGAGCATGTGCAAGAGGGATTCAATCACGGGATGGATTTGGAGGGTGGAGATTTGGTGGCGGAGGAGACTTGAGGGTTTGTGGGAAGGGCCGAAAAGGGGGAGGAGGAGGGGGGTGTGTGGGTAGTTGGGGGGGAGGAGGTCGTATTTGAGGGAGTGGTAGGGGGTCTGGGATTGAGATTGAGATTGATGATCAAGATTAGACATGTTGAATCAGATCAATCGCAGTCTGGGGGGTTCAGTTGAACTTTTTGTCGTGTGTGTCTTGTCTGTTGCTGCGCAGCAGGGAGGGGAGTATTGATTTGTACTGGATCTTCTCGATCTGAGTTCGCAAAGGAGAAAAGATTCTTGCTAGATGCTCTTCTCGGGCGAAATATGTCAAGATGAATATCAGACACCAGGGATCAGACCGTCCACGTTGGTGGTGCAGTATATGTTGGAAATATTTTGACTGACGCGAGGTAAGTTAAGTTTGGACGATTCTCAACAATGCAGAAGAGAATAAGGCTGGATGGGAATAACAAGAGGAGGAGACGGGGCTGCAGTGTGCCAAACTAGATTTCAGATATGTCCTTCCTGTGGTATAGTATCGTATCGGCCCGTATCTTTTTCAATATCTTGATCATCATGGACCACTGTTCAGTAGTTCGTTTGTGAAGAAGAAAGTAAAATGAAACAGCGCCGACAGGTCTCGTAGTCGTCGACGTCATGACATGCCATAAGTATGCCATGCAGTGCAGCGGAGAGACGAAGGACTCGCTTGGAGCCCGTGACCCCTTTTCATGACAGCCTTGTCTTGCGCCGCCCCCGCAGTCGTCATCGCCCACGAAGTGATAGTATCGAATTGAGGCTGAGGTACAGAGAGGGCTAGCGGTGGGCAAATCTGGGTCGTTTCTTTCTCGACTTCCGCTCGAGTTTAGGAGTGAATAATGATAGTATGTAGTATATATGTTGAGGATGAAGGAGCGTGAGTGGAGAGAATACAGCATGAGGTTTTGTAGGGGCCCGCCATGGCTGGAGGGTCTGTTCAAGTTGCACTAAATGGCTGGGTGGAGGGCGCCAGAGAGATGATCGACACTGTTGCGTGTTAGTACTACAGTCTATATCCCTGGCATGCCTCCGAGTGCGAAAGGGAGACAAATGCAAGAGACGCAGAACAGCCGATAATAGGGAGTCGTCATTCCCAGCCTCGTGTGATTGAGATGTCCAGCTGAGCAAGGCACGATCACGATTGCACATGCGGCAGTTTAGAAATGCTGGACAACGAGCCTCGTATTGACGTGTCCTTGAGCCGAATTCAATTCCGAGTAACAGGAATCAATCCATTGCCCTCCACACTCACAACCTTGCCCTCGTCTTGTTTCCCTTCAGCTCTGAAATTATAGCTTGCGCTTCCCGTTCCCCAGTCCTGGTCGCTCCCTCCATATACCCTCTCCAAACGGTACTCAGCTCAGTACCGGCGAAGTGGAAGTTGCCCACAGGAGCGCACAAAGCTTCCCAGCCATCGGCCAAAACACCTGGCGGCATCGAAGAGCACGGGCATCCCCAACCAGAGTATTCCTCATGCATCCAGGAAGACTCAAAGGCCTCGACAAACAAGGGCGTCACATCTTGACCGTTGTTGAAGATATCACTGATTTGTTTCAGGATAGATGACTTTCTAGCCTCGACATCCAGCGCCGCCCATTTGCGCCCAAATTGACCGCCTAGGAAACAAGTCAGAGTGTAAATCCCATCATCGGGGAGAGTAGTGTCGCGAAAAACAGAAGCGGGGCCGGTGAACGATTGTGCCAGGCCACAGAGGCCATTGTCCACCCAGAACGGCTTGCTGAAGGTAACGAGATACTTTGTATAAAAGCCGTAGCGGGTGCGATTGACCACGGCGGTCTTGGCCTCAGGTAACGGCGGATCGAATTTGATGGTCTTGTACACCGGCGTCGGGACGGTGATGATGACTTTGCGAGCGTGGTATGTTTGAGCCGAAGATCCTTTCGTCGTCACGGACACGCTACCGTCGGATCTGTTTTGGGAAATGCTGGTTACCGGACTGTTTAGTTTGATAGACCCAGGTCGCAGTCTTTTGGCAATGCCGTCTGCGAATGCTCCAACTCCCTGCCGGATCCGAAGATACTGCCCGCCATGCTTGCCATCGGCGCGCACAGTCATCAGCCCTCCACCCGATGCGCAGTACTCGATGAAGTACAGCGCGGATACTTCGGACGGGTCCACACCGAGCATGGCGTGCGTCCATACCTGGGCGGTGGCGAAGGCTTTTTCAGTCGCTTTGGCCTTGTGCAGAAAAGCCTCGAACGATATGTTGTCGAGTTGCTGTCGATGCGGTCCGGCGGCAAAAATAGACAGGTTTTGTGCTGTGGAGAGCCTGTCGACCTCATCACGAATCGCAAGGCAGGATTCGGTGTCTTCCACTGAAGCAAACTAGATATGGGTTTGCCCTGTCAATCTTATGTCCAGGAAGAGAAAGGAATCGTTAAATTTACCTTGGGCACATCGCCATAAGGGAATTTAACATTACTGCCATCCATGTCTTGCACAACCACGCCCCCTGAGACGTTCTGCACGTACGTCTCTAGCCCCAGCTCCTTGGCCCAAGACCACATCTTGCTTTGGGTGCTGTCGTTGATCCATGCCGCTCCCATGTCGGCCTTTGCTTTCCCGGTTTTTGGGTCGCGCAATGTCAACGTCTTTCCTCCCACGCGATCGCGCGCTTCAAAGACGATATAGCGAAGACCGGCTTCCTGGAGAGTCGTTGCTGCTTGAAGACCCGCCAGGCCGGCCCCGACGATCACCACATCATATGAGGAAGACATGGTTTCAAGTTGTTATGACCGAGTGTCTTCCTTGTGACTCGAATCAATACGCGATACTAGAACCCTGGCTTGACTGTAGGTACGCTCACGGCCTTGACGTCTTGAGCTCGCTGGTGTATACATCCTCGTCAGGGTTTGACCAAGGCAGTTGTCAGGAAATCAAAAACAATGGTGTGTTATCACTGATTGATCTGGCCGTGATCTCTTGCGTGCTGGAGTCGGAGATGGTCGCCGTTCTCCACTTCGGGCATTGGGGATCGATCTGGCCAGCGTTTGACCCCTGTACGTGGTGAAAAGTTTAACCATCCTTCTGGAGCAGGCAGGTGTCTCCGCCCGTTGCTCAGTTCACTGATAAGGCGTAGCAGAGCTGATGCCCCAAGAGCACGCGATGCTGAGTGACATGAGAAGCGGCATTGGCTGACCGGAAGAACTGTAACAGTTGCCAACATGATTGGGAGTCGGGAGCCTCGTCTTCAAGGTCACCCCTGGGGAAACCATCGCCGATCACGTGAGACGTTAGTCAGCCACCGTGCTTACATAACCATGTCTCCATATTCGCGGCCTCACGAGTTCATCTTCTCCTGTTCCCCTGTCTGCTTCTGCCTTCTCCCCGCCATCTGTGTGCATGCATGGCCCTCTTTTATTGACATCTCCATTCGATGCCAGACCCTTACATATCCGGCGCCATGGCCTCGGTTACTGCTAATTTAATTTCTCCCAACCGAAGCCCCAGGGTTGATCGATGTACAACTGGTACCTTCAGCTGCGGAGTACTGCAATCACGATGTCCCCTCTCTGGGCGACATGGTTCATCAGTGTCGCTAGGACCCAGGTACTTGACGAATTCGTTGTGTCGTACGAGTTTACAAGCTTTGCCAATCGCCAAGTGGTTCATGTGCGGTCTACGCTGGCTCAATCCTTACCTAGGTAGACAACCCTGACATCTCTCTCTCATATCAGCCAACTCTGCTATGTTATCTCTGGACCGTCTGAACTGGATAATAACAGACAACCCGCACCGAGGTGGCCCTGAGCAAACACCTCTAGTGCTACAGGAACACGAGCTGCGCTTGACGATAGCGCCTCACCTTTACATTGCGGGAGCGCACGGCCCAAACTGGAATGCCTCCACAAGCTCCATCCGTCTGTAAGATCTTCCAGCATTCGCCTCTTCTAACACTGGCGTTTGCGGTTCCGGTCGAGCCAAGCCAGCCCACTATTCTCAACCTCTGGGAAACTCATAACACCATCATTGTCCTTCTTACCTACTCAGGTAAGGCGACAAGCGAGAATACGCTGCTAGTTCTAGGATATATATAAATCCTTAGACTACGAGCGCTACCGCATGCGGGGTTGGAAGTCAGCAGTACTCCTGATTGCATTGTGACCAGGTTCCTTTCGGAAGAAGGCCCTCGCCTCGGCTGCTATCGCTGAGAAATCCCCTCTCTTCTTAAAAATGCCAATGCAGCATGCCCTTGATCCCCCTTGTCGTCTGATCCTGCCTCTAGCGCGTCATCTCAGGCCCGAGGTTGTGGGAAAGGACCCCGTTCGCTCCCTTATGCACCTGCTTTCGTCTTATATTGCCCATCTCACGATCTTTGTGTAACGTGTCTCTTGTTCAAATCATACAGCTGATACATTACCCAAATACTCATCTACACCATGGGGCGAGAAGATGTCGAATTCAAAACCTCTGATCGAGTCACTCTCAGAGGCTGGTTGTACACCAGCGACCTGTCCTCGGGCAAGTCCCCTTGCCTGGTCATGTCTCATGGCTTCTCCGCCTTGAAAGAGATGGACCTCAATACCTTCGCCGAGTACTTTGTTTCAAAGCTTCCCATCGCCTGTCTGGTCTATGACAACCGTGGGTTCGGCGACAGCGATCATGCTGAAGGCGAGCCCAGGAGTGAAATTGTCCCTATGACCCAATGCAGCGATATTTCCGATGCTATCACATACGCATCAACAAGATCAGAGGTCAATCCTGATAAGATCGGGATCTGGGGTTCGTCCTACAGTGGTGGCCATGTCCTCTACGTCGGTGCCGTCGATAGAAGAGTCAAGGTCGTGCTCAGCCAGGTCCCATGCGTGAGTGGCTGGGACAATTTTGGACGTCTTGTTCGCCCAGACTTTGCGGTTGGCTTCAGTGCCAACTTTGCCGCAGGTACTGAGAAAAGCCATCCTGATTCGATTCGAAAGCTAATCTTGCCATAGATAGAATTGCCCGGGCGGAAGGCAAGGAACCGGGTTATGTGCCCGTTGTTGACGCCGATCCTTTGAAACCATCAGCCTTACCAACCCCCGATAGCTATGAATTCTTTTCCTCGTGGGAGAAAAAATCAAATTGGAAGAATGCCGTAACTCTCAAAACGTTGGTCCACTGTCTTAACCATTAGTCGTTGATGTTAACACTGACCTAAAAACCAGGGTCGAGCTCTTCCGTGCCTATGAGCCACAACAACTAATCGACAAAATCGCCCCCACACCACTCCTGATGACCGTTGCGACCGGTGACGTGCTCACGCCTGCAGACCTGGCTCTTGGTGCATATGCTCGTGCAAAGGAGCCTAAACAGTTGCAATTGTTGCCTTGTGGACACTTTGAGGCATATTCGGGGCCCTACTTTGAAAGGAACGCCGGCACACAGGCGGAATTCTTGAGGAAGTGGTTGGTAGAGAGTTGAGCTAGGCAAATAGCTAAGGCGACTGTGTTCATTCGTGTCGCGGCATGTTTTATCAAAGCTTTTATCCTGCTGTGACGTTGCGCCGTGAGGGCTATTGATATGCTGGGATGTGAGGCATGATACAACTGCCTTATAGCATTTAATCCTCAACCTCGGTAGTGGGCAAGATAGGCTGCAAGGAGACTGTTAAGAAGTAATTCAATTATGCTGACTGACCATGATTGATGTCTTGTAGTAATTCTATTCGCCAATCGTGGTTCAGATGGCAGCGGGACCAGGCGTGAAAATGTGTCAATTCGTACCTGCTTAAAAGTTCAGCCTCGTTCAGCCTCGTTTTTGCGTCACATACCGAGAATAGCATAGTCTGCAGACTCGGGACAACATCAATGCCAGTGGTGTTTTACCATCAGCTAAACTTCTACATTCCATTTCGTTGCCATCTTGATCCGACTATAACCTTTGCACTGCTAGCCAGAGGTTTGATTCATTCGCAGATTGATGTCATAAGGTCACAAGGGAGATTGTACGCGACATGCTGCGTATCAGACAATGGTCGTGGTAATGCGTCAACGGGAACTGGTCGGTAGCGAAGAGCGGCGGTCACAATTGTCTCGAAATGACGAAGACCTAGTCAGGATCAACAGAGACTCTGCGGTTGATCTTGCGCCTTCGACTCCACATACCATCAACCGGCCGGATACCGACAAAAGCAATGCACAACCACAGAGCCGTTCATCAAGCATTTCTGGAAGTCGAACAGCAACCTCTCAACCTGATTGCAAGCCAAATGCTGCTTTGTCTCGTCGAGGCAAGAAGCTGGCAACTGCAAAAGCCGACAAGGACAAGGCCTCGTCAGACGATGACCAACCTCTTATTGACACGACTGCCCAACTCGCATTGCATTCCAAGAAGACGGCCCGCCTACAACGAAGGCAAGAGAAGAAGCAGTCGGCTCGGAAAATACGATCGGAAATCCAATCGATCCTCGACCTCCCGCCAGAAATTTTGTTGCTCATATTGAGTTTTCTACAGCCCAGTGACATATACACATTACTACGTCTGAACCGGTTAATGCGAATCTTCATTCTGGACAACGAAAACGCCATTGCCGACAGCATCATGAGCCGCCGGTACTGGGTACTGCGGCAATGCTTCCCGCTGCCCGTGATGCTGGAAAAGGTGCCGGATATTGCACGTCCGGTACTGCTGAGCCAACAATGGCAGGATCGGTTGCGGATCCACAAAAGCCCTTACCAGCACATCAAGCAGATTGACCCGTCGACAGTTTGCACCTGCATGAGCTGTGTGCTGGCCTGGAACAATCTGTGCATCATCCTCGACCTTGCCCACTGGCAGCCCAACTTTGACAAACGGGAACCACTTCCCATTATCCCGCGTGGTCGAAATCCCGAATGGAATGTTGATCTGCTGGAGAAGAACGCCCAAATCGTCATGAAGGCCATGCATAGTCCTCTGGCTCATGCTCGTATACTCCAAATCCATCTCGACGTGACTACCCGCACGATACTGCGCACGGAGCGGTGGCGGAGAGATGGGAAAGAGAAAGACAAAATCGATCGTCCGAACTCGAGAGACAAGATACTGCCAGTTGAACCGGCCAGACCGCGTCTCTATCGTCTCACGGATGAAGATGTTGCTGCTCAGACAGATGAGTTTCTCGAGCGAAGTGGTCCACCGAGTTACCAGCCTATCTACATGCGTGACAACTACTACAATGTCGAGGCGTTTGTGCCGAATCGCAAGTGGGACAGAGATGAGCACCGTTGGCACTATTACTCCAAGTGGCCAAAGCCTCATGAAAATGACCTTGCCTGGTTGGTGGCGAGGTTTACGCCGAAGACTTGACAAGGGTTACAGCGTACACTTGGAGCACAACTCGGCCTTGGTCCAGTCAAGGGCAGGAACTGCTAGTGGAGCAACGCTTCGGCAAAAACAGCCTGCTACGTCGACGAGAGAGCACCGTCTTTTGCTGGTTGATGCCATCGGCGAACCGTGCAAGGACCCAAAAGCAGCTCTAGCCTGCATGGTGGGTGCGAATCTCTTCGATGAGTCGGCCCTATGTCAATGTAGGTCGGCTATTGCTTGACGAGGTACTGCAATCCGCCATGCTTTGAGGACAAGCGCCGAGCGCAAGTAACGAGCTGAATTGAAGCTCGCCAGGGTTTGATTCAGACGCAAACCCGGCGCCATTCCACACACCACTCCCGTGGGCAGAATGAACAGCCATTCAGGACAAGCCAAATGAAAGGAAAAGCCGCAGTAATCAACCAACATGACAGAATCTGCCATAACGTGAAGTGGATACAAGCGCAGAGACATGTGGTGCATGGGAGGGAGGAGTCGGCCAACGGTCTCTGGAAATGGTCTTCCCGGTACAGTACCGCTGAACCTACCTACCTGTAGGTAGGTACGTAGTGATAAGACTGGGCGTCTCAGAGGTCCTGATCCCAGCGGAGCCGCTGTACTGTCTCCCACACCACATAGCCACACTAGCAGTCAAGAAGCATCGATGCACGATTGACATCCTCGCGCGTAGCTACGTAATTCTACATTCAGTGAAGAAACGAAGGACGAGGCTCGCGACTCTGCGAAGCAAACATGTCAAACACGGTGTTTATCGATAAGAACCAGAGTAGCAGGTTTGCCGATTGCTCCGCCGGAAAGTTTGTAGTAAAGAAACAATTTTGTTTCGCCGATCCCTGCGCTGCCGCCGCCGCCTGCGCCACAGATTTGAGATTCTACAAGAAAACAAAAGACGAGAACCAGCCATCCATTCTTTCTCTCCCCTCCGCCCTCTATCCTCATCATCGAAGAAGGGCTGTTGCTGTTCTTTCTTCCCCACGACCATCATCACTTTTATCTCTCTCTCGACATGGCTTCAGACGAGATTGTATGGCAGGTGATCAACCAGCAATTCTGCTCGTTCAAACTAAAGTATGCAAACCATGCTCTCTATGTTTTTTTCTCTCGCAGTTGATGAGTGATCGTCCCTTCTATTGATTCTTGCACCGTGCCGTGTGCAAATTTTGCCGTGTAACTACGCGACATGTCACACAAGAAAAAAGTACTCTTCTTTTGATCAAACTCGAGTCTAACAATTTTTTTTCTTGTGTCTAGATTGAACACCAAAGAGCAAAACTTCTGCCGCAACGAATACAACCTGACCGGATTCTGCAATCGACAATCATGCCCGCTAGCCAATTCACGGTATGCGACCGTTCGACCAGACCCCGAAACAGGGGCATTATGTCTGTTCATCAAGTCACCTGAACGGGCACACCTGCCTTCAAAATGGTGGGAAAAGATCCGACTGGCCAACAACTACGAGAAGGCGCTGGCGCAGATCGACGAGAAATTGATTTACTGGCCGAAATTCTACATCCACAAATGCAAGCAGCGGCTGACACGGTTGACGCAAGTGGCGATCCGGCAGCGGCGCCTGGCCAAGGAGGAAGAGAGGCTGGGTGAAAAGCTGGTGCCGAAATTGTCGAGCAAGATTCGCCGGAGGGAGGAGACGCGCGAGAGGAAGGCCGAAAGTGCCGCCAAGGTCGAGAGGGCGATTGAGCGTGAATTGATTGATCGGTTGCGCAGCGGTGCCTATGGTGATCGTCCTATCAATGTCGAGGAGAATGTTTGGAAGAAGGTCCTGCGGGGCCTGGAGAGGGCTGAGAAGGGTGAAGAGGAGCTCGAGGAAGATGATGAGGAGTTGCTCGAGGATGAGGATGAGGCCGAAGCGGAGGTTGAGTATGTTTCGGATCTTGAGGCCAGCGGGGATGAAATGGAGGACTTTGATGATTGGTTCGATGGCGAGAGTGCTGAAGATGACGATGAGACGGGTGCTTCGGAGGAGAGTGAGGATGACGAAGAGGATGATGATGAAGATGAAGAAGGAGATGCTGCTGCTCAAGGCAAGAAGAGGAAACGCGTCGCTCCGCCTGCTAAGCCTCGCAAGAAACAGACCGGTCGGGTCGAGATCGAGTATGAGACCGAGTTACCGCAGAAACAGGCCTTGTTTGCCTAGAGTGGTTGATTCGAGTTACTGCATCGAGAAAGGGCAGGCTGCATATCTATATCGATCTCTTCTGTCCTGCATCTTTGTCAAGTTGAGGTTCAGGCTGAGAAGGGTGTTGGGCCTAGAAAAAGTCAGCAAATCTGCATTTGTGGCGTTCCGAAGCAAGCAATTGTTTATGCAAAAAGAATACAGGTGCCCATGCGCTCCGTCCACTGCTCGTGTTTTCCACTGCCAGAGGATTTCTAGTTGAGTCTGTATGCTGTTCACCCTGAGTGAGAAATACGTAGTACTCTAAGACACAAACGCCATTGACATATCTGAACACCTAGATTGAGTAATTGCGCCCATCAGCACGAGCAGACCAGGCCAGTATAAACACGCCTTTGCCAATATTCGTCGCTCTCTGCGCAATAACAATCCTCGGGGCATTTGAAGTCTCGTAGCAGTATGCAATGGTGAGAATAGGGATGAGCCGGGCGCTGGGACGGGGACTGCAAAAGAACGTGGGGAGGATGGATGACTAAGGAATATTCAATCACGTGGAGACCTTTGGAGGGGCATCGGTGTCCTGTTCCCTGCATTTGTTGAATCGTGGACGCTCAACTCCGCATTCGCAGCGACGCAATTTTTCTGGGTCCGACGCCAATGGAAACATTGTCTTGTGCCAGTGATTTGAGTCCTGTTCATTTGACTCATTCCTTTTCCTTTCTCAAAACCGACTCGAACAGCCGAAAACATCGACAATGGCCTCCATCGTGACCACCCTCCAGTCCAAGCTGGGCTACAACACCAAGAAGGCCCTCCTTCTTGGTGCCGGCTTCGTGACCAAACCCACCGTCCAGATCCTCGCCGACGCTGGCGTCGAAGTCACAGTCGGTAGGTCAATTACAGTCAAACTGAAAGCAGGGACAATGCTGACATGTCACTCTACAGCCTGCCGAACTCTCGAAAGCGCAAAGAAGTTGGCCGAGGGCCTCAAAAACACCCGACCCATCTCTCTTGATGTCACCAACGCCGAAGCCCTTGACGCGGAGATGGAGCGGGCCGATCTGGCCATCAGCTTGATCCCGTACACCTTCCACGCGACGGTCATCAAGTCGGCCATCCGTAAGAAGAAGAATGTCGTCACAACCAGCTATGTCTCCCCGGCCATGCTGGAGTTGGAGGAGCAAGCCAAAGAGGCCGGCATCACGGTCTTGAACGAGATTGGTGTAAGTCTATATAAACACGTTCATGTCAAGAAACACGCGCTGACAAAATCCAACGACTAGCTTGATCCCGGTATCGACCATCTGTATGCCGTCTCCATTATCGAGGAAGTGCACAAGGCCGGAGGAAAGGTCAAGTCATTCCTCTCATACTGCGGAGGTCTTCCGGCTCCCGAGGCCAGCGACAATCCTCTGGGCTACAAATTCTCCTGGTCGAGCCGTGGAGTGTTGCTGGCACTGCGAAACGCAGCCAAATACTACCAAGACGGCGAGATCAAGGAGATTGCCGGCCCTGATCTGATGAACAGCGCCAAACCATACTTCATCTACCCTGGCTTCGCCTTCGTCGCCTACCCCAACCGTGACTCGACCCCATACCGGGAACGGTACAACATCCCCGAAGCACAGACGGTGATTCGCGGAACCCTGAGATACCAGGGATTCCCGGAGTTCGTCAAGGTGTTGGTTGACATTGGCTTCTTGTCCGATGAAGAAAAGGACTTCTTGAAGCCATCGGACAAACCCCTGACGTGGAAGGAAGCCACCCAAAAGATCATTGGCGCCACCAGCTCCACGGAACTCGATCTCTCGTGGGCCATCAGCTCGCGGACAAAGTTCAACGACACGGCCGAGAAGAAGCGGATTATCTCTGGTCTGAAATGGTTGGGTTTGTTTTCTGACAAGCCCATCACCCCGCGTGGCAACCCCTTGGACACCCTGTGCGCCACGCTTGAGGAGAAGATGCAGTACGAAAAGGACGAGCGTGATATGGTCATGCTGCAGCACAAGTTTGAAATTGAGCATAAGGACGGCACAACTGAAACTCGCACCAGCACCCTCTGCGATTATGGTGACCCTAACGGGTATAGTTCCATGGCCAAGCTGGTCGGTGTGCCCTGCGCTGTGGCCTGTTTGATGGTCTTGGACGGCCGTATCAATAAGAAGGGCATTTTGGCTCCTGTCACTTGGGATATCGTCGAGCCCCTGCAAAAGGAGTTGAAGGACAAGTATGGCATCTTCTTGAAGGAGAAGACTATCGAGTAGGAAAGAAAACAGGTAGATACTGTCAAAATCAAAATAGACTGGGCTAAAGAGTCATAGGACATCGGTCATGACTGTTGGTCATTGACATATGGACTTGGTTTTACAGTTTTTCCTTTTGGTCTATTGTACAGATGTATCTAAAACAGGCCTAAAGAAGATCAGAATGTCTGATCCTGTTTTTGTTTCTGGTTCTACACGGTCCTCCTGGAGTCAAGGACTTGGTCGCAATTCGACAAGAGTATCTGGAACAGCAAGATCGATACCCAAGCAGGGATGCAATGATATAGACATGTCATACCAGTGATCTGCAACTTGAATGATAGCAAGGAGTAAGACAACCAGACAACCTTCCCTTCACTCTATTCCGGCATCCTTTGTCCTCTTGGCGACGGTTGGATTGGGTTGGATTGGATTGAATCAGCCTGCAGTGGACTGGGTCGGGTTGTGTTGGCTTGATTTATGATCTGATCTGGCATTGAGGTGGGCAGTGCAATCTTCCTCACAACTTGAACGGCGAGGGCCCAAGCGTACCTACAGGTAAGTAGGTAGGTGGTAAGGTTCTGTAAAGATAAGTGTAAGTACAAGGGCACCTAGGTAGGTAGTACCAGCTAGTAGGTACAGTAGTAGTAGGAGGTAGTAGTCTTCCAAGCTCGATCGATCGCCACTCTTTTAGCATCCATACATCAGATACCTGGTAGGTAGGTATCATTCCAATCATCGCCCGTGCCGTGCCGGTGCCCTTACGGTGCAGGTCGGTAAGGATGTAGGTATGTAGGTAGGGACTCAATAGTAGCCCAGGGGGTAGTGCCCTACCAGTATATAGTAGGTGTTTCAGCCGTGTTGTGTAACCTGTTGTCGTTGTCGTTGTCGTTGTTGTTGTCCTTCTTTGTTTCTGGAACCGGTGGCGTACCGTATTGTACCGTCGCGGCCGCCGAGTTCAGCTTCAGGCTGAGTGTGAGCTGACATTCAGTTTCAGTCTCAGTTGCAGATGGATGTGCACGTTCACATCCACGGTTAGTAATTGGACTCTGACTCCTCGTCCTGGTGTGCTGTGCATGACTCGAATCGACCTCATCTTCCTCGATGAGAACGACAGCGAAAGGTTCGAAACCAAAGGGAACAAGGCTCTTTCAAGGTGCTTGCTCATTCTCCCGAGCTCATCTCCCATCATCTTCCGGGGCCACCATCACCGTCATAATCCTCACGTTTCCCATCATAATCCTCATGCCCATGATTTCCACCATCATATTCCCCTTGTGATTGTTCCTCCTCCTCTAATCTCCGATACTTCCTCCTCTTCTTCTTATCCGCCGATTTCTTCCTCTTACTCTTCCTCTCCTCAACCTTCTTCGCCCTACTCTCATCCCCTTTTTGGAGTAACTCAACTTTTTCCGCTAACAACCGTTTCGCAATCTCATGGTTCTGAGCCCGACTCCGCGTCGCTTGACATTTTACCACGATCCCAGTAGGCAGGTGGGTCAGTTGCGCCGCGGAATTCGTCTTGTTGATCTTTTGGCCGCCTGGCCCCGTGCCTTTGAGGTAGACGTGGTGGATTTCGGAGTCGGGTAGGGTTGGACGGGGGGGAAGTTGTTTGGCTTTGCGTTTTTCTTTGGTTGTCGATTTGTGCTTGGACTTGTCGTTGGTGGTGTTGCTGGGGATGCTGTTGTCGGCGGCCGCGACAACGTCGTCGGAGTTGGACGTGGACTTGGAGTCGTTCTCGGATAGCGGTGGCTTTTCGTGGTTCAAGTTTGTAGACGCGGATGTCGACTCGGATTCCGTAGCTGTTGTGGGTGCGGTTGCGGTCATCATCGTCGCATTTGTGCTATAACACTGAAATAATGACGAGTTCTGGAGCCAACTCTTTTGGTCTGTTGTCCTTATCCACCACAACGCCGACCATAGGGGACGATGCGAGTGAACGCTACTGTAGATTCCCCGGGTCGTCGTTGCGCTGGCACTCGCAATCGACCTCGGATTCGAACTCGACCTCGACGTCCTCGTCAATGATGATGTAGATATAGTCCTGCTGCGCCGGCACTGGCTGCGCATTAACATCATGTCGAGCCTCTGTATTTGGGTCGTGATAGACCGGTGCCATGAGTGTCCCGCCATGCCAATGGACGGATCCGATGCATACTACTCCTGTTGGTTTGTTACATGCCAGGCAGGAATCGGATCAAAGATAACCTTTGTCTGAAGACCACTGCAGGGCTTCGCGATAACTTCACATCACAGCGTTGCAGTTCAAATTGCGGGATCTTGAGTCAGGTACGTTGTAAACTGCCTCCCTCAGTTCCGCCAATCAAATTCCAAAGAAGGGCAGGTTAGCCGCAAAGCCTTGCCGTAAGCCATGGGACAAGGCTGGGACAAGGCTGGCTCAACCGCATTATGGTCCATACCACTACTAGTACTCCAGTACCACTGCGAGTTCAGGGCGTCCTTTACAAGTGCGAGTGGTATACAACCGACATATACTACCTACCTAGTACATTCTAACTCGACTGTGCACGTAATAGTAGACTGGGGATCAATTTATGGTCCACTGGCATATCCTAGCGTTGCAAAACTTCCAAGTCTGGGCTTCTACTTTCATCTATCGCCAAATGCAGTGTGTACCAGGTACATGACTTTTGATTGTTCTGTTCGCGTCTCACACTCTCACTTCCGGCTGGTTCATCCTCTCTGCCATAATATCACCTCCCCTGGTTCAACTACAAAGTCATGTAAGCGCTCAGAACCTTCTTGGCATCCGGACTTAAAGCCTCATTGACGACCTTTCCTATTCTCCCACCATGTCTCTGATCAGCCGATTTGAGATACTGGCCCACCCATTTTCTCAGATCAACAATATCGGCAAAGGGATCACTGATCGGCCGTCGAACCGTATTGAGTTGAGTGAAACCGACGCCAAAACTGCTGTCTTCGACGTCCAACTCGGCAATCATGTCATCAGCTTTTGGCGGTAGAGGAGGATCTTCCAAAAGTTTCAACAGTGCATTACATGTCAAGGGCCATCCTTTCGGGTATCGGTCGACAAACGCCTGCGAATCCGCCAGCGTCTTGGTCAAGGAAATCGCGGCAATCTTTCGGTCCAGCGGCCGGGCGAGTTCTTGTGTCTTTGGCAAGATGATGCTCAAGTAAAGTTGGCGGAACACATCATGCTGAACACGGTCCGTGGCTGCAACGAAGAAATCCGCTCCAAGCCCCTTGTCGTCGCGCGACGACACAAAGTGGTAGAACCGCACAAATCGCAACTGGAACGCTTGAGACTGTTTCCCTTGCAGACGCGTAAGCATGATGTTCAGGAGATGCACCCAATACTGTTCTAATGCCGAAGGCGGCAGGGTGGAGATGACCGTCTCCAAAAGATCAAACCCATAACCCTCATAGATCTTGGTTGACACCAGCTTCTGAAAGATTCCGAGAACTGCTTCAACTTGGTTGGCCGCGATCAGTTCATCGGCGGCTCGGGGGATAATGGCAGACAACAGTCGGACCAAGGCAGGGATATTGCCGCGCTGTTCCCACAAGGTCGGACCGAGGATGGGGGCGATCAGCGGTCTGTACTGTGCCGGCAAAGGTTTGCTGGGCTCGGCCTCGAGAAGAGCGGCCATCAGCTGGAAAACATATGGCACAAACTCCTCGACATTATTGGCCAAAATGGCCGCAAACGGAGTGAACAAATGAGCGCCAAGTGCTTCTGACTGTGCCGTCGGTGTAAACCTGATCAAGGCTCCTAGACTCTCAAAGTGGTAGTAGTAGAATTTGGGATTGCTGGGGTTGGCGGATATGATCGTGGTGATGGTGGTCAAATGCTGGAGCACGCTCTCGGCCACGGTTGAGATGCCGTCTTTGATGACAATCAATACTCTCATGATACAGCGCATGACGAACTCGTTTTCTTGCACCTTCTGTGGTGCTTGGTCTTTCTCCACCAGGCTGAAGAGATGTTCAAGGAGACTGCTTGCCAGGGGTTTGATATGATCAGGGTCGATGACCGGTTTTCCAGTTTCGTCGGTCATGGCCAGTACTCGTTCCACCGCGACGGCTGCATAGGTGTAAACACAAAAGTTCGAATCTCCCAACAGGTTCACCAGTAACGGCATGACCTGCTGCCATTGCTCCTTCGTGATGATACTCCGGAATACGTAGAGGTATTTGATCGCATCCACCTTGATCAGCGGCTGGGCATTTTGGTCCTGCAAATCACTTGCGAGGTTCTTTGAGAAGAAATCGCCAATGTCGACGAGGGGGTTCGTCTTGGTCACTCCATGCGTCGATGTTGTAGCACCTTTGGCAGCAATGGCATGGAACAAGCTCACTGCCGTATCTTTGGCCCTCCAGTTCTCCTGCGGGTTACCAGCAAAGTCCTGCACGCATTTCTGTACATATGTCATGGCGACTCCGGTCACGGACTGTTCGAACTGATCGCTCAATTGGCGCAAAAAGTCCCCCGCTGCCCTCCGACGTGTCTCGCTGTCCGAGCCCTCGAGATCTCGACGGATAAATTCAATGGGTTCATCCTCAAACATCTCGATATCGGAATCTCGCAGAGCCACGTTCGGAAGGATGACCTTCTCGATGATCTGGGTCTGGATGTTGGGATTGTTGAACGTTTGCGCTTGTTCGTTGATTCCGGCAACCTGGGTCAGGAAGTGGAGAGCTTTGCTGACAAGGATGTCGTTTCTGGGCTCCGGCCCAATGGTTGTCAGAAGATTCCAAGAGCTCTCCACAAAACTTGGGACATGTTTGGAGAAATCATCGTAATATTTGGCAATATAGAGGGATAGTGCCTCGAAAATGTTGGCCTTGGTATTTTCCAACGGGCCGGCCTCGGATTCATCGTCGGTTTGCAGAAGAGGGTTGTTGTACACCAGATACTTCAAGAGCAGGCCCGAAATGCCTGCCAGGTTGTCTTCAAAGACCGGTGACAGATCCTGGCAGGATAAATCATAAAAGAGCAGAAGGACAAGGTCGAGTTCTGCAAAAGCATTCCGAAGTGCCTCCTTATCATTGCTATGGCTCTCAATGTAGGCATCCAAACTCTGCCACAGCGTGAGAAAGGGCTGGGCAAATTTTGTAAGGACATGATTGATCTCGGTGAACAATTCATCGGATCGAAACAACGGCCGCCACCGTGCAAAGATGGAATGGGCGACTTGGAGTACTCCTGCATTGACCACTGGATCATCTGGTTTCAACCGAGACACCAGATCATCAACCAACGTATCCCAGCGCTCCCAGAAGTCACTGTCTGCGATGACACTGATCGCTTCGCCCAGTTGAGTCTGAATGCCCCGAGGCACAGATATCATGAGTCCCACGATCTCGGTTTTGATTGCGTTGACATCTTGCTGCGGTAGCTTGTACTCGCCCTCCACATTGGTCCAGTTGCGTTTGATGAAGTTCTTGAAGAATAGGGCAGCCGCAAGCCGCGTGTTGTATTTGAACTGGTCCGAGGCTGTGATTTGGAGGAGAGAGAGTGCGAAGCCCGGTTTCTTTTCTTCCGCACGGATCTTGAGTTCAGCTAGAAGGAATGTTAATCAGTGATCGGCAGCAGGAGAACAAAGTATTTCCCTACCTTCTTTATTTTGACGCGGATCGAGACTGGCGTCAAGTAACTGAGCCAGAGGCTGCAAGTTAGCCATGGTGAGGATGATCGACAATCAGGACAAAGGGCGGCTGGTTGAGTGGAGGATTCTAGCGCATGATTCTGACCAACAACGGATGCGCTCGCAGTATGTGGTGATGGGTTACGGGAGCTGAGAGGGCGTGAAAGGTGCTGTTCGAAATATCTGTGGCACGTAGACCAGATTTGTACACACGCAGAAGAACGGAGCGGAGGAATTCGATCTGAGAGATTGTTTACTTGGACTGTTTGTGAATAGTGGCAGCAACTGGAACTTCGAGTTGTTTGCTGGTGGAGGCGGCAGAATTGTTCTCTGACCGCCTTGAAAACTACGTCCGCAATCGCCTGCTGTTCCGAAATGTTTGCTGACTACCGGTACGGCGGAGTAAATGACAGCACTGTTGTACAAGAACGGGGCATCATCACGTGACACAATATCATGTGACTGTTCTTCGGCTGCCAGTGGGACGGAAACGAAAAGCCGAAGCACGTGAAGCAGTGCCAGAATGAAGTCATTATGAAGTGCAGACTCTGCACTGTGTTTCTCCTTATCGCTGTCCACAGATGTGCAGTGGGTGTGGCTGATGAACCCGTTGACAGCGGTAATACTAGTAGTGGCAAGATCTTCTCTACAAGCCTCACGCGCAGCCGCGTCCCAAGTTGTCCAACAACTCAGATTGATTTTGTCTTCTGCTGCTGCCGATCTGGCCACTGCAATTCACTGTATCCTGACTTGCCATTTATCGCCGATAACGTCGACATCTTCTGCCTTTTCTCTCTGTCATTGTGCTGGTTTCGAGTCCCGTCTCTGTCAAACAATGCCGCTCTTGTCATCCTCCGATATCGAACTTCGAAGGGATTGTTAGCGTTATCGCAAGGAAGCATCTGAGGCCCCAACCTGATAGAAAACGTCCCTTATCGCTGGTCGCTTGATCCGACGTCCAGACCCTGCTCAGCCTGAACCTATCAACCTGAAAATTTTCTGCCTCATCTAGCCGATGATCAGCGGCTGCAACGTCTGGTTCTACTACGACTCTTCTTGAGATCTTCTGTCTTGGTAAGTCTGACCCCACTTGCCTAATTCCTTGCTTGGAGTGGTGATACTGCGAGAGTGAACTGGTCTTTGAGCGTACATTTAAAAACGTCCAGCACACTCGAGGTTATATTAAACATTTGTTGGTTCAATTTGGCCGCAGCCTTGTATCATCAGCTGTGGTCTTTGAACATTCCTGCCGTATGAGTGGGAAACTTTTGCCCTTGTGGGCAGCTCAATTACTATATTTTTCAACGCGCCTTGGGCGATTTTCCACCTGCTGACAATGATCTGGGCAGAAGCGAGACCTGGTCGTATGTCGACTGGAAATGATCCATCCCAACAGAGGCCGTCCAACATTCATCCCGATAGAGAGGCCCGAAGGTTATCCCTGTGGCATATACCAGTGTTGGCCCAGAATTCTCGAAATATAGACAATGCTTCTCAATTTGATCGAAACCCCGAGAAATTGCCCCAGGACGAATCCCCAGTGGATTTAAGCAGCGTCCTGTATGAAGGACGTTTGCTCGGCGACTCACCCGAGGAAGCACGTTCATGGCTTCTCAGTTTCGGGAATTTCAAGTCTGGAACGGATGTATCACTTAGATTGCTCGACATCCATAAAGATGATCAGGGCCGTCCGCTTCCTGAGTCTTTATTGTCTCTGCTGATCCAGTGGGTCCCTCTCTGGTCCAAGCGAGCAGACAAGGCAAGGAAGGAAACCAAAAACTCAAGGTCTGGGGTTGCTGTCAAGGAACAGAAGCACTTGCACTGGTTACTCGAGTACGTCTCCGATTATCTCGAGTCGAGTAATGTGGGCTTCGATCCGCTCGAGCTGTCTCGTACAGTAGCCTGCGTCACAACCCTATGTCTGAATGCGAGCCGAGAAGAAGACATCGACGCTGGTGTCAACGTCCTTTACACAATCTTGACGCATTTTGATTATCCAAGGGAAGGACTTGACGAAACACTTGTGGTGTTATGCGCCTCCGCCGCCAACTTATCCAAGCTTCCAAAGCACCTATTCGATTGCTCACGGATTCTCGCCTCTGGATATTTACATAAAGAGGCCATGGAAGCACTCTATTCTTTCTTGCAAACACCCACCCACGAGAATGGCAGCAAAAATCTGTCACATGCCAGAGGTGCTACTCACCATCTCCGAGCTCTTGTTGATGAGCGGCGTGACGACGGCGAGTTTATTCTGGATTTGACAGAGTTTCTTACCCAGCTACATTCCGCCGCCGGGCACGGGGTATTCCGCCTATGCTATGACATTCTCAGCCTTTTGCACGCTGCCATTTCCAGTGAGCAGCGCAGGCCCGAGGTGTCTGCGCTCGATTTCAGCATCATTATCAACATCATCCGTCTTTGCCTGGAAATGACACCATCAGGCTATCCCGCCGCCAATACCGCCAAGACCTCTCTGTCCCCGACTCCAAGTCCGGAAGAGGAGCTGCAACGCCATTACGAGAAACGTCTGCGAGACAGAGAGACGATGGTCAGGAAGCTGGGTGAAGATATCTGGCAGGTTTGGGATGAGCTCCCTGCCGGAAGTCGGGACTCTGTCCATGAATTCTTCCTGGACTTCCCCCAGTATGCAGACTCTGATTTATTGTCGCTCACACTGGATTACGCGAAGCACAAGTACCTAACTCCACAGGACAGCAGCGTTGCTGATTGTCATGCTGCGGAAATCTTCGTGCGGATACTACAAGACGAGTCCCTGTCGGCGGGGAGTCGTAGTAAGGCTATTGAGATGCTCGTTCAGCTGAAGGACCAACCTTTTGCACCAGCGTCAACAACCGGCCCACAAATTAACGGTAGCTACGTCTGGATATTTGGGAAACTTTTGGACCAAATCGAGATTGAGCGGAATCCTAAGGTGCTCAACGCTCTGCTCAACTTTATCCAAACCCTGCTATCCGACTATTGGGAGGCTGCAAAACACGAGGAACTGGTTATACGCACAATCGAGGAAACTCGTCGGCTGATTCTCGCCGGCCACGGAGCATCTCCCTGTAACGAAGACGTCGCTGTAACCGGTACCAAGGTTTTGGCGAATCTGTTCAGCTACAGCATTCATACTAGCACCAAACCCGCTATCAGGGCATTCGAAGTATTGCTCGAAATTGCAAGCTCCCAGTGTAGGTTCCGTCCGGCTAGGTTGGTCGCAAAGCGGCTCCTTTTCCGCATCAGAGCAGATGATGGTGGCTTTATCTACATTGTTCAGACGAGTGAGAGCCAACAGATTGCAAGTGCTCTCTTACGCACCCGGGAATCTGTTGAGATCTTCAATACCGACATACCTTCTATGCAGCGACATTCAGCGAGCAGCACAAGTCTTTCAACAAAGTCGGACATTGCTGATCCATTGTGGATGTACCCAGACACTGAGGATGCGGTCTTCCCCCTTGCCGGGCAGCCCTCAACGATCCTCAATGTTGACGAATCTTCGGCTCCGCAGGCGGTGGCTGAGCTCGACATGGACACCTGGCTCATGAGTATCATACGATGTCTGCAAGCCGACACTGATTGGGAGACTTACAGTTATACCGTGGTTCACGCGGCGGCACAAATCAACAATATCTCCTTGTTCCTGAATTCCATGGAAGCCGTTGTGAAGCTGCGTCAAATCCTTTGCGATCAGATTGTCAACAACTCGTTTCGAGAAGCTCCTGCCCACACTGGACTCAAGCGTTCAGATGTTGCGATTTGCATGTTCAACTTTCTCATTGGCTTCATTCCCTACGCCACCATCAAGACCGAAGCGGTCCAAAAGGGTTTTGGGGATGACCTAGTCAGAGCACTACTGGTTGGGATTGGCGGATTATGGGAGGGTACATCTCGTCCCTGTATTCACGCATTGTCCGTTTGCAGCCTTGAGATACCAGCATCTGTTGCCACATTGTACCCTACCATCATTGACAAAATGTCGAAGAACATGACCCAAACTCACCTGACCGCCCACATCCTGGAGTTTTTGATTCAGGTGTCACTTTTGCCGGAGATGCATTCAAATCTCAACCCGGACGAGATCCAGATGATATTCGGAATGTGTATACAGTTTCTCGAAAAGACGCGAGAACAACAACACGCATCCCTTTCTTCGCCACCTGGGAGGATACATCCAGTCTCGCGGCATAGTGGGCTGAATTTCCGACGACCGCCATATCGAGCATCCATGCTTACAGACATTGGGCTCCCTCAGTACTCTGCTTGTCAGGCCTACCACAATATGATCTTCTGGTTTCTTTCACTTCGTCTTGAAATCAGGGCAAAGTATGTTCCATGGATCGTACCTAGACTGGTTTGGAAGAACGTCCGCGGAGAAGAGACGATCGACGAACAGAGTGAAGTGCTTATCGATATGATGCAACGATCTGCATTCTCGGACCTTGGAGAGACATCTCCAGATCCGAACTTTGCCGGGCCTGAAGATGGCCCCGTGAATTCGGCTTCGTGGATTGTAGGCCTCAGTGTCATCACTGCCGAGACTGCAGGCCATTCAGGGAAGACTCAGATCATCAAACGGCAGGCGTCTGGTACGACTTATGCGCGATACCAGCAGATGACAGCGCCGCTGCCCTCCCATCATGCACCGAGCCATACGGAGATACGCCATGAAGAAACAACGACGATCGAAGTGCTGCCCCCACACATTCTGCTCCAGATGGTGGCCAGTGCAGCTCCAACGGGTGTCGCTGAACAACCACTACTGTTGCCAAAGGAGGACTATGTGACCAGGGCATTAGAGAGCATTGATCGAATACCAACCGTTTCCAGCCACAAAATCGGTGTGCTCTATATCGGCGAGGGACAGTCCGATGAGTCTGATTACCTCGCTAACACTGAAGGTTCCCGCGATTTTGAGCGGCTCTTGGACGGCCTTGGCTATGCAGTATCGTTGAAACCACCGATACAGTTCAATCCGCAAGGGTTGGAGTATCCTCGAGATGGGGAAAAGACGATCGCCTGGCGAGACCGGGTGTCGGAGATTGTCTATCTTGTTCCAACAATGATGCCCACAGATCAAGAGGATGATCCTCAGTGTATAATGAAGAAGGCCCACGTTGGGAACTGCCATGTGAACATCATCTTCAACAGGTCAGGGAAAGTGTGGACAATGGACAATTTCAAGTCTCAACTGAACTACGTCAATATTGTCATCACACCAGCCGGACAGAAAAGGACGACGCCAGATCCTGATTATATGCCGGGCTTCTATACGGTTCAGGTCGTCACACGGGACGACCTGCCTAATATATCCCCGGCTGCAGACCCCAAAACGATCTCGGCCGCTCAACTGGCTGCTTTTGTTCGGGTGTTGGCATTGAATACGGACATGTTCTGTCAGACCTGGAACACCAAGGATAACGATACGGAGTTCCCCAGCACATGGCGGGCCCGGCTGCAGCAGATAAAGAGGTTGAAGGAGCGGGTGGCAACCAGGTCTATGGACAGGCGGCCTTCAAGTCTTCCCTTTCTCTCTGGTGCTAGTTCGGCGCCGGGTGCAGGGGGTGGCAGGAGGACTCCCGCGTCCCGAGAGGAAGAAGTTGGTCCTCGAAAGGACGGAGCTTTAGCGATGCAGCTGGACTTTAGTTCATGGACTGTTCAAAGGGAAACATGAGGTCTGGTCATGCAGGATCACTTGCGCCAGAAATGGAAAACGGAAAATGGATAGCATGGAGCTGAGTACGGGGAGGGTAAAAGCAGTCTTTTTCTGGGTCGGTTGTATCTTGCAAAAGTCGGTTAATCAATAATACCATGCTCATCAGTCTCTAAACCCTGACACCGCACTGATGAGTCTTGAAGTACAATGTTTTGTTCTGTAGCTTGACGAGTCTGGACTGCAAAGATGACGAGGCTGAGGCCAGAGTCGCTTACATAAGCGACCGGGTGCATCAGCCTGAGCCTCACTGGCAGGTGGCCTAGGGAGCAGTACTACATTGTAGTAGTGCATCTGGTGCATGTGGTGCCCCTCGCTATACGACTGCGATCCGTCTGTCGGCGGCCTGAGCCACGGGACGGGACAATCTGCCTTGTACGTCACCAACCTTGACGGCGCCGCGAAAGCACTGGCAGTGGTAGCAACTTGAACCACTGCACATGCTGTACACCACCATACCTAGGTAATGAGCGTGTAGTCAGTCACCCTCCGCCTGCAACACCAGGCATCAGCAATTCCAAGGTTTACAGTTCAATTGCGCGTCATCCGCCACTCCAATCCCCCAGGCCCCTACATCAACCCATCTTATCCTGTGCATACGCTTCTCCGGACCACCGGCTACAGTACGAGCATGGCATGCTGAGCACTTCGAACCGCAGCCTCCAAGACAACAACCGCGATCATGACTACTCAACCATCGTCGTCCAAACCAGACGCACCCTCTCCATCGGCGTCCTTCTATGACCTCTCGGACGATGAAGAAGGGGAATACAATACAATTACACATGCCTCCACCACAAGAGGGGTCAAGTTGCTCTACTCCAAGAGCAAGGTCTATGTCCATCCCACACCGTCTGCCAAAGACAACATTCCAGGCTTTATTGCCCTTGTCCAGCAGAAATCGTCGCCTCTAGCCTCAGACGACCGACCCCATTCCTCAGACTCTTCTAACAAAAAGGCCAACGCCTCCAACTACCTTCTTGCTTGGGTTCCTGAAGCCTCCCTGAGCGAGGACGAACTCAGCACATATGTCAAAGTGGACTTGAAAGACGGCGAATCTCCCCCGAAGCAGACTTACCTTGTGCCTCCGCCGCCCCTTGCGGCATCCTTCGACGAGTCCCCGGTCGGCCCATACGCATTTTCCCTTCCTCTGTCTAGCATTTATTCGATACATATCCGACCACCGAGCCTGGGTTGGTGGTACGGCAGCATAGTCATCAATACACGCGCAGGGACAAGCCTTCCCGCCCTATTCTTCCACGATTCCGAGTGCGAGAGCACCATTCTACAAAAGAAGAAACGAGCCCGAGAATCCTTTGACCCGTTTGGTGAAAGCGGAGATTTGTTCTGGGGTGGAGACGAGGTTCTGCGGTGGCTCAAACGCTATGTCAATGTGGAGCGAAGCACCGCGGAGCCATCCATTTACCTGATCGACCCCTCGGAAGAAGATCGTCTTGGTTTTGGTCAAGGTCGAAAATCGCTCGAAGGGGAAAACAAGAACGACGGCTCGGGTTCGAAGAAGTCCAACCAAAAACCTCCATCAGGGCCTGGAATGGACCCCTTCACCAAAGCACTCAAGGAAACGAGGTGGAAGATCCTTGAGCAATTGTCCAAAGTAACCACTTTTACACGGCGTACGGCGGAAGATCTTGCTAATAACAAGAATATTCCTCCCCAAGTACGGCGACTTGTACAAAATCCCGAGATACAAACTCTCCAGGATGAATTCGACAGTGCCAAGTTATACCTGGCACGATGGGCCATGACCATCGCAGAGCAGAGTGAAAGGGAGAAGAGGCAGAGAATATGGACGGCTCGAGATGTTCTGGAGTCGGAGGAGACCAGTGTGGGCGACTTTGAGATTCTCGACATGGAGGCCGGAAAATTGACCCTCAACGATAGCAAGAGAAGACCGGTCAACCTCCAAGAATGGCAATCGTTCTTTGATTCCAAGGGCACACTACAAGTGACCGTGGATGAGGTAAAAGAGCGCATCTTTCACGGTGGCCTTGATCCCGAAGATGGAGTGCGGAAGGAAGCCTGGCCATTCCTGTTGGGAGTGTATGACTGGGACAGCACCAAGGATGAACGGCATGCATACATGAACAGTAAGAGAGATGAATACATCCAGCTCAAAGGAGCCTGGTGGGACAGAATGATGGATGGAGACGCCACCCCTGAACAGGAGGAGTGGTGGAAAGAACAAAAAAACCGAATTGGTAAGTTCTATGTCCTACCTGATTGAAGTCCAACTTACATCCCCCGGCTGACCTGGCAACTCGACATGTAGAAAAGGATGTGCATCGAACAGACCGAAACATCCCCCTATTCGCAGGCGAAGACATCCCGCATCCCGATCCCACGTCACCGTTTTATAATCCCGATGGTCCCGGGACCAACGTGCATTTGGAGCAGTTGAAAGATATGCTTCTTACATACCTGGAATACGACACACCTCCGTCACCCGATGCTTCTTCCCCCACTCGCTATCGAAGTCGCAATCCTCATCCTCTGAACCTGGGTTACGTCCAAGGCATGTCAGACCTCCTCTCTCCGTTATATGCGGTATTTCAAGACGATGCCGTCGCCTTCTGGGCCTTTGTAGGCTTTATGCGGCGTATGTCTCGCAACTTTGTGCGGTCACAGGTGGGCATGCGGGCCCAACTCAGCACCCTGGACCAGATGGTGCAGATCCTGGACCCGAAACTGTACCTTCATCTGCAATCAGCCGACTCGACCAACTTTTTCTTCTTTTTCCGCATGCTGTTGGTCTGGTACAAGCGCGAATTCGAATGGAGCGACGTCTTGAGGTTGTGGGAAGCCTTATGGACGGATTATTACAGCTCCCAATTCCACTTGTTTATCGCCGTTGCGATTCTTGAAAAGCACCGCGACGTCATCATGGACCATCTCCGCCACTTTGATGAGATACTCAAATACATCAATGAGCTTTCTGGAACGATTGAGTTACAAGAGATTCTCTTCCGGGCAGAGCGGCTGTTCAAACGTTTTGAGAAAACCGTCGAAGCGGTCGACAAGAAGAACACTTTTCCGGCGCCAAGTGGCGGAGAATTGAGGCAAAGGAAGCCGGCGGACGACGGTGAGGGTGCGGCCAAATTGGGAAGTTCGACAGCTACCACTACCGGTGCTTCCTCCTCGACAGTCGCGGGTCGACCGTCATCATCTGGACGCGCTCTTCCAGCGCAGAACCGCCAAGTACAGGCCAAACCGGGTCAAAAGGGCAAAGGGAAGGAAGTGGAAAAAGAAAAAGAAGCCGAGCAGATCATCACTCCGGAACTGCGTCTGCTTTTGAGTCGGAAGATCATCACCCTAGATGAAGAGGGAGTTGATGAGGCCAAACCAAGGGCAAGTGGGTTGAAGGACTAGTATAACTATTGCTCGTACGAGTGGACAATATGATGCAACGACTTTTGGGCGGATTAGGGCACTGGCAGGATATTGGTGTTGCTGGTGGCATTGGGACGATTTTGGTAGCGTGAGAGAAAGGCGACTACAGTAGGGCAGGGCAGTCAAACTGGGACTTCTATAGCCATTGAGACAGGTTAAACCTGAGGAGCAGTGCACCGTGGCCTTGGTAGCATGAGATGTCAATAACCACTGTATGTCCGACGGTGAGATTCGAAAGCATAGGTATCATGTAACATGCAAAGGCGGGTGAAATCGAAGTGCCAGTGGTACAAGCAATCCAGTTCGAGTTCGAGTTCTCCTTCAAATTGGAGATTGCTCGGTCGGAGGTTGATATTATAATATAATACATAAATGCGGAGTTTGTGGAGCAGGAATGTTTACTTTGTGACTTCATCAGCTTCGTGATCGGAGAACTCGCACAACCGACCCGGAGCGCAGATTGACGACTGTCCTCACTGCTGGACTGTATAAGTCCATTTGTCTACGTTGTAGGATATCGTGTGGCCGGCACACGAGTTGGACGTCCTTATCCCGTCGTATCGTGTCCTGCGTAGCGCAGCGCAGCCACCGCGTACTACTGCTACATCGCAGTACTAATACAACGTTGTATACCACGATCCCATCTCGTCCACTACTCTCCCTTCCGAATTTTCCTTTCCGATCCAATTCAACCCGCCTCGTGTCCGAACGTCGAACGAACATCGACCGTCGACCGTCGAGTCTCAGTCCCTCTTATCTTATTCTATCTATGTCCTTCCGCCCCGGGACAGCACAGCCGGCCAGCGTCATTTGTCCCTGTGTCTGTGAGTGAAGGCTAGAGCCATCGCCGTACAGCATACGACCTCTGCATCAGCCTCGAATGTTACTCTTCCATCCATGTGTACTGTACTCCTATCGACAGACATAGATAGATAGAGACCGAGAGGAAGAAAGAAAGAGGAACAGAAAGAGGCACAGGAAGAGAAAAAGAGAGAGAGATCAAGAAGGGAGATACCGCTCGCTCGCTCGGGCCCTCCCTCATCATGCCAACATCTCACATTGTCACGACGACCCTCCAGGCCGCTGGATTGAGTGCGACGTCGAATGTTCTTGCGCAGTTTATTAAGACGAGGAGAGAGAATGTGAGTACCGCCAGTGGAACTGGTACTGTGATATACTGTGTTTCTTTGCTTTGTTGTGCTTGGCTTTGCTTTGCTTTGCGGTGCGTTGTGTTGCTTTGTGTTGGACTGGGCTATGAGGAACATTGTGCTTGACTTGACTTGATTTGACTCGAGTTGAGTTGCTTTGGGTTGCCTTGTCTTGGACCTACGGGGAATATCATGCTTGACTTGACTTGGCTTGCCCTGGCCATGATGAGCATCCCGATATCTCAGTTGTGGCTGTTGTTCCTCCGAACGGCTGCATCTTTGATTGAGGCAGGACAGGACAATGTGTTTCTCGCAACGCCGTCAAGCCACTGTCAAGCACAGTTTCCTGGTACTCTTGCAACGTCTCTAATCCATCCATCCAAACATGTCGCAATATCACCCAGCCCAACTCCTTTCCTCTCCCTCGCAAGGAGTCTCTTCCTCTCTTTCCTCTGTCTGTATCTGAATTCGAACACTACCAACTAACATATTATCAAATCCCACAGCGTCCATTTTCACTCAACCTCCGCGCCCTCTTCCAATTCGTCCTCTTCACCTTAATATCATGCCCACCCAACATCCTATGGCAAGAATTCCTCGAAGACAAGTTTCCGGGATATATAATCCAAACCAACGGCGACAAAGTTCTCAACAAGTCCAACACGGCGCGCAAGTTCTTGTTCGATCAAACCCTGGGAGCATTCGTGAATACGGTGGCGTTTGTGACTGCCATGGCGATCTTCAAGGGGAAGAGTTGGAAGGGCGTGCAGAGGGAGGTTGAACGGGTATGTTTTTGCGAATCTCGTCTGATTGCCCCTACGACACTGACTATCTCCTTGTTTTCGTTTTCAGGACGTCATTCCCCTCATGATCAACAGTTGGAAACTATGGCCTCTGATAGCCCTCATAAATTTCACTTTCGTCCCCGTCAATCGGAGGGTCATTGTGGCTAGTGTTGTTGGTCTCTTTTGGGGGATTTATCTTAGTTTGTTTGCGGCGTTGGATTGAATTTGAATCTGAGTACCTAGTACCTACCTAGGTAGCAAAAAAGGGAAATTAAAACAAAATGTGATTGTCATTGATTGATGGCTGAGATCAGCATAAAAGAAACAAGTAATGAACAAGGAAAGAGGTGTTTCGAATCATCAGGAAACATGGCCGCAAAACGCAGATGAAGAACTCGAGGAACTGAGATAAATGCTAAGTCACTACTGACGAGAAACACGAAATGGCAAGTACAAGCAAAGTCAAATCGAGTCAATAACTGCAAGTCACCTACTGCAACAATGTGCGCCTGAATACTTCCCTATATGTGCATCGTATCGTATTGCATTGCAGTATGGGGTATATTTACCTAGCAACGCCAGAAGGAGAAAAAGTACATACACATAACAACGGTATGTACTGTATGTACATGAGATATATATAATGAGTCTGCGACCGACTCTGCGTGTGCGTGTGCTTGGGAAGTATAATATGTCCACCATATCCCTGAAATGTCTTCCTTTCCTTTCATCAATCCATCTCGCTTCGTTTTCGTGTACTTCATCAAATTGCCATGCCATGCCAGTTGTTGTGAATGATATGATATACAAAGTAAAAGTCCAGTCCAACTCAATCCGAATGTAGGCCCCCAATCTGGAATATGTATCTGCGCTTGCGCCGGCCGGAACGCAGTGATAAAGATGCTGCAAAGTGCAAGTAAATGCTGTCCGATGCCTCGGGTTCAAATGCGTGTACACATGCCACTCCAAAAATCCGGTGGGACCAGGTTAGGTTTCATATGTGGCGGCGCCCGTAGAATGGAAGACAACAACAAAAATGATACAACCGACCTCCAACAATGCCTCAGGCTGGCAACAAACTGCCGCTAGGAAAAGTAAACAAAGTCGTCAAGGACCGAGATTTTTACCTCCAATGCTGGTGCTGATGCTGACGGGTCTGTAGCTCAATTGCAGCGCTCATCGTTTCGTCCCTCGAAGTGAACTGGTCCAGTCCGGTCGTCCGGGTTCTTCCACCTTTTGTTGCAGTTCAAGTTTCGCAGACTCCTGCTACCTGTTTACCTACGGGGGCATACTGATCATGCCACCAGTCTTGTCCCTTTTGCGGCCCTCCTGGTCTCGAATCTGTCCCTCGGCCGCCTTTGACGCCGTAGCACTCCCAATTGCAAGACCGAGACCAAGCAAATTCCTGCTCAAACCATCTTTGACTCTAGGATCTTTTTGTTCGTTGTTGTTATTGTTCCCCATCCCAATTCCCATTCCGGTAATACCTGCACGCATGCTCCGTCTTCGCTCCACTTTGGCCTGGTACTCGTCGATACCCAGCACAGAGTGCTTCCGTCTGAGCATGTTTTCCATTCCGAGGACTCTCCATGTCTTACTTGATCCCCTGCTAGTAAGGCCACGATGCATCATGGTCGACCTCGGACGTGTCGCCGACATTGGTGAGGCTGGCACTGATGCCAGGGGCGAGATTTTATCCTGCAATTCATTTTCATCGTTGCCGCTTCCAGACACAGAAATAGAAATCGGACTGATTGAAATGTTGTCAGTTATAGCTCCGGCTGATTGGCTGCGTGAATGTAATACGGTGGCTGTGCCCGTTCGTTTGCACTGGCCGTCGCAATAAGTCTTTGACTTTTGCTTCTGGAGCTGGGTTTTTGGTGACGCTGAGCTACTGGTCATCTGAACAGGCGTAGGCAGTTCCACGGGAGAACAAAACTTCTGGCTCGAGTCTTTGGAGTCGATTTCTAACAACTCAATAGCTTTTTGCAGGTCGATCCCGGAACCAGTGTCACACATTGCAAGCGCCCTTCTGGCTCTTGTCTCGTCAAATCCAAGTTCGTGGACTAACAACGCCATTGCTTTGTCCACTGGATCGATTACCTCCGTTATGGTCGCTGCTGCGCGTTGGGGAGCTGGGAAGGGCACTCTTGGAGCCGGGCTGGCATAGTCCACTGGGAACAATGTTGCTCCAAGTCTGGTGCCGACTGTCGAGGCCATATTCAGGGCATAAAATTGAGTGGGATCTGCAGTTGGCGAAGCTGTGAACATGTGTGACGCCGACTGAGGTTGGTTGTTAGCTGGGTCGCAGTCGGGTCGTATCTCCAGCTTGGAGTTTCCAAGGGCGTCGAACGAAACGGGCCGTCTTTTGCCGTAGGAAGTGTCGATCCGTAAAGACTGTGGCTGCTGGCTCGTGGATGGGCGATTATGCGAAGTACTCGGTCGGCGCCGCTCATCGGACGATCGACTGGGCCGATGAGCAGAACGTGCTGGGACAGGAAACCGAGCGGCATTGATCGTGGCCTCTTCGAGCACTCTTTCTTGGTACACTTGTGTGATGGCTCCCACCAAGAAGTTCGACCGGCTCTTGCCAGCGGGTGGCGCGGGCCAATTCGTCAGACCGAGCATCTTCGCCCGCTCGAATGAGCATGAAGACACGGAAAGGACTGTCTGTGGTCCGAGAGCAAGCAAATAGGAGATCCATTCGTTCAGGTGTTGGTGTTCAGATATTGGATCCGGTAAGTGGCAATTCAAGTTTTCAAAAACGCCATACTGCTTGGCCTCTTCTTCTCTGCCTCCGAAGCCTGAAACCAGCTGTCGTAAACACTGCCACATCTCGTTCATGTCCTCGAGCTCTTGGATCCCCAGTCCCTGTCCGTTGCCGATAGAGAAACCAGGACCAAGGTGTTCGTTGTTGATGCTTTTGCTGCCGTTTAGCCAATAGATTTCCACCTGGGCCACTTCAGCTTGTTCCTGTCCCATTGTGTTGCCAAACAGTGTGCAGAATGTCCAGATACGCCACAATGCATTGTCGACTTCCTCTTTTCGCCTGTCGTCTTGATCCAAGAGGCCAGCAAGCGTACCGGGTCTGCAGATCGGGCTGCAATGTGCTACGATATAGGCTTTCAAAGCATTGAGAATGTTGCAATCCCGCTGGTACTCTTTCAAAACAAAACTTTTCGATCCTTTCAAGGCAAGTGCATGCCTTCGACGCTCCCATGCTGGTTTAGAGATCTTGAAAATCAAATGACTGACAATGCTCGATTGGTTGCGTTGAAATGTCCGCAGAAATCCTTTGCTGACCATGGCCGTCGATTCCAGATCCCGGATACTGTGTAGATTGCACATGATTTTGTAGATCACACGCTCGGCCGTTGCCGCCGTGATGGGCTTATAATGTTGTCTCAAATACGTCTTCTGTCGCGCTGAGCGTTGTGCTCTGGACATTAAACTCGCCGTATCCACGCTACTCCGCCTGTTCTGCTCCTTCCGAAGGGGCTCGCCTTGTCTCACAGCGGTCTCGGAGGCCGAACGATGGCGTCGATGGCTTTGGGACAGTCCCTTTCCTGATTGCGAGCCCCAAGCCGGTCTTGTTGACCAAGATTGGAGCTGAGCCAAGGCTTCGTCGCCAGAGGTGGATCGCGTAGAGACCATCCTCCCCATTCCAGAAGATGTGCTCTGAACAGCGGCAGGCGCCGACGGAAATTTCGTTGGTAATGCCGGTTCTGATGGCAGCTCTGCAACCTGTTGTGGGTGTGGGAGACGGAGATCTGGGGCCGACTTCGAACCCGCTGCTCCCTCCAACGGACCTGGTGGAAGCGGTTTGTCAAGATTTAAAGTTGATGAATTGGTTGTCGAGCGGGAGCCATAGCCGCCTGTTCCCGAGTTGCCCAAGTTTGCCAGTACCGGTCTGGCAGGTCCTTTGCCAGCACCTTTGATCGCCGTCTTTGCCGAAGGAGACCTCGATACTGCGAATGGATCATCCTGGGTGTAGCTAGTACTAGAGGAATGCCTGGTGACGAAAGGCGAATATTCGCTCTCTCGCTGACTCGGCTGCGAGTAACAAGACGACGTTGTCGAATCATTTCTGTTGATGTTGAGGTTGGCTCGGTCTGCTTTGGCTTTTAAAGGTTCCTTAGGACTTGACGGTCGCTGATCCAGAGAGTCGTCCCCATATTGCTCCTGGCCCTTGAACTGGTCGAAAAGGTCTGCAAATGATCGAGTGTCGACTGGAGAGATATCGGGAAGGCGATGGTCAAGCGTTGCGGAAGAGGTGTCTACATGGGTATCCTGGTTCTGCCGTCGAAATAAAAATGTCGGGCGGTCCTTACTCAGTCGTAAGATCGAAGTCATTCTCCAGCTGAATATGCAATCGCATCCATGGGCTCAGAGCGGCTCTCCAATCAAACCTCAGCAATGGTTGTTGTGTTGATTCGCGACAAGGCCTCAACCCTCGAGCGCATGGCGATTAAGTTTGATAAAAACAAAAGCAACGATCAGGGTTGAAGACGGAATGTTTGGAGTTGATGTTTGAAGACAAGACGTCTGTAAGATGGAGGTATGATGGAACTGTATCCAGCTTCGAAACGAACGGTGCCATGTCATTTCGTCGGTGGTTGGGGCCGTGCTCGAGTCGACCTGGGCTTATAGCCAACTTGGCCCAGTCTTTTGACCAGGCTGTGACTGAAACAGCTTAGCAGACAGCCTGGGGTCTGGATGTGGCGCGAGCTAAAGATATCATGCCAATGGGGGCGGAGTGCAGGCGCAGAATTCCTGATATTGACCAATCTGCCAGCCTCAGAACCGAACCCGATGCGATTGGCGTCAAGGAGAGGCTTGGACAGATTCAGACACCACAGAGACACTGTGCCTTGGGTATCCCTGGTCAGGCCGGCTGCTGAGCCTTACACAAAAGCCAGAATTGTCCCAAAGCAAACCGCCCGAATCTTTCGGGCCAGCGGTGGAACTGCGGCAGGCGATCAGGAGTCTCTCAAGCACCAAAGTGGACGGAGGGAAATCCTCGTTTCCTGACACGCCGTTTCCACGTCGGTAATTGTCTCTGCTGGCGTGTCTCACATAAGGTTGCCCATCGTTTCCACATACTAGCCGACTGGAGAGCGACATTGATCATCCCACAAAGGCGGCAGATGATTCGTATTGATTCAGCCGGGCAACCATTGACAGTTTGTTTAGGGGACCAACCGCTAAGGAGGCCTCTTGGGTCCTGCACGCATCCTAATCGTCCCCAATCCATTCTTACGGTCTGGTCTCCACGTGTCTGAAACCCATCTCTTTTCGCTTGTACATTCCCATTCATAGCGGGCGCAAAGGGACGGGGACGATGTTGTCATACAAAGGACTAGTTGTGCCGCACGCTCCTCCGCCGTTCAAGTTTAGGGGACCGTGGTGACAGCTTGACAGATGCTTCATGGGAACCATGGCGTCAGGGGACGAGGAACTTTCCGGGGATCAAAGCCCTAACCCAGTACTAGTACGCCTCGAACAAGCGCTCTGCTGATGTCAAAGCAATGTACAGAATCCAGCGCATGGTGAATCGGAAGAAACAAGCGCTTGATTCAGATCAGATACAAGGGCAGGGGTTCGAGATAAGCGACAAAAATCGATGGTGATGGGGCTGGTTTTACATCGTATTGTTGTTACATGTCAACGGCCATGTTTCCTACTATGGGTTCTGGCCGTCCGCATTGTCCTGCGGATGCAATCTGAATGCCCAAAAGGCCTATCTGCACCAAATACAGAGACCAGTGGAGAGACTTGAGACAGTCTCGAACGCTCCTCCTCCCTTCTTCTCATGCTCCTAGCTCGATGCCTTGAATAACTTCTACCTGTATGTCGAACACTTCAAGGCCATTCAATCAGCCCTCAGTCCCACTCCTGCGGTCCTGGGCGCTCTCAACTACCTATGACGAGGACGCATCACTCGTCTTACACAATAGGCGTTGTCCATACCGCAGCGTTCTTGAGAACTGTAACGTGCATATCGAGGCCCTTCACGAGCCCGGAACTGCAACCCATACCGGCGGTGCGGAATGGTAGAGACAGAATCGAAGCTGGGTGGACTTCGCTGGGTCGACTTTGGCTTGGATAGGCTTTCTCAGCTTTAAGCCGCCGGAAGTTGAGCGTGGACTGCACGTCCACGAAGCAAGCCAACACAGCAATTGCAAGTTCATAAAGTGTAGTCCCGAGGGACCTCTGACAACATTGTTGTTCAAGGCTTCTTCTTGCGCTTGGCCATGAGTTTCTTGTAATGTGCCTTTTTGCCACTGGTCTTCGCTTCTTGAATCTCACTGTACTTCCTCTTGAAGCGACCGGTCTCCTTCTCTGTAGCCATGGCTTCTTCGACGAAATTCTTATGGCGGTCCTTCTTGTTGATTCTCGAGCTGTAGAACTCCGTAGGGCCTTCAATAACAGTGCCAGTCTGTGAAAACGTAGGGACTTTTCCTTTCCGGTTATTCTTCTTGTAGTGCCGGTGTGGATCGAGGACTGATCGCATTTCGATGAGTTGAAGATCACGCTTCAGTTGCGGCGTCAGGTTGGTTTTGGGCAAGTCGAACCAGTCGGGGCCGGCGGAAGTTTGATCATTCTAATGATGAAGTCAGTCATATGTCCAAACGATGTGGCTTGGTAAAGGCTGAAGGTTATGTGCAAGATCAGAGTAACTATGAATTAGAACTCTCATGGATGCAGGGCAGGCCAAAATGGACTGCTGATCTGCGTCAAGAAAAGAAAATGGGATAAATTTTCATCATATCAGGAAGATTGCGGGAAGTGTGCCAAAGACGTAAAGGGAACGTACAATTTTCTTCGCTTTCTCGGCCACTTCGACCGACCTTAACCCGTCGGCTAGCTTGCGTTGATCCTTAGGGATCGTTGCCTGTGGTTTAGCCTCGGCGACTCCATGGTTGTCCTTGATGTATGTCTGCTGAGCGAGGCCGTGTTGCAGTTTTGGTAGAGGCTTCCTCTGCTTGGTCTTCACCCCGGTGGTGTTGAGACTGATTTCATCAGCGCCTGCTGATGTTGACGAAAGACCAGCTTTCTCTCGCAGGCGGGCTTCTGCCTCGACCAAGAGCTGATCTATCTGCTCATCTGTCAGGATTTCACTCATAGCGGCTCGCTAGAGGAAAATGGCAGGGCGAGGTAAGCCAACAAGAACTGCGTTTACATGCAAAGAAATTTGAGCCCGTCTGTGGTGACCGTGTTTTAGGAAAGTAGGCCGACTAGTTGCACTAGTGGTGCTAGTGCAATTTATGTGTTCTACTAGTACTGCTAGTCGGCAAATAGTACCTTAGTTGTGTGTGCTTCTCCGTAGCCGCTGGGAAGACCATCGAGCCTCGTGTCCCGGTCGGTCTGCGCGAGGCTGCCTCATCATGCATCTGCATTGATACCCAACGCAAGGCGAAGTCGTGTCTTGGATGCGGCGGGATCAGCTCAGCTCGGCAAAGTCTTTGACGAGTCGACCATGCCTCTCAGCAGTTTTGCATCATCTCTACAATCATCATTGATCTTCGGATCCTGATGATCTACTACCTAGGTATGATCCTCAGGTACTGCTACCAAATACAAGAATATAGACGAAGGCAGATGCGAGTCATTCCTAGCCTTACCATGCGTACCATGGCCACGTTTTCCCGGCTGTCTGATGACATAGACAAGCCCAAGCTTTAGGGCTGGGTCGCAGTAAGACAGGGGAGGTCATGACAACCAGCAGATAAACAGCTCAGCAGCAGACATCCACCATGTTCCTGGATCATGGGAGTGAGGCTGGCTGCCCAGAAAAGGGTCGCAATGTTCTGATAGGCAGAGTATTGCGCTCGAGGGTGGCCACCAACTGGTCGCCCTGGAACGCTAATTGTTGTATACATGGTCCGATTGGAGGCCATTGTTGACATCGCAGACATAGGTGGAGCTGGCGCAAGGAACAGTCGAGCTGGATGACGGAGGAAGTAGACGTAAACATCACATTTCAATGCTACAACTGTCCGCCCATGCGTAGAAATGGTGTGATGAGCGAGCTGGCGATGAGTTCGCAGGTAGACGGTGGCCAGGATTTTATGAGGTAGCAGCAGTTTCTGGCCCGCGCAGCGCAGCGCAGTTGGCGACCCCGCCGATTCCATCCTGCGCCGATTTCTACTACTGCTTCTGTCACTGCTCTTGTCCAAGATAATCAGTCACTGCGCCAGCCACTTCACCGACTTCCGCTCACCATCACTCTCCCACGTTCTCTCCATCGCTATATCTTTACGCGTATCTCCTAGGCTTCTGTACTTCTTGACAGCGTCAGATAGACTTGAACACACCTTCTGGCGACCAGACACGAACAAAACCACCATCGCCGATACCTGGTGTATTCAGCGCGTGTGCCGCAACCGTCGCTGCCCATCTCAAAGCGTTTTCCTGGTGTATCTGTTCAGATTTGGTATTCAGCCATGGATCAGAAACAACAACAGCAGAATGCCCCACCGATATATGATATCAGTACGTGCAAATACCTCCTGCACCACTCTGGCTTGTCACTGACATCGATGCGTTTTAGGTCAAGGAGGGCACTATGGAGCCAGCGCTGCTGTAAGTCGTCCGAAGTCTGTTCTTGAAGCATGCGACAGGTGGTTGTGGTCCTTGGGAAGAGTCGGCCAGCACGAGGAAACACGAGAAACAACACATTGCATAGTCACGACTTCCGGACTAATTTACTAACTCGGAATGTTAGCTATCTGCGCAAGGTTATGTGCCTCACAATGAATTGTATTCCGGGTTATGGTCAAATGTGAGTATCACCGCATCCTGGCTGCTAGACAGAGCGAGCTAATCGTGTGGCTGGAACAGATCAACCAAGGCTTAACCGGACCATCTCGAGAGATCTTAGCAACCTACTGGCAGCAAACTATCAACCATCTGGAAACGGACGAACACAATTTCAAGTTCCATCAACTCCCGCTTGCGCGCATCAAGAAGGTCATGAAGGCCGACCCCGAAGTGAAAATGATCTCCGCCGAAGCGCCAATCCTGTTTGCGAAAGGGTGCGACATCTTCATCACCGAACTGACGATGCGCGCATGGATTCATGCCGAAGACAACAAGAGGAGGACTCTACAGCGAAGTGACATTGCCGCTGCCTTGGCCAAGAGTGACATGTTCGATTTCCTAATCGACATTGTGCCACGAGAAGAAGGGACAAGCAGCAGCTCCAAGCGACCCACTACCAGTGGCCAAGCTGCCCCTGCCCAGGTGCCGCAACAACAGCAGGCAGCACCGGCCCAGCAGCAAATGCCACCGCCTGATTATGGATTGGCGCAACACGGTACTATGGGACCTCCCGACAACCAATACGGACGAACTCAAATGTATCCGGGACACATGGGCGGAGACGCTCAGCAAGACCCGAATCAAGCCTATGGCCAGGCCCCGCAAATGTTTGGAGGGGGTGACATGTACAATCCTTACGCTCAAGGACAATTCGGTGCTGGAGGTGCCCAACAGGTAGGTGGACATCCGCAATGATCGGGCAATCCCGACGACAAGAGAACCCGTCTTGTTGAGCTTCAAGTTTTCGAGTTGGGTAAGAAGTATTAGCCATGCATGCTGGACTTTGGGCTTGACTTCGAAGAGGCATCCTTGACTGACGTTGTTCTTGCTTGCAGATGTACTCCAACCTCCCAGGCCAGAGACCACCCAGCCAAGGATATGGTGGCCCGAGACCTGGAACGGCGGGCAGAAATGAGCCAGTCAACGAGCAAGGTTATGGACCGGGTTAGGGAATGATTTTTGGGCCGGTGTTACCGGAGTGAACTTCTTGCCGCCAACAGCAACATTATCGTCAAGGAGGGACGTCAGAATAGTACAAACAAGGAACTTATGATACCATGGGTCGAAGAAGGGATGGTCGACTGCTGCACACTAGTATTTTTATCTTTGAAGTCATGCAAAATATGTTTATCATTATGTAGTATTACTACATTGCTTTTCTTCCTCGAGTTTTGCTTCTCCGGGACTCAGCCACTATGTTCCAGGGGCGCCACTGCAGTCTTTCTCCAGTGCCAACAGACAAAGGTTTTGAGTAAAATGAGAAACTTTACGTTGTAGGTTTGAGGCAATGCAATGCGACGTGTTGACCATTGCTTATCCCATTACAAGGCATTTGTACCAGGTAGCTGCAGTAGTATACGTGCACCTATCTGTGGGCTGAAACCATTGCACAGAGACTAACTAGATCAACACTGAGGTATCTCTCGGGTAGCAGGCACGGAATTTCCAATTACATTTCGCGCTCAAACAATTGTACAGTACTCTACCCACTACTGTCGTACCCTAACCAAAAATGAACAGTCAAGCTGTACAGACAATCACCCAGACAGACAGACAGACCGATGTTGGTCGTACAACAATCATCTCCCGCCATGCATGAAGCGATTCTGCAAGGCAGCAAAGGTATTCGGAGTTCTCGAGGAATTACTCCCATGGTGACTCAGACCAGGACTCTGCATGGAGCTCGACCCAGCACCACTCCCGCTAGTGGAACTAGCATTGCGATCATGGCCTCCTGTGCTAGTAGGAGAGTGGAAAGTATTGATATGGACGACCTTTTCAAGCAGACGCGGGCCCTTGAGTGGATCGACATTGCGATACTTTTTGTTGCGCAGCGAAATGTCGTAGAACTCGTCAGGTTGATCGGTAGCCATGAGGGCGACGGTCTGGATGAGCTCGTCGAGGGATTCCAGCAAGATCGAATTATTGGGTAACGTCTCGACGTAGCTGCGGAAATGGTCGACGTCCATGGACAACTGGGCGATTGCGGGCGTGGTGATGCGGTCGACGTTGTCGGCGAGCGGGAGGGCTAATATCGAGCTGGCCGTGTGCGACACGGCGTTGAACAGCATGAGATCTTTCAGTGATGATGGGAGCGACAATAATACCGAGTTGATGATGTTGGACAGGTATCGCGTTACGGTCAGTATGTAGTTGGACGGCTCGACGGGCGCGTCGCGGCTCAGCCAGTCGTACTCGGCTGTTTCGATCAGGTCGCTTACTTTGCTGTTGACGAGTTCGAAGATTCGGTTTTCGGCTGTTTTCTGGTGTGTGGAAAACTGTGCTGTCGCCCGGAGTGTGATGGGCGGGCCGAGGTAGTTGCTATTGTTGGAATTGGTAGCGGATGAGAAGCCAGATGAGGTTGTGCGAGCTGTGGCGAGTAGTGTCTCGAGTTCGTGGCATGCGGTTGTGAAATGAGACAAATTAATTAGGATCTGGACTATCTGGCCTAGATACTGGGAGGATAACTTGGACACGAGGCTTGCGCACACTTTGGTGGTGAGCAGGTCGTCGAGCGAAGTCAGCAGTTCGGCGTCGATCTTGCTCGACAGTGGCGACGGCGTCGTGTCATCCTGCGCCGCGAAAAAGTAGAATTGGTTGACGAAGTTGCGGATGTCGATACAGCACAGCGGATACATTTGCGAGAAGGGGAAGACGGTGGGAAATGTCATTTCTTGCACGGGCCGGTCCGGTGTGTACCACGAGACGTTGACAACCTTTTCAAACTCCTCGGCGTTCTGGATTGGCATGGGCATGTAGTCGTCGGTGGACACAATTTCCACAAAGTCCTCGCTGAACCGCTGCTTCAGCAGCTCGGCGTACTTGTCGAACAGCACCAGGACGAAATTCGACATGGCCGCCGTGTTGTAGTTGAACGTGTTCATGGTCTGCATGAACACGGAAATCAAATTCTTGATCTTCAGCAGGTGTTCGGCGTTGTCGACTTCCGATAGCACTTTGGACATGAGCGAGATGGCCGTCTGGCAGAGCGAATCCCACAGCTCTTCCACGTCGGTTGGGGATCGCAGATCCGGCACTTTCTTCATCGTCGCCCGCTCCATGATGGCGAATCCGGCGATGTCTTCGAGTAAATTGTGCAGATCGCCCAGTTCTTCGTCGACCAGCGAAATCGAGTTTTGTAGTAGTAGGTCGCGCTGCGCCCGTCGGCTGCTGCTGTAGTCGGCTTTGAACTTGTCCATCTGGCCCAGTGACCGGTGGATGTGCAGTGCCTCGAACAGTGGCGAGAAGTCGACCTCGAGATCTTCGCTCTTGAGCAGATCGAACTCTTCATGCTCGTCGCCGACGAGTTCAATGGCCGAGTTCAGCTTGAAGTTGGCCAGATACGGATCCTTCTCGGCCCGTTCCTTGAGCCGCTGCTTGCGCAGTTCGGTATGGTAGAAGGACAGTTCGCCCAGGTACTGCGACATTTCACGTACCCGGAATAGCCAGGTGTTGAGGTCGGCCATGACCGCTTCGGCGATCGACTTTTGCGTCGCCGGCACGGATTTCTGGATCAGTTCGCTCAGCTTGTACTGCGTCACGCTCTGTAGGTGGACGCTCTGCAGCTCGTCCAGGGCGCGCAGGGCCGCATAGTGCTTCTTCTGGTCGCGTAGTTCTTGCACCTGGTTCGCCAGTCGAAGCACCTCGAGGCAATCTTGCAGTGCATGGCTGGCCTCGTCGATGTTCTGTCTCACCCCGCGCGATTCCACCAGGGCTTTCTTCTGCTCGACCAGTTTCTCCGTGCTGGTTTGAATAGATTGATTCAGCTCCAGGATCTCGTTGGTCAGCGTCACCGTTCCCTCCCGGATCCGGAGCAGCTGATTCACGGATTTGACAAACTCTTGGTGGTTGCTGTTGCATTGCCGTTCAATCTCGGCCTCCCGCTCTGCGGCGAGCTCCGAGAGCTGGCTGAGCAGGTGCGACGTCTTGTTGCCATAGCTGTAGTCCTTGATATATGGAATCAATTGGTCCAGCGTGTCCGCTTCTGAAGACGACGTGACAATCTGGGAACGCGTTCGTTAGCCACATTTAAGTCCTGTGTCATGTTTCGCCCTCGCTTGGGCTGGGCCGGGTCGGGTCGTGTACCTGTTGAAGCACGCTGTTCGTGTCATTTCTATACGGAGCTACTGAAGGCATGACGGCTCAACAGATGTACTCTGAGGGTCTGATCCCCCATCTACCTAAGCCTTGCTCCCTCGGCCTTGTCCCGGTTACCGCTGGGACAGCAACGCGTCCGTTTGTTGTCGAGAACAGGCCAAAGGTCCCAATATCAGACACTGGACGGGCTGTGTTTTCAAGATAGTACTAGATCACAGGGATTGGACTGGTGATGTGAATTTGTCTCTGAAGAAGATGGTAGCAGCATGTATCAAGACTGTCTTTCCTCGTCTCCTTTGTCTCGGATCAGGCCCATGAATGCCTTCCACGTGATCTACTTTAGTCACCATGCTCCCGCCGCTTTGAAAGGTGCATATCACGCTAACGGCTTCAAGATAGCGGCCTGCCAAGGGCCCCAAGTAGTTGTTGTGCCTGTCGATCTGATCTCCACAGTCTCGACTTCATCGTTCCTTCCTCTCCTTCTGTTTCACCTCCTTCACTCTGTCCCCCCGACTTGTCTCCTTCCGAGGATCCTCCTCTTGCCCAAGAGTTGAGGATCCCAGGGCTGCATCACTGTCGATATGGACCGGCATGTCGGCAGGGCTCAGGAAGGTCGTGGGCGGGTTCACATGATTCGGCGAAGAGGATAACTCTGTGAATGTCCCAAGTCAGTCTCATGCTGTGAAGCCCCGACAAGACAAGGAGACAGAAACACCAAGGTAAATATATGATACTATGATACTCTGCAACACTTTTGTCTGTGATGGATTTGAGAGTGCCATGGGAGACCATCTGCAGACTGGCAGCCCTTGTGACTGTGGGCTTGTTGACTCGCTAGACAAGCTGGCAAAGAGAGAGACTGGGATTGAGGGACAACTTACCAAGAGACACTGACAGCGACACACCACACATTGAGGCAAGCAACTTCAGTGAATGTCCGACGAGCAAAAGGATGGACAATGAATGGGCAACTGTCCTAAGGACTCAGGCTGGATAATGGGAGGCTTCAAGTTCTGGCTGTGTCGGGCCTGGCTGCAGTGATGTCTTGAGTCTGCTAGAACTGTTCATGTTCCGCTTGCATTGCCAGACACTGGAAGCATTGCAGCTCATGCCAAAGCAGAGCATTGCAGGGCATTACATGCAGTGCAGTGGTCCGTTGCTGTGATGCAGTGCCTCTTAAGCTCGGGCTCTGGCTCTGGCTCTGGTCTGGCACTGGGATACTCATGTTGCCAGGACTGTGAGCTGCACTGGCAATGCTCTGTTCTGTGCCGTTCCGTGACAGTCCTGCCATGACTGCCCTTCTACATGATGATGTCGTGGCCTTCCGTCTGATTCCCTGCTGCGTTGAGATGCACTGCGTTGTCCAATCCCAATTGTATGCTGGGATCCACGGTTGCTCTCGTGCGGCTGGGAATGATGTCGTCCTGCACTGGCAGTTGCCGTGGGTGTCTCTCACCTTCCGCCCTCACCGTCGCCCCGGTCGATCACACGCAGGCTCATGATTCGCCGTCGTCGATGCTGCACGCTCGCCCAATTGGGAATTTCTGGATTTGCTGCTGCCTACAAGTATCTGCTCTTTTTCTCAACTCAACTCTCTTTCCAAAAAATTTCTCTCCCTCTCACCCACCTGCACAGTCTCTACCAGACCACCTTTACATTCCCTATTCCTCCCTTGTACATCCGTTTCTCTGCTATTGCAAGTTCCTACACTCGTTGCAGCGCATCTTTGCATCTCTCTCGCTATCGGTAAGTCCCAATTTCCCCGGCTCGAGGGGTGTTTGGGCCTGGTCATTCGAGCTCTCGAGTGACCACGGCTCAAGCAACCTCCAACAGCCTTCAACAACCTCCATCCTTCCCTTTGCACGTTCTACCCTATTGTATCTTGCTGTCAGAGCCTGGCGCCATGCTTGATTGACCTTGCGCGACCTCCTCGCCTCGGTTGAAGGTGTCGCAGCATTTTCACAGCCCCAGTCCACACATTTTTCGACAATAACATGGCCAAGCTGACTCCATTCCCAGATAACTACCTAGGTAGTCATCGCGGTCATGACTGCCCTTAGCGGTGGTGGCATGGCTTCAAGCCCTCCCTCTGAGAACGGGACTGTTTCCTATGGCACTCCTTCCACCGACCCGACCACCTTCACTCCCGAGGGTGGTGCTGCCACCAAGTCACTCAAGGAACGTGTCAATCACGCTCGCAGCCAGGTCGCCCTCTATCGAAACGAGTAAGTCAGCCGAGCGGAGCGCGCCTCGACACGTTCCCCAGTTTTTGAAATTGTTTTGCTTACACATCAACCCACCTCCACATTGATCTTTCATGCACAATACACATTGACCTTGGACACATCATGCATCATACACCTATATGTTTTCATCCTTCACACTCTTTGGCGTTTGCTATTTTTATACTCTTGCACATCCACTTCCTTCCATCCAGTCCATACCTTCTCGACTTTTCATACTTGCATCCACCTCACTTTCACTCAACTACTTCCATCATTCAGCCATACACATGTCTACTTGCTCGATTACATACTAACCGAGAGCAGCCCCCTTGATGATGTCTTCTTGAACGCTCCTAGCTCCGATCGGGCCCTTGGTCGTCGTCAACTCTCCCCGACTGCAGAAGTCTTCTGCCCTACTGCCCCTCTTCGCGAGAAAGTCGGTGGTTCCGGCCGCCACGCTCTGACCTTCCAAGGTCGTGTGCATGCTGTCAATGTCTACAAGGCAGTAGTTGTCCCTCCTGTCGAAGTCCCGCATGGAAGCGTAAGCGCCCTTCTCAAGGGCAGTGCCCCGGAACGCAAGGCCATTGCTCTAACCCCTGAGCAGGCTCATCCTGTTGTCCCAGGAGTCATCGGAGGCCCAGTCGTCCCAGGCCCAGTCGTCCCGCGATCGGAGTTGAAGCTCAGCAACTTCGCTGGTGTCAAGATCCAAGACGTCCACTTCGCTTACGGCATCTTCAGCACCGATGAGAACACCGCCCGTGCCTTCATCGTCAGCGGTGTTCCAGAGCAGTATCGTTCTGTTGACTTTATTGTCTCTGCCTTTCCGGTACGTCCATCTTCATGTTTATTGCACACAACCATTAACCTCTCTAGACTTCGTCCTTCCCTTCGTTGAGAACCATCAATGCTTCCCAGTTGGTCAGCAATGGTTTCTTCACTCTGTCCTTTGCCGACGTTCGTCAAGCCAAGAAGGCGCACGAAGTCTGCACTTCCCTGATCCCATTGGCTCGTGTCTTCCCATTGTCTCCCAAGGCATTGGCCATCGACGAGGGCAAGGACCCATTGATGGTCAGTGACTTCGAAGGTCAAGTCGTCGTCACTGTGTACTTCAACGGCTACGCCCATTTCAACGGAAAAGCAAAGGACGCCGCTGCCATCATTGGCGAGATGCAGAACATGCTCACTCAGTGTGGTGACATCAAGGCATTCCACGCCATGGCCCCGACTCAGGCCCACGTTCGAGAGTTTCGTGTCGAGTTCTTCGATGTTGATGTGGTCGACGCTGTCAAGGAGAAGATGAGTGGTTTCGTCACCGAGGTTTGTCACAACGTCTGCTGTCTTTACCTGCTTTTTGACTGACTTTGATCACAGCATGGCACTGTCATGGATGCGGAGGCCTTCAAGCCAGACGTTCGTCCTGTCATGTCTCCCCGTTCTGGGTCTGTGAGCCCTCGTGAACAGCTTTCCATCACCGGTCGCTCAACTGTTCCGGTCGATCCTGACTATGATCGTCTGGCTGGTGTCATTCAGCGTGAAGCTCTTCGCAGTGGTCGTCGTATCAACCAGAGCGCCAATCACAATGCTATTGACATTGCTCGCATCCAGGCTGGCATTGATGTTCGCACTACCATCATGTTGCGCAATATCCCCAATCGCGTTGACCAGGGCATGCTCAAGAAGCTCCTGGATTCCACTTCTCATGGTCGTTACGACTTCATGTACCTTCGCATTGACTTTGCCAACAATTGCAATGTCGGATACGCCTTCATCAACTTTCTCGATGCTCAGTCCATCATTCCGTTCGTTCTTGCCCGTGCTGGAAAGCGCTGGAACTGCTTTGCTTCTGACAAGGTTGCGGAAGTCTCCTATGCCAGTAAGTGATCCAGCCTTTACGATTTTATCATCTGCTAACCGTCTCTGCCAGCCATCCAAGGCAAGGACTGCCTCGTCCAGAAGTTTCGCAACTCTTCCGTCATGCTTGAGCATCCGTCGTTTCGTCCCAAGGTGAGACTGACTCCTTTGTCGGACACGTGGAATACAAACTAACTCCATCTCTAGCTCTTCATTGCTGGCAATGTTCCCAACGCCGGCAGCGAGGAACGCTTCCCTGGCCCTGACAATGCTTCCAAGATGCGTCGATCGGTGGAGAATGCGGAACATGTCGGTCTGTTTGTCCTTCCATCGCCTCCTCCGGCTAGAGGCAGCCGTCCCTATGGCAAATCTGGCATGAGACTGTCATCCCGCAACCCCTATGGAGGCAAAGGTCGTCGTCGTGTTGGCCACTATCTTCCTCCTGCACGTGCCACTGCAAACTCCCCAGGAAGATTCTCATCGGATGAAGGCACCCCTCGTGTTATCACCAACTTCAACGCTGTCAATGTCAATAGTCCTTATGACCCTTTTGCCGGCACCCCAGCCCGATTTCCGTGAGCACTACCTTACTTATCTCTTAACTATTTGAAGCTGCTGAGTGATGCTGACATTGGTTACCTGACAGGGCTTTTCGCGCCTAGGCAAGGACAGGCATACCGCGAGGAACAACGTCGTCGCCGGTCTCAATTTGATCGTGGCACACCAGGTGCTGAGAACGAAATGGGCATGGTGCATCGTTATCGCCTCCAGGATCCGGCACTTGACGCCGGTGATGTCAGCAACGGCTTTCCTCTACCACCATACTAGTTCAGCAGGATTGTGACGCTGGACGTCTCTTTTGAGGTTTCAGGGTCGCCTTTTTGTTGTTTCTGGTGGTTGTTGGTGGTTGTCCCACTATGGAGTCTGGAGAGTCATTCTTGCCCATCTCACCTGGGTAGCGGGGTTTCTTTCTTGACAGACGATTGAGTCCTTTGGTCTGTTCGGATCATTGGTCTCAATCCTGGACAACTGCCTTCCGGAATCCAGCTGTGCATCAGTCTCTTACCAGCATGTCTCGACAACTTGTCATAATTCGGCCGGAATGTGTCACCACAGGTTACTGTTCTACCAGGCAAGGGTACCGAGTCTCTTTCGACATGTGGCTTGTTCTCTTTTCTTTTGTTTCGACGAATCAATGTGCCTTCTCTGATGGACATTATTCAAAGGTGTGACAGATGGTGTTGAAAACGTGACGGGACTTTATGTCTTCGACAGAAATACTGTTGCTTCGGCAAGTAGTATTGATTCAGCATGTCTGATCGCATGAAAGTGGTGCAGTAATTAATTAATCAGATAGAAAATGACTCTATTGAGCCAAATCCGGTCGATCTTTGCATTTGTTTTCTCGTGTGAGTGATACGCCTTTAGCATGCTGTAGTAATAGCTCGAGTATGGTCCGAGTGAAGTGGGGATTTATGTTGTCTTAGAGGAAGAACTATTGTTTCTACGAAGAGTATGAGCATTGGACATTTGGTCAATGTCGATTCCTCCGAATTACTAGTACGTAGTCCAGTGTCTGCACATGGCAGACTGGGTGGGCCTCAGCATGGCATGTAAACATCAAACATGGTCACAAGCATGCATAGTGGTAATAGGGTACATGTAACTGGGAGTATGGTAAGATCAATCACGACTCTTCACCGTTGAACGGATGGTGGTACTGTCCTGTAGTTAGGTCTGTAGGCAAAGTAGGTAAGGCAAGGCAGCGGTAATCGGTTGTTAGGTACATAGTCATTGCTTTCAATACTTTCCTATACTACCTATATCGTACCAAACACTGATAGTCACATCTCCAACGCCCGCTCAATGACCTGCACCATCCTCTCGCCGACCTGCCACATATCATCATGTCCACCTTCGACATTCATTTCGGCATATTTGTATTTGTATCTACTCCGACAAGTAGAGCGTGTATGGGGAGATTCTGTAGATTCTTCTGTGTCTGTGCCCAGACCGAGAATCGACCGCCTCATGACGTCTCGCTGCTCCGGCTCGACCAAGTCGTCCTTGTCGGCTGTGACGAGCAAGATGTTCACGCTCCGATCGGTGGACGTACGGTTTGGCTTTGACTTTGACTCGTCCGGAGAAGTGGATGTGGATATAAACCGCGCCGGCGACGCACGATCCCAATCGTTTTTATCACTGCCGAACGCGCCCTCAAGGAACGAGGCGTAAATGTCGCTGTAGGGTGTGTCACTGTGGTTGTCGAGAAGGAGGCGGAGATCGTAGATTCCTGCTAGACCGACTATAGCTGTTGGCGGTGGTACTGGTAGTGGCAATGGGGACTTATTGTGGGGTGGAGGACCAGTATTCGTAGATGTGGAGGGAGGTTGAGTAGATGGAGACGGGGAGAGAGAGTCAGAGGGGGAGGTAGATGGAGATAAACATAACCTCTGCAACGCCTGAAATGCAAGCGTGGCGCCGCATGAGTGTCCCACGAGCATGTAATTGTCCTCTGTGAGGCCGTAGGTCTCGTGCAGCAATGCGAGGGCAGAGCATATGTCGTCGAGGTGGTCTGGATGCCGGGCATCACGAGCGAAATAGGATGGATTGTTCGTTGCGTTGGTATTATTATTGGTAGATCTGCTGGTAGAGCTGCTGGTGGTAGTGGCGGTATTTGTGGTGGTGGTTGTGGTTGGTGCTGTTTCGGGATATGACGGATGTGATGATAGTCGGTAAGACAGCGAAGCTATAGCCAGAGCTTGATTTCGCCTCTCAAGAACAGACTGGATATTTCGTGCTGGAGATGCTGATGGAGATGGTGATAAAAGGATGGACACGGCCGGCTCGGCGAATGTGCGATGCGTGATGGTCGGGTCGCGCCATGCCCCGCCGTGGATGAGACTGTTTTTGTGCCATGTGCAGGGCCCAGATCAGTCTATGATGGATACGCTTCAGGTTGAGGATTCCATTCGCATGGAGGGGATTTGAATCGGGTGAGGTAGGTTCAGCTAGGAAGGAAGTGTGTGGTGGTCGAGCTGTCTGGCTGGCTGTGGATGGGGTTGTAGCTTAAACTGGTGGATCGGATAGAGTTGAGGAAGAGGGGCATGGAGGAGTTCCAAATGCTTTCGGCACAATAAGGGGCTCGAAGCAGTGGTTGATGAGGGTCGACGATGATAGCAGTTTGGGCAGATTCAAGTCAAAAGCAAATGGCATATTGCTCTGCCATCTTGGCCAAGTATCATGGATTCATGGGATGTGGTTGCAGACGGCCGAGAAATCTTCCAGTTCTCTTCCTTCTAGAACACACGGGGACATGATGTGCTTACGATGGAACACACAGATAGAGACTTACATGATCCAGGATCGGGACTGTTGCCGACTCTCTGCTGTTTCTGCTTCTGTTGACGGCTCCGGGAGCCACACCAGGACCTCCTGGAGGTCGTGAGGACCAAAGCGGAGAGTTTGCGGCTCCATCATTTCTGCTTCGATTTGAGTGTTAGAGTCAAAGGCCAAGGGTAGACAACTGATATGTCAAGGCTAGCAGCTCCATGAAGCGAGCGGGTAGGCCTATGTTCACGAGCAGATGTCGGCGATGGCAGCACAGGCGTAAGTCCATGTTAGAGGCTGACCCGGAATCAGGGGCGAGGGGATGCAGTGCAAGGCTGGCCAATGACAAGTCTTTATTGGCTAATGACGGGGCGAGGCTGACGCTTGGCATCAACTTCACTTTATGGGGGAAACTTGAACATTCTCCATACTAGTTGTAGTATCCCATTGCACGCCGCGTACATATCACAGGAGCCTGGCCAGGTTTGCTGCCGTACCAAGAGTGCCCAGGAGATACGATTCCTGCCATCTTTTGTTGCCGCCAAATGTTAGCCGTCCGACAAGTCTTGATCCGGGAAACTCCAAAATTCCGCACGGCAGCGTCGCTGTTCGGTCGCATTGGTAAATGGGCTGTTCGAGCAGAACTGATCGGACGCCCTTATCTCATTCTGGTAGAATCCTGGTGGTAAGCATCAAGGGAGTCATTAGAAGGACATCGGTTCGCACCTCACGCAAACTCCAGTGAGCCATGACTCGCCAGTCCTTTAAGGTCAGCGCGGACAACGCTCCAGACAACCCTCCTTCCAAACGGCGCAAGTTGTCGCATCATGATTCTCATCATCAGGAGGCATCTACAATCCAATCCCCAACAGGTCCACCACTACAAAGCAAGACGAGCAAGTCCAAATCCAAACAGAAACAGAAATCGGCGTCGAGACGAACTCGAACACTCAAATCTCAACCACCGCGCCAGAGTCGGCCTATAACCCAATACTCCCATGGCCAACTCGAAACAAACCAAACAAACCGACTTCGTGCGAAATCATTTCCCCGATCTTCATTATCTTCTATTAAAAAGATCTCTTCAGCATCAGCATCTACAACTGGCACAGCGACGCCCGTGCCGGAACACAGTACCAATGTCAAATTATCAACCACGAAATCCCTTCTCGACCAAATCTGGGCGCGCAACAAGAACCAACACCGTTCCCAACCCTGGTGGAAATCACTTGGAATGCTACGAAAAGCAATCACGCACCTCGTGGCCATGGACGAGGCCGAGCATTCATTGAAACTACTACAAGGTTCCACTGCCAGTATAGATGCCAAACAAGTCCGACAACGCTTCGAGCAAGAGACCCAAATCCGTCGTGAAAGAGAGGTATGGCACGGCTGGATGCGTGAGGTTCTCGTGCCACGCGCATATGTGGGCTTCACTGCGTTGGTGGCGGATACCCAGTTCGCTGCGTTGGGCGTCGTGCTCGTGGGGATATTGGCGGATGTGATGGGTGTGGTGGGTGCGCCGACACCGACGCCGATGGAGGATGACCAGAGAGCAAGAGCGCAACAAAGCGGTGGAGTAAGAGGTGCGCTGGATCTGACTCAAAAGGTTCCTGGAATGAGTCAGTCGCTGTCCAAGACTTTGACGGCCAGGAGTTTGAGGGTGACGGGTTCCCAGAGCGGCGAGGTTGTGGAAAGGATGTACGATAGCGATGATTTGGGCGAGGTTGTTGAACGGACGAATTTGAACAGAAACAGGAACGGGAACGGGAACGGGAACAGTGGTGTTGTCGATACACCACCGTTGGGTGCCGAATCACTGCGGTCTATCTCGATACCTGTTGATGCTGGTGCTGATGCTGCTGCAGCTGCACTTGGGCTGGATGACTCAATGGCGACCGTCGACAATGACAACGCTGGCAAAGTTGGCGGTCCTAGCGTTCCTGTTTCGGACCCCAAACAACAGAACCACCGTATGAATACATACGTCCAAGAGGGAGCGAACCCCAAAGAGGATCTTTCAATTGGTACACCGCCAGAATCCGCATCACCATCACCGCGTCATCGTCTGCTGTCCATGGAAGCAGAATCAGATCGAGCACAAAACCAAAAGCCAGATACGACGACGATCAAACGCCGCCGCAGTCGCACCGACGAGAGGGCCCTGCAACAGGAGCTGCAAGCGAGTGCAAGCAAGCCAAAGTCAAGCAGCAACAACAACAACAACAGTTCCAGAACTGAGTCCAAGGCCAAGCCTAAAGCCAAAGCTAAGGTCAATGTCAAGGAGACTCCGACCACCGACACCATGACAGTCACGAAGACTACTCCTTCTGTTGCCGCTATTACCGCCGCTACTCCTGCTGCTGCGGCAGCGGCTGCGGCTACTGCTCTTGCTAAGCCCAAGAAGATGTCAGCAACAACAGCAACAGCAACGGCGCCAGTGACAGCAATGTCAACCAAGAAGGCAAAGGAAAAGGAGAAGGACAAGAAGGAAATGAAGATGAAAAAGAAAAAGAATGCGATTGACGACATGTTTTCGGGGTTCATCTAGAGATGAAATGGTTATAGCACAGTACGTGCACGAGGTATCCCTAGATAACGGATACGAGAACTGCATTGTATTCAATATGCCACTGCAGATCTTTTCATCTCACCTCATGTCAAGCTTTCAAGTTCCAAGTCACTGTACTACGACTAGTAGTACAAGCCATGCTGCGCCTTGCTATGTTATGCCAGGTCATGCTACGCCATGCCATGCCATGCCATGCCACATCAAACCCCCATGATCCAAGTGCGTCTGTCACGTCCCTACGTAGGTACCTACCCTACAGCACCCCTGGGATCTCTCATCCTGTCCCTATCTCTCGGCCCGCCGTCGAATCTAGGATCCCTATCCCGATCTCGATCTCGATCCCGAAAGAGATCACGGTCTCGGTCTCGTTGTCTTTGACCACCACCACCTTCCCAATCTCTATCTCTCTCCCAATCCCTCGGCCTATCTCTGTCCCTGTCCCGGTCCCGAGGATCCCATTCCCTTTCCTTTTCCCACTCGCGGTCACGATCATGATAGACCAAATCCCTACCCCTATCACGTTCCCTATCCAAACGATGACCGTGACCGTGACCGTGACCGTGACCATGACCATGACCGTGGCTGTGGGCGGTGGTATGTGGATGATGATGATAGCCTCCTTGACCACCACCATCTCTGTCCCAATCACGGACGGGACTGCGGCTTCTGGGCCGTCTGTCTCGATCCCTATCTCTGTCCCTGATTCGGTCCCGATCTCTGTCTCTGCCTCCATCTCTGTCATCATCATAAGATAGATGATCCGGCGGCAAACCAGAACCAGGGGGATGCTGATGCGGAGGTAAAGGTGGTGGAGGATATGGGAGACCAGCACCTGGATCACGGTACGGCTGCTGCTGCCGGTAGTCATCAGCGGGTCCTCTCCTGGCATTATTATTTCGATGGTGGTGTTGTTGTTTCGAGTTCGGCACTCGGGCATTCGGATCTGCGCTCGAATATGGTGGGATATATGTGTCTCGGTCATGGGATACTGGTCCAGGAGCAGCCACGCCCACCCCTCCTGGAGGTCCACCACCAGACACAGACCCAAAAGATCCATGTCTAGATCCAGGACGGGAGGAACCAGTACCAACAGGAGGGACTGGGACTGGGACTCTGGTTCTTGAAGAAGATGTCAAAACATCGGTCGGGACGTAGCGGTAGGGATCGTTTTCAGGCACAGGAGGACGTGGAGGTAAGGCAAGATCGCCTGTGGGACGGGGTAAGGAAGACAATTCTCCTGTATTAGACGAAGGTGGTTGCCGGCGCGAATAACTTTCGTCATATACCTGTGGTGGGATCGGCACTCTTCCACCTCCGCCATGTTGATGATGGTCGTAAGAAGGACGAGAGTGATGGCCGGTACTGGGTTCGTATTGTCCATAGGCACCATTTTGGCGGCGGTTGTTGTGGTTGTTGTATCCTTGATCCTTGTAATTGTAATTATTGTGACCGTGACCGTTCGCATATCGTCCGCCACCACCGCCGCCGCCGGGAATTCGTGGACCAGGAGGGCCAGTGCCAGCGCTTCCACCACTGCTTCCGGGTCCACCACCCCTGCCTTCATACGGCGGGAGCGGTCGTCCATTGATGGCCCATTCTCCTTGAGTCGCTATACCCACAGACCCCCCAGCAGGAGCAGGAGGCGGTTTTGCCTTCTGGTCTCGGAACTTCTTGCGGTCGAGTTCATGCGAGTCTTCGAATGTAGGGAGGTCCTCTGGTCGAGCGGGATACGGTTCCGAGTGGAAATAAGGGTGTTGAAGGGCGTCCATGGCATTAATCCGCTTTCGCCAGTCGAGTTTGAGCAGTTCACTTAGGAGCGAAAGGCCCTGTGGACTGAGTTCGTGGAAAACGGTGGCCAGCCTGGACGGCTTATTGCCCCAATTCACAAAATTCTCGCAGCCAGGAAGGTCTCGCCAACCAGGCATGGTCTCATCGGTAGGGGAACCCACCAGATCAAAAATGAGCTGCGCTTGGTTCAAATCACTGTTCCCCGTCAGGATGGGCCGTCGCTTGAACATTTCTCCAAAAACACATCCAACCCCCCACATGTCGATGGCCGTGGTATACTTGCGCAATTGTAGTAACAGCTCCGGCGGTCGGTACCAACGCGTCACAACTAAAGTAGTGTATTCGCGGGTGGCCTCGCCTCCTCCTTGGCCCGGCTTGGGAGGGTCGTCATCGTACGGTCGAGCCAGACCGAAATCGGCAATCTGCAGGATTCCTCGATTGTTGATGAGCAAGTTGGCTGCTTTCATGTCTCGATGAAGGATCTTGTTGGCGTGCAGATATGCGCAGCCCTCGAGCAGTTGTTTCATGTAGCATTTGATTTGCGGTTCGGTGAAGTTCACGTCGCGGTTTTCCAAAAGTCCCGCAAGGTCGTGGTCCATGTACGGCGTCACCATGAACATGCTGGGTTTCTTGCTCGCGCTTTTCGGTCTCTCCACCGCCATCTCCTCCAGTTTGAGAATGTTGATATGGTCGAGCTGTTTCAACAACTTGATCTCCCGCAGTGCCGTGATGGGGAATCCGTCCTTCTCATTGTGCATCAGGATCTTCTTCAACGCCACCACTTGTCCCGTCTTCTTGGACCGCGCCTTGGACACTTCTCCGAAGGTGCCTTCGCCCAGTTTGCCGAGATATTCATATTCGGTGATCTTCGAGCAGCCATGAAATCGCGGTCGGCCGTCAGGAAGTCGCTCGAGCGTTTTCCGAGGCTGGGGTGCATTTGTCGACATAATTCCGCAAGTTGCCAGAGTCCAACAAGTTCATAAATACTTGCGATTGTGACCCAGCTGGTTGACGCAAACGATCAGGCGCGTCAAGTGTCGGCGATATGCGATGATTGAGTTAGATGTCCCCTGGTGTCACCGCGATGGCCGAGGCCTGATTGAGAAGTATATGCTCGTCATCTAGGTCCTGCCCAGCGTTTGGTTTCTCTTGATCTCGTGGTGGCCTCAGGAGGAAACGCGACTGAAAGATTGCGCCGGTTTGAGTTTCGCGGCCACGAGATCGCCCCAGGGGATGTGAGCGATACTCTTAGACGGCTGGCCGGCACTCCCTTAGAGTGTTTGATGGAGCCCCTTTGACCAGGGTAGATCAAGCATGAATGAAGAAGGAGTAGAGGAAATACAATTGCGCCGCGAGTGGATGAAGACGAAGTGAAAGAATGTCTCACGACGACTTGAAGTTGGAGTCAAAAGTGGCCGGCACACGCCGGATTAATATTTCGCCGTGTCCGACATCAGATGCAGTGGCAGACACTGGAAGTGAGCCTGCAACAACTGAACGTGCTGACTACAGACGGGAGTCATGAATAAATACCGTGAACATTCATGTCTTTTGTCGGCTTGGCCCTCTTTGTCGGCGATGGCATCTGAATCTCTGCTCTAGTCAGACATCACTATGCTGAAAAGCGTTGAAGTGGCACGCCGGTGGACTTCGCCAGTGGATTGTCTACATCCCCCGTACTAGGTAAGCGGCGTGCATGTACTTTGGGCGGCAATCAAGACAAGCAGCCACAAGCATAAAGAAATCCTCAGCGGGCAAGATAAAGACTTGTATATGACCTTTTTTTAATACCTGAACGATTTATGTCCTTTTTCAAGCGCATATATCCCTCCGCCCATTACACAGACCCGTGGGGCATGGTATCCCTCATGTTGTACAAAAGCGTCGCCTCGTAGAATCATCAACACATTACTACTTCGTCCGGCCTTTCATCGTGGCAGATCATATCACGTCAGTGAGGATGATAGTCGACAATGCCCAAGCTCTCTCTCATTTGTGACAGCCGCTCAGGCGCCGATGGAGTTGGATCATTGTCATCACGACGGGCCGGCCGATCGTCATCTTCAATCCGTGACATACGTTTTGTGTGTTTGAAAGAGAAGTCCTTGAGCGTTGGTAGCTGGGATATCTTCTTCCCAAGCCTGCCGATTTGATCTTTGGAATTTTTCCGCGGGTGGACCACCGAATCTTGCCTCATCCTGCCCGTGGGACTTTGATGGGGTCTTCCAAGTTCTTGCGTTGCATGGGATCGTGTCGGACTATAATTCAAAGTTGGGCTGTAATCCAGTGCGTCTGAGAACTCGATTTGCCCGTTGTCGCTCTTGGATTCCAGAGGATCGGCGACCAAAGCCAAGCTGTGTCGGCGGAGTTCGTCGCGTCGGATCCGTTTCATTCCTAACCGCTTCAACTCGGTCTTGAAATCGTCGAGCATGATTGTATCGGTCAAGCATTTGAACATGAGCGACAGTTTCCACCAAGGGTTGATCCTGAAGTATACCAGTTAGCTCTCATCAAATTACATCTTACTTGCTTCGTCGCGTGCGTCTGACATTCCAAGTCCTGCATAGAGAGCGCGCTGAAAGGATCACCACTTACCCATCGGTAGAGCCAGTGAAGCTGTGGATACTGGCAACAATGTCCAATGCCGTAAAGATCAAGGAGAGACAGATGGCAGATAAAAGAATGGCGAACCGAGGAGAGCGCTTAATCAGTTCCAATACCCCTGTCCCGTAGCACTTCCGGATGACCTCGAAGAGCGTCAAAACAGAAAAGACCCACCACGGATCACGCAGCAGAGGTTCGTACGGTCTCACGGTGACATACAGGTCGTTGATGTTGTTGAAGAAGCGGAAGTTGTCGTAGATTTGAAGTATAATCGGGGGTACCGTGCAGGCGAGGGAACCCAGATAGATTCTTCGAACCCACTTGCCTGTCTTGGGCTTGAACATGGACCGGGAATCGCACACCAAAGGGCCAATCTTTAGCCAGGCCACAATGTTGTGGACGACCCAGGAGCAGTAGAGAAGCGCGGCCGTGGAACTCAAGTACCAGCCGTAGCCGGGGAAGGTGAAGAAACAAAATGTGCCTATTTTATGTTGGCAAGACGCATTCATATAGCGACTAATCGTCCATGCTTACCGTGGGATAATGCGGCGAGTTGCTGAAAGGCAAGTCGTCAGCGACTATGACTTGCGCCATTGGGACATGCGGGACACTCAGAGACTTACCTCGAGGAGAATCAACTTGTGTAGGAGGACACCCTTTCTCATGTTCGACACCGTGACGCAGCCCATAATGAGCAGACTCCCAACCAGACATCCTTGACTCCAGCTTTCCAGGACCAGATCTTCATCGAGGCAAATGCCCGCCAACTGCCATTGACGGTATCCGAGCGCGGTTTCAATGCCGACATAGGCGCCATCTTTCGATTGTTAACACAGGTAGGAAAAGCTTGACATGCTGTAGAAGCATTGAGACGGTTGACCAACAGGAGTCTCGCAACACGTTCGCGCGGACCGGCTTTGCTCTATGCGTAGTGGTTCGAGAGAGGTTTCGATCGCTCAAGCCATTGATCAGTCGATACGGTAGGTAGATGGTAAAGAGAGGGTGCTCGTCAGAGAGGATCTCATGCCACGTTCTTCCACGGTCAGGCTGAGCGGACTGGAGGCGGGCGCGGTGAGCGAGGTGAGATGGGAGCACAAGAGTAAGACAGATAAGACGGTGCAACACGACACCAAACTGACGCGCGAAACACGCTGGTCAGGCCTGAACAGATGCGAAAGAGCAGGAACAGAAAGGCACCGCTGTCCTGGGCGGACGAGAGTAGGAAATGAGTCGGGCAACGGTGTAATGAGGCTGTTTCGCTTGTTTTGCGGCCAACGTGAGTGGTGCTGGGAAGACCCTCGCCAACTCAGCAGGCCTGACTTCACGAGAGGCAGACTCGAGGGTCATCTTCGAACTGGTCCGTTCAGCCCCGTGGGAGAAGCGGAGCAGTGAGCGAATGAGATGGACCGACTCTGGGGGTGGACGAGAACCTGGAGCTCGTCTACGCCTAGTAGCACAGTTAGTCGGGCGTAGGTCGCACCAAGGCGGTGGTTTAGTTTAGCACTGGCAGCAAGACCAACAACCGGGTTCGTTGCAGTTCGAGTCGATCGGCCACCGCATCTTGTGATTGCAGCTTGTCCCCGGTCTTCGCTCAAGGCCACCAACCCGCACACCGGGGAGCGACCGTTGACCAGACTCGGTTAAGAAGGGGATCTCGGCAACGGGATGGACAAATGGAAGCAAGCACACAGAGTACACTACCGTAGTAGTACATCTGTAGTAGTATAGAATGTTCCTACCGATCGCCACAGACCACGACAAGCCGCGTGCCGCCTTTTACAGTAAACTTGAACATTGAACAGAAGCCGACAGAGCCGCGAAATGAGTGCCTGACAGGCCTTTCCTGGGCACTCTAGCACCACTGTAGCCCGTAACTGAAGGTGCGATAGGCGTCTGCTGGGCGTCCCAAGCCCTCAGTTTAGGCACCTGACCAACTGGCATCTGTCAACCAGCCACTGCCACGGCACAGCATCAGGGCATCTGCACCAGTCGCCGTGTTTGACGACATCCGAATCTTCTTGCGCCCATCCGATCATCAAGTTCAAGTGGTGACAACGCCCGGGATCCGCATTCAGGCTTCGGTGGTCGGTCGGTTTGCCCCGAGCCACACCCACTCACACTACCTATGTACTGCCAGTGCCAAGTGCACAGCCCATGAGTGTGACATGCAGTCAACGGCATGCTCCAACCGAACTTCACGTTGAATGGAGCAGGTCTGTAACCCAGGGAAAGGGAATGGAATTCACACTCGGCGCCCCAGGCTCGCGTGACGTGACTTGCTTCAAGTGCTCCACGTCGAACTTGAACGGTCAACTAAGTACAGCTTGAATGTAGGGGGCCATCCGCATTCAGGCATGTACGTACAATGTTACACCTCACACACTCACTCACCGCCCTCGTCTTCAAGAAGCAAGCTCGAGCAGTCATGGCTGTGTAGGCATGAGACGCCAAACAGACCTGTGAGTGTCAAAGGATGGAATCCAGCACGCGTTAAGAGTCGAGGTGGTGTTAATAAACTCTTCTGGAATGTTTTAATCAGTGCAGTGGCTGATGCCGTGAGGATCAGCCGGTAACTTGACTGCCTGTGGTACTGGTATCATTGATCCAGTCATTGTTCAAACTGAAACCTTCCATCCTCAGTCTCTCACTGGATCAGCTTTCCAGAATCCTTCGCTTCCCATCGGAACTTGAACTCTGTGAAGCTGGTAGGTACCTAAGCGGACAAGACTCACCCCTCTCAGCGTGAAGATCTCCCCGAGATCTGCGTTGGTTTCCGTTTCAAGTTGTGCATTTCAAGTATGATCCCTTCAAGTCTACACTTCTAAACGCGTACCACCATCTGCAAAAGTTAAACTTTGTCAAGCTTCACAAGGAATGACTCAGTGAGGTGAGCAAGTATCATGATGTGTGTGAATCCGTTCCCTCAGCTGGGGTACATATATCCCTCTGCTGCCCCCATCCCAACCGTTCCAGTTGCTGTTCCACTCTCACAACTTAACATGCTGGAGTCATATGTATATATATAGTCAGCAAAAGACAAGACCATCTGCAGAGAAACGGTGCAACCCTTCCAAACATGACGTTCGAAAATGCCATTGCGACAGAGCTCAGGGGCAGGGTCGGCATTTGCTGCAACTCGCAGTGATCCGCTACAGGATTTCAGCATACCAATCGCAATCCGAAAGATCAGCAGCTCCATCGACCATGACACGGCACTGCTTGAAGCACGAATTCGAAAGATGTTTCCGAATCAGGAACATCCAACGAGTCTCTCGTTCATGAGAACAAGATGTCGTCGTACCTCGAGCAAGTTGAACAACTACTCGAAGATTTGGAAGCACGTCTGAGAGCAACAAAGGCCATCCTCAGAGAAGCCCGTGAGGCGTCAACCTACATTCCGAGGAATGATCTGAAGAGATCGCTGTCAGAAATCAAGGAAACTGACAAGATGATACTGAAAGAGCGGACTGCCCTGGCCGCCAATCGCGTCCGAGTCAAGTACGGCATGCAGAGTCAACTCAGTCATTTGCCCATGAAAGAAGGATACATGAAGCCTATTAAACGGGTTGGAGGCAGAGATAGACCCTCTGTACATTGGCATACCGGGATTTTACGAAACATTTTTCGGGAAGTTCCCCCGTCTGGAAGAGAATTCCGCGGTGATCTTCAAAAAATGCCAGGAGGGTGATGTTCAATTCCCCAACCCGAACCGTTCGTATGGCTCGTGCAATCACTGGGCATACGATGCAAAGAGATCAGGGATCGACCAAACATCATCATTCAGAAACAGGCTGATCAAAGCTTATCAGCCAGACAGTGCAACAGTTCTTGAGCCGCCTCAAAAATCCCAGGACTTGTTTTTTACCGAGATCTGGTGTGCAGTGCCTGGTAGATCATTCCCAGCATCATTGACGACGGCAGCCCACATAGTCCCTTTCTCAATCGGCGAAAGCAACGCCACATATTTGTTCGGCTCCGGACCAGGACCTTCAGGTTCTGTCGACACAGGTCAAGCTCAGGCTCGCACCAAGGTATACTGGAAACCGAGTACGACATCATCTGGTCTGAAAAGAACGTGTTCATGCTCCACAATTCTCTTGAGAAGATGCTCGATCTCCACGGAATTATAGCTTCGGTGGCCTGGTTGACTATCGCCACCGGCACCAGCAATCTGCCACGCCTCCACTTTACCGTAAGGTAATCCATTCCACCCTGACTGCACCTCGACGGTCTCCCTAACAGTCTCGAGGAGCGAATGTGGCTCAAAGGGCGCGGATCTTCAACAAGGATTGGTACAAACCATTGGTCGCATCAGCAATGGTGATTATTGATGAAGCATCCAGAATCACTGAAATCGACATCCCGAGTATCAAGGGGTGTTATCACAATGCAGGCGTCGTAAGGGTTGGGGACCGCAACCAGTGATGCACAAGGCTCGGTTTCACAAGCAAATGGAAATGTCCCTGCAAACATGGATGCTTGGAAATGGCACATCCGGAGCTTTCCCCAGCAAGCAGTATCGCATGGCACCCAACATTGCTAACATTGCTACCTAACCCGTTGAATATGGTGGCATACCCGGCAAGATTGACGGACCACGATTCATTTACCAGGAAAATCGAAGGTCGAAACCACGACCGCGTGGAAGACATGTTCATTTGCAGAACCCAAGCTGCGATGCGGTATACGACCACAGAGCGAGAAGCATTGGCAATCTCAAGGGTCTGATGAAGACACAATGGCTGGTTGTGGGAAGCAAGCATACAGTCTTGACATACACCGACCACTTTGCCTTGTTGAGTGTTCTGAAGAGCGACGACGGTATGCCAGGATCGCTCGATGGCAATTGAAATTTGGGGAATACTGGTCCAGACGTATCGGAGGCCCGAACGCCGATCCTGCCCTTGCCCACTCTTTCCCGGTCGATCCCATTTCAGAACCTTGGGCTGAGGTTCAGAATGGTCATCGTCCGCGATTCAAGAAACGAGACACGAGCTCCTCGGCATCATTTTTCGATGAAGGTATGCCCAACAGCGGCAGATGACGTGCTGCCGTTGTCAACGCGCCATATAGTACGTTGCATGTGAAACGTACGTATCCGGTGAAAGCTGTGCAGTGCTGGTCGTTTCGACAACACCGAAGCATGAACTTGAACGTCTCCGAACAGCATATGAAACTGTCACAATCCCATTGCTCACGGCGGTACGACCAGGAAAGCGGTACTGTACCTGTACGTACCTAACAGCCACTTGTTGACCTTCGTCTTCGTCTCAGCGTCGATATATATAATGCGGACTGGAACCCTTGATTCCCAGTCCACAAAAAAATCCATCATCACGGACATTGAGTGCGACCTACGAGCACACTCATTCCTGGTAGGGAAAAGGACCGAGAGCAAGTGTTCACAGGCTGTATTGGCAAATATGAGGGGTATTGGAGAGCCGCACTTCGATACCTGTTGCTCAACAGCAACACAACGAGTCATATGGACCAGAAAGAGTATGAGTATGGTGGAAGCTCGCCTCTCTCTGTCGAAGTCGGAGACAGCTGGAATGGAGTCGAGACGCTAAAAGTCCTCAGCGACAAGAAACTTTCCTGGTACAAAATCACGGCCGAGGAAGAGGAGAAGAAAGTGATCACAGTGATGTGGTGAGGTAGGTACTTGGTCAAGATTCAGGGTAGGGTACCAGGACGGCAGAGGGCATTCGATGTGACTCAAGTTGGAGACCACTCGGACTCGGACGACTCGGAGGATGACGACGACGACGATTTAAGGTGTACCTCCCTGCGAACAAGTTGCATCTTGACGAACAACTGGAGGCAATAGCACGGTTGCTGTATTGCAGCTTCGAATCCAACTCCTACTCCGAGGCGTCTTGAAAGCTACTGCTATGGTGGTGGTGCTCCTCCTCCTCCTCCTCCTCCGGTTTCGTCGCCCGAAACCGCGGATGTATCTTCTCGTTCTCGTTCTCGGCAGGACCAGGAACCTTTCCAGTGACATTTCCAGATTATAAGTCTGTTGAAGTGTGCGTTTCCCGAGTCCAGTCCACAGCCGGATTTCAATCTCATTACCAGTCCGGCAAGAAGGCTGATATCCCTCTGTCTGATATCCGACCACCGCCGAGATTGACGACGCCACCAACAAGAGTATTGTTCGAAGACACACAGGCTCCCATCGCGGCCATGAGAGCCCGCGCCAATGTCTCTTACTCGGCCGACAATAAGATGCAACGAGACGTTACCGTCTGGGACGAATCACTATTCGCCAACGAAGAGAGTCTGGTCAAGACACTGGAGGAAGATGTGGCTGCACTGGAGAACAGAATGATGGACCTCGGTCAACAAGTAAGTGTGAGCAGCACGCGGAATGCATCCCCAGCATCACACGCAGCCGGAGGCTGCCTTCGTTCCAGGCGAGCCTGGCATTGCATGTGGTGCTCGACCGGACCCGTGCCTGCACATGGTGCCTGGAACCGAAAGTCCCAAATCTTCCAGCTCGGCGCGGCGCCCCCAATCATACATACATACAGTACTGTACAGCCATGCAACACAGCCTGGTTCAACTTGGGACTACCAGTACCAGCCAACTGAATGCCTCCATTGTTGTCAGCGCAGCAAACTACAGGGGAAGGCCACTGGCAGGGGGACCCGGTCCCTCACCACCACTTCGGGAACGAAAACAAACATCCATTCCTCGCTCTCCTTGCTATTCTCACCATTATCACTGTGCCATCTCACTACCTATCTTGACTAATTACCATCATCATCGCAACGATGGCGGGATGACAACCATCTCAGTACGATCCGAGGAAACGTGGCTCTGCTATGCTATGCTATACTGCTCCTGGTGTACTGCATCTCAGATACTCGGCAGCAGCTGCAGTGACTCGGCGGTCTAATCATACAGTACTGTACAGTCAGGCCATGCCATCCAGCCCGGTCACGGTGGGAGTACCAACCAGCCTGAACTGAATGTCTCCAAATGTTGGCGGGACAGGGGTTTATGCCTTCTGAGTCTCCCACGCCTTCGTTCTTAGCTTTGAAACTCATATAGATACCTATATACCACCCCGAGTCTCTCGTTGCTTCGAGCGAGCAGGCGGTTCTGATTGGTGCCAGCAGTTGGTGCCTTATGCAACTGACGATCACTGGCAAAGCGTACCGTGTTGCGCCCTGGAATTCAGATTCAATTCAATTGTGAGACTCCTTGATCTCCTCTGAGTTCTCGTCCTTAAGAGCTTTGTGCCCCTTGTCGTCCACCACAGGCAGACACTGGCGCGGACGACCTATAACTACCTCCCGACTTGAACCTCGTACCCATGTACTTCTAGTAGCATCATTCTTTCCCATTCCCCGTCCGCGGTGTCCTCTCCGTGAACTTGAACCTGAACCCATGCCTTCGCTGCCAGAGCCTCTTCCTCTGGACCCATCATCATTGTGCTCCCTGCCACTGCGGCCCTCGGGCTTCGAACTGCCTCTACTGCTGCCTCCATAACGCCCCCCACCGCCACCACCGCCGCCTCCTCTTCTTCCACTTCCTCTCGCTCCGACTCTAAAGTCAATCTTGACCAGCGGCCGCTCAACCATTTCATTGCCTTGAAGCCCCAAGGCAGTCCTCCGCGATTGTAGCACCTTCCACACCTGAAAAATCTCCTGTGGCTCGTGTAGGGCGCGCAACTCCTCTACCCAAGCTTTACAATACTCACCTTGGGGATCGTAGTCAAAAGCCTGTTTGACAGGATTAAACACCCGAGCTTCGCCTCTCGGGTCGTTCCCGACACCAGCCACATACTGCCAGTTTCCCCAGTTATTCGAGACGTCGTAATCGGCAAGATTGGCTTCGTACCATTCCGCCCCAAGTCTCCAATCAATGCCGAGATGTTTGGCAAGGTAACTTGCGACGTTCTGCCGGGCTCGATTGCTCGTATATCCCGTGAGATAGAGCTCGCGTTGACTGGCATCGATAAGACCCGTACCAGTTGTCCCACGGAGAAACCTCTGAAACATAGCTGCCACTTTGGAATCCTGGTCGGGTGTTTTCCATGAATAAGAGGTGTCGTTGCGAAAGCCTTGGACTTTGAACAATCGAGGCCCGAACTTTCTGGTACATAGCCTCATGTAGTCGCGCCACAAAAGCTCAAAGCGAACGGCTGCAGTGCCTGCATTCTCGCCTTTGCCATACCCTTCAGTGCCTTGGTATTGATCATCGTAACCTTCTTCATAATCGACGAGTCGAGCATGGACTTGCCGAGCGGTAATGCAGCCGAGTGCTAGCCAGGCCGAGAGTTTGGTCGAGAAGTCAGTCCCGAGAAGGCCGTTGCGAGTGTCCTTGTATCTAGTCATGACCCCTTGTTTCAGTAGATGCTGGATTCGATGGAGTCCTTCCTGGCTGCCTCCACGGAACGGATGTGCCGACTTCACCCCTGGAGGAAATGCCGGAGGGTCCGCAAGGAGAGGCTGGTTGTTGAGCGGCTTCAACAGCGCAGATTTCATCCCCTCAAATGAATCGGGTATGGCGAAAGGCGCCGGCTGGCTCGGCAGGAATGATGGAAGCGCCGGTAGGGAGGGTGGTGTCGAGACAGGTTTTCTCGGAGCTTCTCTGAGTGGCTCTGCGGATTTTCGATAAGCTGTGAAAACATCTGGCAGATCAGATGGCTTCTTCAATGGAACGTCTCGACTGCATGAAGTCAGCTTTGATGATAAGGTAGCTGGGGAACCATCGTCCATACTCGTCAATGAAATACTTCTCATCGAGCCACAATTTGAACTCAACCCCTGCTTTTTGTGCAGCCTTTCGCACTTCTCTTTCCTCTCTCTTCTCTTCAACGCCTTCTTCGGATGTCATCCAAACCGCCGAAACGATGGCGTCTGATGCTTGGGTACGGAACTGGTCGAAAACATCTTGCGCAATCTGGCCTAACTGACCGACCCGTATGAGGAGACCACTGCCTACTCTTTCTAGGTCTTGCTTCAGACTCCACACCGACTCTGCCAGAAACACGGCTCGATGAGGACCGCAGCGCCAGAACTTTCCCACTTCAGACCTGGCTTCGGGAAATGGCGATATGGATTCTGGATCGGGCAAGAATCCGCTGGTTTCAACCTGTTGAGCCGGGATAACGTATATCGGCAGGACATGTGTGAAAGGAGGAGACGCTTGTTTGGAAAGTTTGTGTATTTCATAGAAGACCGGATTGTCACAGAGACGCAGGTCTCGGCGTAACAGGTAGACGAGGACACGCTGAGCTGTCATTGTGCTCAACCAACCCAAGTTAGTATGACAGAGTCCATGAAATAGCCTAGTAGTCGGTCGCTGTCTCAGTCGCTGAGATCATGGGAGTTTAAGGATGGATGCCCAGCCGCTGAGGAGCTCTTCTTGGATGCTGGTCTCATTATGTAGCAGATGAATAGTCATCACTTGGGGCCGTGGACGGAAGCTGTGGTGCGAAAGAAACGTGACGCCCCCGAAAGAGATCAAACGAGTGTACAAGCCACGACAACCCACGTTTTTATGGCACCACATGGCCGACGAGAGAAAACATCACCTCTCGAAACAGGTCATTGACCCAATACTATGCAGTCATGTCCCGTACTAAGGTCGATGCGGCGACATCAAAGTTTCGGCCACTGCTAAGAGGGCCGTTTAAATGGCAGCCGACCTGAATTGTTGCATCACCGGCATGAGATCAAACCAATGGCAGAAGTCCAGAAGTAGCTTCGATCCCTGAAGCCCCATTGACGATCCGGGATCTCAAGGCATAATAGTGGTAGCACCATCAATCATAAGCTGCTTTGAGACCACAGACGCGAGAGACAGGGCTACCACTGCATCTCAGACAAGTGTCCGACGGAGCCAGTCAGGTGCCGGAGTAACTGGGCAAGCTGCAATTCATGGAGACACTGGCAATCCAGGTGATGATTGTGTGGCGCAAACAAGGTTGTCGAGTCGGACCTTTGAAGCACGAAACATTAGACGCCAGTGGCAGTGGAACAGCTGGTGTGGGACTGGTACTGGTAGCACGAGATCTGGCAGCGGCGATCTGGTCTCAGCACTGCCGTGCCAGGTCGATCGTGGAGCCTGGAAGTTCAAGTTTGACAGCAATGCTACTAGTAAAACCTGCGATCGCCGCCCGGGTTGATATAGCATGCGCATCGGCTTGTCGTGATTCCCTCTCTTCGACGCTCAGTGCCCTGGCCTCGGTGTATGCGGCCTGGGAAGTTTCCGAACACCGTCCACGTCGTCGTAAGGTGGTGCAATCGAAGCCATCTACCATCTCGGTGCAGCCGTGGGGGAAGGACTGCTCTCTCAATGCCAGCCTACACCCATTAGCAGTAGTACAGCAGATCCATAGCCCTTAGTGCAACAGGAGGGTGACTTGCTGGCAGCAGGTTCAAGTGCTCTCAAAGTCTCTGCGGTGGTTGTTTCGCGCAAGCAGTGGTCTTGTGTGCAACTTCAGGCTCCTGTCTTCCATCGCCTGCCACTGTAATCTAGTAAAAATTGTGGCACGGTTTAAAGAGGTGCAACTTCAAAGATGTACCACCAGGAGTAGTCACAACCAATCTGCCAATCTGCCAGCATTCCGCCATCTCCGGGTCTGATACTACAAGAAGTACAACTTACATTATTTTACAACAGCCAGCGCAAATGAATAGATGCCCTGCTATTACCACCACCAGAACCGCAGTAGAACCGCAGGCCGGGTCATGTGACATTGGTTCCGGCCCAAAATCGCCGTGTCTGTACCCGGCAAAATCTATACCTTGTTAGGTCGATAGGTATCGAGGCAAGATTACGGCGCCTCCCGTAAGCGAGGCTGCGCCAATTTGAAGCCCTCGTGCTCAATCAAGCCACATGCGCACGGCTACAGGGTTCGTGGAGGCCAATGTCTACAGTTATGGCTTATGGCTTTTGGCGGTGTCGCCTCTCTGCGGACCACTGCCATGACCCTACATTGAACCCTCATCAAGAGAACGCCAGTCGGGGAGCCACCCGCATTACTAGTATTCAGTCGGTTCTCGGTGGTCGCAAAGCAGTTTTATTCCATCTCGACACAAATCAGCTTCATTATAACTGGTAGCGTGGCTCTTCCTGTGTCCAAATAACGCTCATCCTGGTCTCTGAGTTTGCCATCCGTCATTCAAGCGCCTTGCAAATATCCAAAAGTCTCAATCGTACGTCCTGTCGACCCATGTCCCTGGGGTATAGAATAACAGTGGGATGTGACATCCCGGTTCCCAAAAAATAAATCCCACCACGCTCTCGAGCCGCCAGTCACTGGGAACCGACATTAAGCAAATCATGCGCAAGGTATCATAGAATTCCAAAAAAGAACATTATAGACTGGTGCAGTGGGCAGTATTGTACATTTGCTGGGCGAGGAATATGGAACAAGGTACTGGTACCTTTGCGTAAGGTGGTCGTTCATCGTTCATGCTGCTGTTGCCGCCGCGGGGCTTCCGCTCACCCCGTCGCTGCCAGACTCCGACTTCGCCTGATCATCTCGAGAACCACCGTCAGTAGCAGAGCCGCTGCCACAGCCCTTGACCAAAATGTGCCTCTGTCAACTTATTAGTCGCTTGCCCTGCAAAAGGCTAGAAGAGCAAGAAACTCACTTTGAGCGCATCCTTGCGCGAAAAGCTCTTATCACAGTGACCGCAAGGGAAAGGCTTTACCGCGAGGTGGATTCGCTTGTGCCTCTTCAGGTCGTGATTCCGGTTGAAGCTTTGGGGACACTGGTCGCACTTGAAGGGCCGATCATGGTTCGGAGGCTGTTGTGGGGTGCTTGTCCGGTGCTGACCGTACATGGCTTGCGGGTTGGCAGCGTAGCCACTGTTAAAGCCTACTGGAAGCATATTCGCCTGTATGTTGCCCACCATCGCCATTTGTGCTCCGGGACTGTGCACATTCGACATAATCGGACCGGGCATAGCTGGCAGGGAGTAGGAAGGAGCTGGTGGCCGCATAAACGAGCCCTGCGAATGCGGCGGAAGCGGTCCTTGATGGAGAGTGGGCGATATCCGCGGCGCCGACAGTGGCTGCGGGTGCGGGCTATGAGAAACAGGGGTGTGAGCTGTATAGGCATAAGCAGAGGGATGAGGAGCTGAGCTGGTCACACTGGTGTATAATCCAGGATTAGGAGATGCTTTGCTAACGCCGTCGGCTGGGGATATGGGTGATTGTTGACTCGGTGGTCGAAGTCCATTCTGCAGAGACGAGAAGACATGCTGGTGCGAAGAGTTGCTCGGATTCGTGGGAGAAGAAATCGAGAGATGCGCTCCATATGGCTGCACCGAGTTCAGGTCATATGGCGGAGGAGGCAATGCTGAAGCTTCTGCAGCGGTAGGTGAGTGCGTGCTATTCCTCATTGACGGCCCCCCGATCGGGGAGAACATGGAGCGCGGAGGCATCAGACCATTGGGATGCTGCCAGGGCTGCGGGCTGAAACCAGTATTATACCCAGTTGGTGTGGTGCCAGTGTTGAAGAAGGTAGGTGTATATGGGAGGACTGGAACTGCGGCACTGTTCGGGGTGGTAGAGGTGGGAATGGCGGATGAAGTTGCGCTTCCTTCCGATGCTGAGTTGGACGGGGGAGTGAGCAGCTGGCCCAACCCAAGGGCTCCAGCACCGGCATGTGAGGTATTGATGCCAGACAGAGGAGGGATCTTCTGGGTCGGTATCGCAGTAAACTGGAGGTTCTGTGGAGGTGGCAGCTCGAACGCGGGCAGATTCGACGCTGCCTGCCTGCGCTGGGTTAGGCTCGCCGGCGCATTGAGGGCATCGAGGGATGTCCCCATTGGAAGTGGTACCGCCACGGACGCCAGAGTTGCTATCGATGGTGGTTCAACGCGCGATCGCTACAAGGTGAAGTCAAAAAGGACCACGGCGCAGCCACAATGATGCGTTAGGAGACAGGCCGATGTCTCACGAATCCCGCACACTCTTGGGCTAACTTCTGGCAGGAGTATTGAAAGACTGTCAGGAGGCTGATCAGCTCTGATTTTACACGAGAGTACTGCGGCTGGTTCGCTGTTCCCGCTCTATCGTCATGCGTTGTGCTAAATTGGATTTGGAAGATGCGCGGGTACCGAGATCAGACCCAGAAAGTCTTGGATCTTGTATGCGCAGCAAGAAATGCGCTTGGTTCAATGGTGAAGTAAAACGCGACGTGCGACTGTGGTTTAGCGAGGTGTTGATGGTGGAGCGATAATGGGTGATGATCAGTTTTTCTGGCTGGGGGCCGCTGGCTTTTTGCGCTTTCTCAGTGGTCGTGGAGCCTCGGGGGACGTGTCGGCTTGCTGGGACAATCAGGGAAAAGGATCTGCACAGGCCGCAGGTTCGACAATGGACGGACAGAGCCCGGAAGACAGATCTGTCACAGCGGATGCGTGTCCTGCAAGGTCGAGGAGGTCGGAAGGGTTCGAAGGGGGGACGAATGTGTTGATAATCCAGACACTGTACGTTCGAGGGTAAAGATGGTCTGATCAGGCTGTGAAAAAGAGCGGTACACCGATGATTTCAGAGACTGAGGAATCTTTGAGGGCGCGATCCTTTTGCTCGGGGCAGCACATGGCGTTCTTAGCGGGCAGCTGGCGGCCGGCTGGCTGGACGGGCCTGTCGCCTGTGTCGCTAAAACGCAGGAGAGCTTGTCAAAAAGGGATGGCGGAGACAGGGAGATGCTAGGATGGGGGAACCATAGCGGCGACACCTGAGCAGGCGGCGGACGACCAGCTTCAACTTGAGGGCCGCCTGGGAAGCGAGGCCACACAGGGTTTGAGGCGTGAATCACCACGATTGCTGGGTTTGTCGGCTGATGGGAGAGGTGGTGGGCGGGCACGGGAGAGGCTAAACAAGACCAGGGGAGGATGGAGAGCAGAGTTGAGCTCAAGGCCGACATGGGGCCCGGTCGGCTGGTCTCAGTTCCCTTGGGACAAAAACAGTCTGGACCGAGCGCTGCAGCAGAGTTTGCTTCCCCAAAAAGGGACCGCGAGAAATTGGATGCTGCTGAGGCATGACTATGCTGGAAGCAGCTTGGGCCACTTGTGATGGGTTCAGAAAAAAAAGAGAATCGGGTGGAGAGGAGGGTGCTAGTCACGCAAGCGCTGGGGTATCACAACCCATGAACCCAGCGACCGGGTGGCTTTTCCCGGCCCAAGTTGTCCACCTGGGACATGTCAAATCTAATAGCGTGCCTTGGTACCCTAGCTCTTGCATGACATCCACTCAGAACACGAGCAGGACTGCGAGGAGGAGGGATCTTGTAGGAGACATGGAGAACCGAAAAGAGGATGGGTGGGTGGGATACGTTAAAGTTAGGTAGCGATGGGGACCGGGGGAATGTCGCTTCGCCAATTTTGCAGGATGGACACTGGCTTCGTATCACGCTGGCAGTCGTTTGCCTCGTTAGCAGGATGGGAAGAGGAGACGACAGGTTGTCAGAGAGAGCGGCCCGTATACCAATGAGGTACTAGTAGGTACAGGTAGTCAGTAGGTGAGTTGAGTTGGATGAAGCGGACAGTGTGGACCAGGTGGAAGAACAGGTAAGATAACGGGCGTCGGTGCCTCACACCGCTGTACCAGGCCAGTGTACCAGTATCTGAAGTACCGCTATCATTTTTACTGCAATATTGTACCTTGGTATACAGCCTAAAAGTGCTACTAGGAGTGCTTTAGACGAGCTGGAAAGCATGATGACTGCGGCGCAGAGCCTGAGAGATCCAAGTTGGCGCAGGCGGGGGTCAGTGAGCGCAGCCTGCCATGAGGCGCAAGAACTTTCCCTAAAAGCTCATCGGCTCTTCGCCTGCGCACTGCAATTGTTCGATTCTTCATGACTACTGCACTGCTGCATGCACTACAATGTACGGTATCATCGATCCCTCTTTACTACCTACACTTGTTGTTGTAGGTTCGATCAACTCCAGTCGGGTATTTTGCCCACACGTCTTTGTGCCCTTCAGCCGCCTCGATCGCCCTTCTCGTCCACCAATGCACATTACTACTGGCCCGGTCTTTGCAGCTAGACAGGGCCATTGATTACAATCTGATGCGCCGCGTGCCCACCAGCGCGACTAGCCCGCTTACAAAGTGGTTCTCTAGCGAAAACGTAAGACCATCCTGCCTGCTGGACCGTGGTCACTCTGACGATCCGTGGGTTGTCCTGTTCACCTCAGCTGCAGCTTGCCGCTCTTGCAGGCCAACACCTTGAAAAGACTTCAAATCTACCGTGCCAGTGTTTGGGGAGAAAAAGGCACCCTGTGGTCAGAGTAGTCGTGTTGGAAAAGAAATTGCTGCTGAAACCAGGTAACTCATTGTGGAAACGTTTTTCCTCCCCTTCGCACACAGGACACAACCAAGCGCATGGACGGCGACTGTCACCAAAAGCTCCTGTCAACTCTTCGGATCTTCTGGGGTTGTTGTCATGCCATTTCACGATCCGAGGTTCATTTCCGCCGTTGCTTTTTCGGGAGGTTATCCACTTTACTTGCGAGGGCATGTTGCTTTTGCCAGGTAAGCAGGTCAGGGATCAAGCCTACAACCACAACAATTCTACAATAAACACTCGATAGCTAAAGACTCCTTATGCCTGCTTGAGTCCAGAACATAATCCTCCGATTTGTTCCCTTAGGCCCGGACCCAGTGCACCTAATCCGCCGCGGGAGAGCCCTCTTTAGTACTGCTGGACACTACTCTGCCTGGCTCCAACCAGACATGGACTTAGGACAATGGTCAAAGCGCTTGCCGAACTGACTACGATTTTCATCCTAGTGATGGACCACTTCCTGGTCTCTTGCGCCTGGCGAACTGCACTTTCATGGTTAGCCATGGTTGTTACGGCCGCTAACACCCAGAAAGTCTAGCATTTCGCCGTTCGTGCATTAGCGGTGCAGAGTCTATCCCACAGGTCAATCAATCTCCAGAACCATGTGGCTGCCACCCTCAGTGTTATTGCGCATCCGAGTCTGGTAGTAGAAAGCTTCTCAGCCGCTGTTCTGGCCAGTAGACCATAACACCATGGAGGCGCCCACGCTCGTCAAACTGTTGTTTCTTGACCCCAAAGATTGTGGATGCCGGTCTGGGCATGCTGCAGCGACCCCCTGTTAGGCTGCTGGGGCATGAAAAAGGAAATCCATCCAAATAATCCCCACTACTGATTCGTTATTCTTGACCAGCGCTGGCACTCAGCCAGCCTATTTTGTGATGTGGAACATCAATTCAAGCGGGAGGCGCCTGTCCGTTTGCCCACGAAGATCGATCTGCCAGCTGCCTCCCGAGGCTGCCACGCATCAAGCCATATGACAGACCCCTGTGACGCTGTCGCTGCTAGGATTCAGCCAGCTTGCAGAAAGTTCAGCAGAGTTCTGAGATACTTTGAGACACTCGAGCTATTGATTTCACCAAGCGTATGGGCACCCCACCCTGGCAAAGGCACCGGTTCGGACGGCTTCATGACTCCCTGATATCCAGGCCCCGGGATAACACCTCGACTTTCGGCTTTCTGGAGTCGCACCAGCCTGATGAAAGTCGAGATCAGGCAAGTCCACGATTGGCCATTGAAAGCAAGTCAACACGTACTTTTTACGTCAAAATCTGATAATGGGAGCAATCTCAGAGCTAGGCTTGTCAAGCGACAATCCCAGGTCATCTGGGACAGTAAAGTGGGCAGCATGAGATGACCATAATCTAGGGGACCCAATGACCGTCTTCCTTTAGCGAACCACGACCCTGGTTCAAGCCCTCTCCTGGTGCCCCTGCAGATCGTGCCTTCGGGCTGACCGCTGACAGCCGCTTATCGGGCTCGAACTGCGCTATTGACAGGTACTTCTGAGGTGGTCCAAACACACTCCTAGCCCATCCTTGACGTTGACAGTAAATGCTCGGTTCATGATACTACTACTTGCACCATCGAGTATCATGTCCTCGTATTCCATGCTGCTCCCTGCAATTGTCTCACGCCGACTTTCCCCTGAAATTAACAAGTACAGGCGTCCCATCTCAACTTGAAACTGCCTCCATTCATCTCTTGTCCTTACAGAACCACCGCCTACGCGGACTCCTGCCACCAGTTTGCAATGGGTGAATCCTTGTCGGCGCTCCTGCTGTAGGCGTCGCCTTTGCGCCTGCTTGAATGTCATTATTCCTGGGATTGCAAAGCAAGGCCCATCTTACAAACAGAGCACTTATCGGCTATGAGACGTGAAATGAGCGGAAAGTCGCTCAGGGATGTTCCGGACAGCTGCATTGGCCTGACATCCATGTTACTCCTGATCAGGAGATTATCTGCGCACAGAAATAGGGACGCGCATGAAGCCTACAGGATGTCCCATTTCAGTCACACAGGACGACACAAAGACCCGAACTACTGGGCTCCGCATCCACAACACGCTCTTCATGGTTATCGATCTGGCCGTAATTTGCGGTTTCACTCTGGCAATGTGTTTCTGCTTGCCAGACTGTCCCGTAAGCACATGGACAGTACTATAGTGACATTTACAGCCATTTCAATTATGGTTCAATGGCCGATGCCCAGGCTTGACTAGGACCGGCACCCTTCTGGGCCATTATTGGTGAAGTCGATTGTTTCGACAGAGCCTTCAACATCTCCAGCTCGCCATAGCGCCAGCAAGATTCCGCTTATGCCAATTCCAATGCCTTCAAGGCAGGAAGTCAATTGTCCTTACTAACAAAAGATCTGTGGCCCATGTCAGGATCAACCTTTGTGTAAGCCCGTTGCCGACGGAAGCACAGCCCGCTTGTGCAACGGAACTGAACAAGTCGTACTCGGATCACCGTCGCAAGTGCGCGAGCCAGACCCGGGGCGACCGCTACTCCTTAGCCTCGTCAAACTTGGAGCTAACCCAGACGCGCTTCAGTGAGATTTCCCAGGCCTGACCGTGAGTCCTTGGATCAGTAGCTGGAATTTGAAGATGAGGTTGATTCGTATCAAACCCGGAATCTCGAGTCGAGACACGTTATCTTTCCTCATAAGGTCGTCCAGGTGAGTTTTGGCAATGTGGACTTGTCGCATCTGCCAAAGGCATTGAGTACGAGCATCTCATCAACCTTGAAAGGGTTACCAAGCTGAATTCCCTGGCAACCCCGTGGTCATTACCCGCCCGTCGCCTTATAACCGTGAGGAGGTGGACGGAGAGTCCTTCAAGTATTCCGGCGGATCAGCTTAGCGGCCAAGAACCAGCAGGGTCCTTGTGACACAATGGATACCTGGCGAATCTCAGTCGCACCTTGCAGTTGCCTGTTGAAGCTTCAGTGCAGATGGGATATCTTCAGTCGTTTCATCGCAGAGGAGCTCGAAAAGTCGTGCGACCTGCCGGCCATGGATGAGTCGGAGCTTGTTGATCAGTTCCGCAGGAGGTCGTTGCCGCATCAGGCCCTGCATCAGGCTTTGCTGCCTTGGCTTGAATATGTCCTCTCATACTGCTACTGCTATAGCTTGGAGTCGTCCATTTGGCAGAAGTTCTCATGTTTCCAGGGAAATGAAAGGGTCTGGACAATGGATGAAATGAATGCCATGGTTCGGAACGACACGCGTCAATCTCTTTGAGTCACTGTCGACTCTTTCTCCTGTATTTTGGTCCCGTTCGAGTCCTCAGCACTCATTACGCCGATGTTATTGTCCGGGAAGGTAAGGTATATGCCACGCATGAGATGACACAAGGAAGCTCCGGTTGCTGTGATAGATTGCTCCTTAAAAGGCGGGATGCTAGTGATAAACATACTATGTACAAGCTGAGCCTGAGTGTGACGCGACTCGGACAACCTCGCAGCCTCGTCAGCCTGATTTGAGTGGGCCCTGGCTGCATACTATACCCAATAGAACAATAGCAGTGTCACATGATTTTCGGTCGGGTCACGGCTGAGAATGACGTTGTTGACGGTTCGCGCGGAGTATGGCCTCTGTGCCGGACTTGAACTGCGGTACAATGCAGGTGTACAGTCCCAGCTTGAACCTCTTAATATCATAACAAACCACCTAAAGCAGGACAACGAACGACAGCTGAACCTGCGGTGTCTTTTCGATCGAGTACACCTGCTTCGTTCCAACTTATTACGGTAACGCTTTGCTCTACACATATACTTGTCTACATCACCGTATCCCGACCTGATCCTCATCATGCATCCTAAACCATCCAAAGGTTGGATCTCCAACATGTTCCGCATGGTATGTTTGTATCTTTTTCTGTGCTATTTTGCTTCCTCATACCTGCGTCTCGACGAACGTGGAATCTTGTCATGTTGCATTCGAGGTGCCAAAGACGCGGCGTACTTTCGCAGGCTCGCTCGAGGATTGTTTCATGAGATAGACAATTTGTTTCTTGACAGTGGCATTATCGATTCCGGCTTCGTCCGGCTCGAACATATCTCGATCTGGCTGACTTACGTTCTGTGAAACAGGGCAGCACGCTCGATGTGATTACTCTATTCCACAAGCCCAGCATCCCGGCGTCGGTCCGGGTATTGAACCTCCTCAAGCAAGCATCGGCCCAGGCGAGCGAGACGGCCACGGAAGACCAGGCCTCAGACCACACGCCGCAGAACACCGCGGTCACGCGAGACCCGTTCGAGCTCGAGGTCACCGAGGCCCCGCCGACATCTGATCAACTCAAAAGCATCTTTGAATACCTGGGCCCCGGGGTTGCTGGAGAACTGGTCAAGGGAGCGGCCAGCCAGAGCGATGCGTTGCGGAAAATACAGTCCAATGGCGATGCGTTCACTAGACCTGTGGTAGTGGACTGGACCAGAGGAAAAGCCGTCGTGGGCGACAAGGAGAGCGAGATTTTGAAGTTGTTGAAGGCCGAAAAGGAGAACCAGAACTGAAGAGAGGAAAGGAAGAAATACGGAAGGGAGAGATTTGGAGTTAAAGGGAAAAGGTAATGGTACTATCCAATGCCAGGCGAAGTGTCGTTGGTGATCCTGGACCGATGGCAGAGTGGCTACTTGGTAAACACAACGCTTCTACTTCACGAAACGTTATCGTTGACCCCGGATTGAATCTGCTTGCTCTCTGACTCGGAGTGCTTCTCGGAATGATAAAAAGAACCAAAAAATGGTGGCACTGTTTTTGGACAAAGTCCCTGTATTACGGCTGGATTTGTGGCTGATGAATATCCAAAAACTCAGTTCTTGAACTCAGATACCTAAGGTCCCTCTCACGACCTTGAATTCTGTCACTTACGCGTACCTGATATTGGAACTTTCGTTTTTGTATTCCTGGTCGGCCGTGGAAGAATGTCTTACTGATGCAAGGCCGCACTGCATGATTGCTGGATCAGAGCCGATTGCAGAAAGACTTGCCAGACTCGGAGGGACTCAAGGACTCGTATCGAATGCCAGGAGAGGAAGTGTGCCTGGTTGCTCTCAAACAGGAACATCCTCAGCAGCCTTGTGCTGAGAGTGAACAGGTACGTGAAGTAGCACCGAGCCTACGTCTGGAATGTGTCTACAACATGGGACCAGCGTCGCAAGGCCTGATCTCCAACCGTTAATTGTCAAGTCAAATGGAGAGGCAAGTCCCGGCAAGTCCATTCCGCAACGTCCTACTTCCATGAGCCCAGAGTAGGTGTCGATCATATCGTCCCAGCTGCCGGCATTGGACACTGGAGAGGATTATTGCCGCTGGGATGTCCAAGCCAATAGGTCAGTGAGCCACGACGGCAACAGCTTGAGATTCATATCTTCGCCAGGGGAAGGATGGGGACTTCGTTGCCAGGCGCAGCAGCTTGGCACCAAGGAAAGCTGTGTCAGGCTTGCAGGAGGCTGAGTCTTCCGAAACCCAATGCAGAGGAACGACGTGCTTGGTAGTCTTAATTTACTGTGGTGTGTCTCGCAGATCATCGAAGAGTGTACCTGGTAGGCCATCCTCACCTACAACATACAGTTCTTAATTCGCTGTAACCACCTGAGACATTCCGAGTCTCGAGACAGATCCAAGATCCCTTGGCGTCTGGTCCAAAACGGCCCCGACTTGACAGATGTGGAAGTAAGTCACAATGGAGACTGCATAGGATGGCAAGGATGCTTCGCCGGGCCAATGCGCCGTATCAGATGTGAGTTCGATAGAGTAGACTGCATCTGCTGGTTGCAGTGTAGTTGACCGAACCCAAGACAGTGCCAATGCCAGAGAGAACAACGGAACGCACTGGAAAACCTGGATTGAAAACACGGAGAAGGCTGGTCATCGACCAAAGGCCACGAGGCACAGCTTGAGGCACAGCTTGAGGCACAGCTTGAGGCCCAGTTGAACAAATAGGGAGCACACCTGGAGAAATGGGCGGCTTCTTGCCGGAAAGCCACCTAAGATCTTGGGTTTGCGTACGCAATATGGCCCACAGAGGAGCGTTCCTAGGCTGGAGAACGGGCGCCTCAGCGTCATTCCGCGGCCTGCTGGGCGCGGCTAGGCTGCTTCAGGCACAAATCCACATCCGTGGCAGGCCGTTGCCCTGCGCTGGGGCTGGCATGCGTAACACCACCAAGACTCCAACAAAGCATCCAAAAGCAGAGGATACGGCTGCCCTATTTCTTGTCTTCATCACTTAGTAGAGCCGCATTGAAAGAACGGCACCCTCCAGACTTCCCTCCTCTATCATCACCGACCGTGGTACAAGTCTCTCGTTTATATCCTCTGTTGAACCAGTCTCTCGTTGACAAACGCCACTCCCGCTGTCCTCTGCACGCACTTTACTTCCGATCTAAGATCGACAGATTATCCTTCAGATCCGCGATCCGCCCCCACGCCAGCCGACAAGGGTGGACGAACCAACGAGAATACTCTTCAAAGCCGCTCGTTTATGGTCACCACCAACAGAAACAGAGCGCAAAGGATAGACGGAAGACAGTTCTCAATTCCGTAAGCGCTGCCTCACCGGCGGCGCGGCCACGACTGCGACAAAGAAATCCCAAGACTCCCACCGCCGACAGATACATTACAGTGCAATGAAGCCGTTTCGAAGGAGATCGGTCCGGGCGACTATTATCTCAGCCATTCTTTTGGGCCAACATGTACAGGCGATAACACTTGATTTGAACAGCACCGACTCGATCAAAGCGGCCGCCAAAACGATCGCAGCCGAGATGGTCTCATATTACACGGGCTACAAACCTGGCGATACGCCTGGAAACCTGCCGTCGCCGTACTACTGGTGGGAAGCTGGAGCCATGTTCGGGGCATTGATTGACTACTATTACTTTACTGGCGACGACACGTACAACAACATCACGACCCAGGCCATGCTTCACCAGGTCGGCACCGACAACGACTTCATGCCAGCGAATCAGACCAAGACCGAAGGGAATGACGACCAAGCATTTTGGGGCATGGCTGCTCTCTCGGCGGCCGAGAACAAATTTCCAGATCCCCCATCAGACGAACCGCAGTGGCTGGCGCTGGCACAGGCCGTGTTCAACACGCAGGCGGCCCGATGGGACAATTCATCATGTGGAGGCGGGCTGAAATGGCAGATCTTCTCCTTCAACAACGGATACAATTACAAGAACACCATCTCCAACGGATGCTTCTTCAACATGGCCTCCCGTCTGGCCGTGTATACCGGAAATCAGACCTATGCCGACTGGGCGGTGCGGATGTGGGACTGGTGCTCCGCCATTGGCCTTCGGGACGACAATTACAACTTCTATGATGGCAGCGACGACACCCTGAATTGTACCGAACTCGACCACCTTCAATGGACCTACAACGCCGGCACGTTCCTGGTCGGAGCTGCCAACATGTACAACTATGTAAGTGTTGGCCTACACAGAGAGGTTCCCGAAGAAAACAAAAGTTACCTAGTAGGCAGTATACTAACCTTTGTGTGTGGCAACAGACAAATGGCAGTCAGGTATGGGAGGACCGATTGAACGGCATCATCGGCAACCTGAAGATCTTTCTGAAGAACGACGTCATGTACGAACAGGCATGCGAAACGGTCGGCACATGCAATATCGACCAACGCTCATTCAAGGCCTATCTCGCCAGATGGATGGCCGCCGCGGCCGTCAAGGCCCCTTTCACCTATTCTTCTCTCAAGCCGATCCTGGAAGCCTCTGCAAAGGCGGCCGCCGCCGTCTGCACCGGTGGGTCCAATGGTACCTCTTGTGGGTTGAAGTGGACAACAGGCTCTTTCGACGGCAGCACGGGCGTCGGCGAACAAATGTCGGCGCTCGAGGTCATCCAGTCCAACCTGATAGACATCACCTCCGGTCCCGTCACGGAGACCACAGGCGGCACCAGCAAGGGCGATCCAGACGCCGGAACTTCAAGCGACATAGGTCCATCGGACCTGAATCAAGAGGAAGTCACCACGACCGACAAGGCTGGCGCCGCCATCATGACTGTTCTGATCGCCTTTTTCGTTGTCGGTGGCGCCTGGTGGATCATAATCTGAATTTGACGGGATTGTCTGTCTGTTTCATTAAAAATAAAGAATAATTTCCTTGAAAGCGCCACCGAAGTCACCTTTGAGCGGCATTGCTATGGCGTTTATACATACATCCAGGAGTACACAACAAGACAGGGTTCGCATATCTGATGAGAGCATGCAGTGGGCGTTCACGTGGGAAAAGGGGTATTTCTGTCAATTGACCACTTTGACATGAAGCAAACGACGGCATGGCTGGGTATAACTGGGAATAACTGGGGTTTTCTGTCAGATGAGCACTGACATTGCTCGATTGAGCTGAAGGCAAGGAGTCCTGGCATCATGATAATAATTATAACGAATACGACCAAAGCGGCGTAATTTCCTTTCCGGCTCCGGATGAATCAGTCCCTAGGTAGCTAGGTATATTTTCCATTGAAGCATCCTGTGCTGTATCAACCAAGCGCCTCTCCGCCAGTGCGTGGATTCCATACCATACACCACAATGATGTGGCAGAGGGCTAGGTATCTGTATCAGTACAATAACCATTTGGGTCGTTTTGGCTTTCGCCTCCCTTGCTGAAATCAGATCATGTACACTGAGTCCCCATAGCCACAGAATTTGCTTTGCTCCAAGACGAGCACTGCATGTCAAGAACATTGCCGTAGGTATTGAGCAGATGACAGCAGAAAGAAGGGGAGTCGGAATCATGCAAGCCCGCGGTGACTTTACAACCTCACCCACCGACTCTGCTGGGGGTGGATGCGGACATGAAATCCTTTCCGGCACCATTTGCGTTATATATCGTTTTGTACTGCATTCGTGGTAGCAGTAATAGTTAGGTACTGTAGGTAGTAACGGTGCCACAGCCATACCTCATGGTTTTTTCGAACAACGATTCGCTTCGCTACAACCCCTTCTGCACCTCGGCCCTCAACTCCTCCTTGATCTTCTGCTGCAACGACTCCTCCTCCTCTTTCCGCCGGGCGGCTTCGTCCTTGGCCTTTGCCTCGGCCTCGGCGGCCGCGATCCAAATCGGTTTGTCCGACTTGCTGTACTCTTTCAACTGATCGAGGAACTCCTGGTAGTTTTGCTGTCGCTGGTCGCGGAGTTCGAGGTTACGTTTCTGTAGTTCCGGGTTGAATTTCTTGAAGAGCTCGCCTTCGGAGGGAGTGACGCTGAAGGAAGGAAATGGGACGTTAGTTTTTTGGTCTGTTCTTGTTTCTTCTTCACACACACACACACTCTCTCTGGCTAGGACATCTTCCCTCCCTCTTCCGTGCTGTTGGAATGGGGTATTTGGATCGGATTGGATTGGACTGGCTGGCAAAGACCAATCGGGCGGGAGAGATAATAGTGATTGGGCGTAAGGGGTTGTCTTACTAGTACATCAAGGCTGGACCGCCGATGCAGCATGTGACGAAACTGTTTGTTCTCTGGTCAGCACGAGGCGCAGGCATAGGTATTGAGAAAGATCTTGGTCCTTGGAAAGAGAATGATTCGAATCGAACACGGGTCCATTCATTTGTGCGCGCGTGCAGCACAACGCTGCGCTGCGAATCATAGTATCGAGTATACGAAAAACATTGATGGCATGTACGCGGTGGGATCGTGTGCGACTGGTTGCGGTGTTGGGGGATCCTCTTACATTGCGGCCATTTTGGCGTACATCCCTCCCCGAGACGCCATGTTTAGAGGTCGTGAAATTTTGCGGGTCGCGATCGAGGATCGGTGGGTAAGTGGTTACTTGATGAGTCTGTAAGCTCACGATGCGCACGGTATTGCGGTGCTGTGTCTCGTCGTAGTACTCGTGATGGCTGCGCTGGCGACTCGGCGTGTTCGATGGCTCTGTGGCCGCGCGAGTTGGATTGGAGAACCGATACAGTTGGTTTAAGGCATCGAGCACATGTATAGGTGCGGTACAGTCGGAGCCGGTTTGCCCAAGTTGATGGTGAGGACCTTGCACAATGTATTGTACAGTGAAATAGCAGTCAGTTCAATGGAGCGCAGGAACTAACAACTTGAACTCGGACGTCGCTCTCTCGAAGTTCAAGATGCGGGTCTGGACTAAGGGACCTGGTAGCCTAGCCGCGTCGATGATGGCATGCCACGGCATTGCAGTGCAGTGCAGCTGTGCAGTTATAGTGTCTGGCGGCCCGGCTCAGCCTTTTGAGTCGAAATTCAGTCGTGTCTATTGGCCGAGGCTTGGCTTACATAACCCGGCCAGCAGCGACCCGCGATCAAGTTGAATAGCAGAATATGTACGATTGTTGCCTAAGCCATTGATATTTCGCCTTTAGCATCCGGAACCAAGTGCATAACGACTCGGATGGGCTACAATGAAATCATGGCGTTTTGATACCAGTGCAGAGAGAGCTGACCGGATCCCCGGCGGGTTTGGTGGTCAGACGGGTCGGTTAGGACACAGCCTCGCCTGAACACATCATCGCGAATCCGAGGCTGCGGAAGGGTGGCAAGAGATGTAAAGAGACTAACGTTGTGATCTCCGTAATGTGCTTCCAAATGTCTGGCTATCAATCAAATTATCCGAGATGGTGGTGATGATGGTGTAGTAGTACAGTAGGTGTTGTACCTAGGCACCTGGTTAACCAGCCTTTTCAAGTTCGCTGCAGTTCATAACGCGCGGCGTGCCAGTGTCTGCACGAAACGCTGTATCACGTGCAAGACATATTTAGCGTGCCGGGTGCGGCAGCTTCCAGTGGCCTGCCCAATGGTCACCGTAGCGCAGCGCCAGTCAGCACCGCAGTCCAGTTGCGTGGCCGTTGCCCGAGTGCGCTCCCCTGAGGCCTAGCGAGCCCGAGCCCTGACCTGACTGTGGCACTGCTCGTGCCAGCCTGCGAGTGCCAGACTGCGCTGCGGACTGGGGTCTTTTATGGCTCAGGTTCAAGTTCTGCAGGCTCCGACTCCGTCCTCCTCCATCATCCGTTCTTGGGTCTCGCCGCAGCCAAAGCGCCAGATTACCAGCCCAGCGTCCACGTCGGTTTCAAGTTCAACTTTCTAACTCCCAACCACTGCATCCATCTTTCATCCCATTCCATATCATCATCAAACTCTATCACCAGTGAATCAACCTCTCTCTCTATCAAGACTATCACGATACACCATCATTCCCGGCGCGTCTCTCCCATTTCCGGTGTATCCTATTGTCGTCGCTTGACAACCGACACCTCTCCCGCATCCATCCTCCTCCTTACCTTCTACCATGGCCGAACGCGATCAACCATATGACCCTTACATCCCCTCTGGGGGCCAAGGCGGTGCAGCGCCGGGAGGCAATCAGAGAACAGCTGCTCTGCAAGCGGTACGTGACGAGCCAACTTCTGCGCTTCATCTCGAGCCGGAGGCATGCAAATGGGGCCTCCCAGTCCTGTTGCCTGCAGTTTGCATTTCAGATTCCGCCTTAGGTTTCACCATGTGTATCGCGGGTATCCCAGCAGGGCCGGAGGCAACATTCGCTTTGCTCTGCATCACCGCTGAGCCCATTGCGCCCTGCCGGCTCAAGCTTTTGTTTGCGGCTTTCTGGCCAGACTAGGCTGACAACTTAACTATAGCAAATCGATGACACAGTTGGTGTCATGCGAGAAAATATCAACAAGGTGTCCCAACGAGGCGAGCGACTAGACTCACTACAAGACAAGACCGATAACCTCGCCGTCTCCGCCCAGGGATTCCGAAGGGGGGCAAACAGAGTCCGCAAACAGATGTGGTGGAAGGACATGAAGATGCGAATGTGTATCATTGCGGGCATCATCATCCTTCTTGTTGTCATTATCGTTCCAGCCGGTATGTTCGAATCTACGCCTTAGCCACATGAGATACTAACGGTGGACAGTGGTCGTTTCCAAATAAGCTGGTGCAGGACTTGGTACACTCAAACAACCTCCCGAATGCTCCTCACGACCTGATTATCGAATTTGTCTTTTTGGGCTAGCGTTTGTACAACTTGGAGCGAGCAAAACGAGTTCTATCCGGGCCTGAAGTTGGGGGTTCTGCAGGTGCTTATTGTTTGCCTGCGCGCGGACCTAAGAACAGCAGTTCCTCCCCGGAGCAGAACTGGAAGAAACGTTGGCGGAATGAGAGCCCTCGGATGGTATGCTCAGGGGCGTCTAGTGGTGGATGGACAAAGGGCATACTTGTGACAATAATACCTATGGGGTTTGATACAACGGCGCATTTCCAACCACGATTCTACCATCCACCGCTTCAGGATCCATAGTAGCTTCTTTCCTTTCAACGTGTGACTCCAACGAGGATATACTTCTACTGCCAGTGGAGCGCGCAAAGTGCCGGTACTGTACTTGGACTGGTGCAGGCTACATACATGTAGCAACACGAATGATATTCTCCATGCTGGCGGGTCTTGAGCTTGGTAGGTGAGCAGATCTGGTTCGTAGAGCCGCTCTTTGCGCAGAACAGTATAAATTCGGCTGCAAGTAGGAACGGCGCTGCCTCCCTGGCATGCAGAGGGTGTTTATGTTAAGGTACTCTGACATGCCCGAAGACGGGCCTTGGTATGCTATAGATGCCGTCTCATTGTAATCATGCAGCCGAATGTCGGCCTGGGCAGAGGCCCGCCACCTACAAAATATTGCGGTTGGGCGTTACTAGTAGGCAGTGGAGAATCTGAGCTTTGGTGTTCGTTGGTTGGGTGCTGGGCTACGTAGATAGGCACCGCACGCACGACTCACCATCGGGACACCCCGCAGATACGGACTCTTTGCTACACAGTCACTGGGCAGCGAACTGAAGCGCATGAAAAAAATTGAACGCGCCAGGGTCACCGACGCTCTTCCTTAAACACCAGTGCTTGCATCCTCGCCGTCGACTTGTGGCCCGATCCTGCTCAGCAGACACTCCTTGTGGAAATCACTCTTCTCTCCGTCACCCCAGCAAGAAAGCTCTTTCACAAGCGGCCAGGGTCGCCGACCTCGCCTTTCCCCAGGTTTCTCTCCAGCTGCCGCATGAGCCAGGGCACGATGTCGGCAATGGGTGCGGCCGCTGCTCGAGCAGTAACCAGAGCAGCGACGTCCTCTGCACGTGCTCGACCGTCGCGAGCTCTACGTCTTGCTCGATATCCCTATACTCCTTTGGCAGCGCACCAGATCTCGTCTCGAAGGACATATTCCTCTCCTTCGGCGCCCTACGCCTCAACCAGGTCGACGGTGGTGCAGCTGTTGAGCAACATTGGCTCCAAGAGGGAGGTCCAACAGTATCTGTCACACTTCACTTCAGTCTCCTCGCAGCAGTTTGCCGTGATCAAGGTTGGTGGTGCTATCCTGACGGAACACCTCCAGACCTTATCTTCCGCTCTTGCATTCCTCAACCATGTCGGACTTTACCCGGTGGTTGTGCACGGAGCGGGCCCACAATTGAACAAGATATTGGAAGACTCGGGGGTCGAGCCACATTTCGAAGATGGAATCCGTGTTACAGATCCCAAGACATTGGGTATTGCACGTGCCCTGTTTCTGGAAGAGAACCTGCGTCTGGTGGAGGAGCTTGAGCGCCTGGGAGTCCGCGCAAGGCCCATCACGTCTGGAGTTTTCACCGCCGACTACTTGGACAAGGAGAAATATAACCTCGTGGGCAAGATCAAGCGTGTCGACAAGAAGCCCATTGAAGCTGCTATCGAAGCTGGCTGTCTCCCCATCTTGACGTCTATGGCCGAGTCGGAAGAAGGACAGATTTTGAATGTCAACGCTGATGTTGCGGCTGGCGAGCTCGCCCGTTCACTTCAGCCCCTGAAGATTGTCTACCTTTCCGAGAAGGGCGGGTTGTTCAATGGAGATACTGGTGAGAAGATCTCCGCCATCAATTTGGACGAGGAATACGACCACCTCATGAAGCAGTGGTGGGTTCGTCATGGGACAAGGCTGAAGATCAAGGAGATGAGAGAGCTGCTCATGGACCTGCCTCGAAGCTCCAGCGTCGCCATCATCCACCCTGCCGATCTTCAGAAGGAGCTCTTCACGGATTCTGGTGCTGGCACTCTGATCCGACGAGGCAACAAAGTGCATGTGAATACCTCGATCGACCAGTTCAAGGACATTGAACAACTGAAGGAAGTTCTCATCCGCGATCGCGCTGGCCTCGACGCCAAAGCTGTCGTAGATAGGTACATCAAGAGTCTGCGAGACCGAGAGTTCAAGGCCTACTTCGACGAGCCAATGGATGGTCTGGCCATTGTTCTGCCACCAAACGGAGAAACGGTCCTTGCTCATTTGGCCACTTTGACCATCACCAAGAATGGCTGGTTGACCAACGTGGCTGACAATATTTTCGCCGCTATCAAGAAAGATTTCCCGAAGCTGATGTGGACGGTCAAGGAGGATGACGAGAATTTGACCTGGTTCTTCGACAAGGCTGATGGAAGCCTTACCAAGGATGGTGAAGTTCTCTTCTGGTATGGTCTGGAGACAAGTGACGAGGTCAAGGATTTGATGGTCGAGTTCACAAAGCACGGTCGACAGATGTTTGGCGATATCAATCTCGAGTCCAAGTTGCAACGAGCTGCAAGGGCTGCTGCCACTCTGGCAAGCAACGCCGCTAAATCAGCGGGCTTGACTCAGAAGAGAACATTCTCAACCCAGGCCAACCCCTTGAGAGCGGCGAGGCAAGCTAGATATGTTGCCAGACCTGCTCTTTCTATCCGCACCTATGCTACGACGAACCCCAACCCTCCCCTCGGCGCTAAAAACAGCTCCAATGACAAGCCTTCACGGGTGGCCCTGATCGGAGCTAGAGGTTACACCGGTAAGGCTTTGGTCGACCTGCTCAACCGGCATCCACATATGGACCTCCGCCATGTCTCATCACGGGAGCTCGCAGGACAGAAGCTCAGCGGGTACGACAAGCGCGACATTACCTACGAGAATCTCAGCGTCGAGGATGTTCGACAGATGGAGGAGAACGGAGATGTCGACTGTTGGGTTATGGCCTTGCCCAACGGTGTGTGCAAGCCGTTTGTCGATGCGATTGACCAGGTTGGTAAGAACAGCCTCGTCATCGACTTGAGCGCCGATTACAGATTTGACCCTGCCTGGACCTATGGCTTGCCGGAGCTTGTCGACCGAGCTGCCATCGCCAAAGCAACCCGGATCTCTAATCCTGGATGCTATGCTACCGCTGCTCAACTTGGCATAGCACCCCTTGTGCCATACCTTGGAGGTCAACCTACGGTCTTTGGAGTTTCGGGCTATTCTGGCGCCGGCACGAAGCCAAGTCCGAAGAACGATGTCAAGAATCTGACCGACAACATCATTCCTTATAGTCTGACAGACCACATCCATGAGCGCGAGATTTCGACGCAGCTGGGTGCACCGGTTGCTTTCATTCCGCACGTGGCTGTCTGGTTCCAAGGCATCCACCACACCATCAACATCCCGCTGAAAGAAGAGATGACGTCTCGCGATATCCGGAACTTGTACCAGGATCGCTATGCTGGAGAGAAGCTCGTCAAGATTGTTGGTGAAGCACCGCTCGTCAAGAACATTGCCCACCGTCACGGCGTTGAGATTGGTGGATTTGCCGTCCACTCCAGTGGCAAGCGAGTGGTCATCTGCGCCACCATTGATAACTTGTTGAAGGGAGCCGCGACACAATGTTTGCGTAAGTTCTGCTCGATTCAGTAACTAGAAGTGACGTGGTTTTGCTAACATTGATTCTGCACAGAAAACATGAACCTGGCACTCGGGTACGGTGAATATGAGGGCATTCCACTTGAATGAGAGGCTCCAGCACAGGATATTTGGAACAGGACGAGCAAGTATCTTCCAATAGTATCGAGTAAGCCAGAGCTCATGATGCCCGAAGTTGGACAACCTCGCGCCTCTCCCTCCAGCTGGTACTCTTGAAATTTGTTTATGGGCTGTATCTAGACAGAGAGTGAGTGCATGAACATAGAGGAGGGTTTGAGAAAGAAAGAAAAGCCTGGTTTTGAGCTATCTAGCATGAGGCATTGCATAATCGCATAAGCGGCCGGTCAAGTCAGGTCAGGTCAGGTCAGGTAGGTGTTCTGTCAGAAGGTTGCTTAGCAGAACAGAGATGGCGACGCAGAGTCTGAGTCTACGCGAACCAAGCTGAGCTGGATGGGTATTCATTCAGCTACACGGTGGAGGTCGCGATAAGGGAATGCATGAAGTTTCTTTCCTTTTATCTAAAATGGTGTTTTTCTGCCTGCGGAAACTGCATGGTGCATTTGTTCATTGTCGCTGCAGTCGTCGTTGATATGGCCTCTCTTCTGTGTCATGCATAGCACTGCGCTGCGCTCTACTGTACTATGCATCTGCATCCTCTCATCCGCATCCTCCTCTCCTGTTCACATTCATTTCACATCTCTGGTCCCATTCAACCTTTTCCTTTCTTCAATCTCGTTTGTTCTTGTTCGATTTCCGACTTACAGTCGTTTGTTCGTCTCCTCTGTCCTCACCAAAATCCACGTCACCTGTACCCGTTCGCTTTGCCTCTACCTCGTGGGACTCGGACTCGACGGTCCGCGAACAGTCCCTCGGCCACATGCGCCGCTGTTGAGAGATAACTGCTGGTTATACTAGCAGGAGGTTGCTCGCGGCGGCGATTCGATCCGCCCACAACAACAGCCGTCACGATGTTCTACAGTCATGAAAGTGAGTCTCTTGAGCCCGGCCCTTTTCTTCTCGTCCCACGTTGGTTTGCGCCTTGCCTAGTCTGCTCTTGCAAAAGAGACCGCACCGCACCGCAAGCACACGATTGAGTTTTTCAAAGCAAGTGCTGTAGGCCACTGGCGGCGAGAGATACAACACAGACAGGCAAGGATGGGATGCTAACGGAAATGATTGATTGATTTCTAGTGTTGACGAGTCGTCGGTATGGCGTGGCTACGATTTGGTAAGTTTTATTCCATCGGAACCTTTTACCTCTCCTCTTCCTCCCTGTTACTCCTCCTGATTGTCCTTCTCTATCCATGCGCCGCGGTCGATTCCGTTCAAGTCCCTTCCTCACTTCCAACACGGGTGCGAGTGCGGTCTGCTACCAACCTTCCCAGAACGGGACGAGACGAGGTCGACCGTGCAGTGGGCGAGTTGGAATTACGAACCTACAAATTCTCAGCATGCCACTACATGCAGTGCATGGCTTTCTCTCTTCCATGCCTTACTGTACGTGCTGACATACCTCTCTCTCTGTTCTAGGCTCGTCGCAACCCTCGGCAACAAATCCAATCTGAAGAAAGTCACGCGGCGGGCCATTCTCGACGTGGATGTGCCCAAGGCATGCGACGTTATCACGGAGCCTGATATGCCGTTGGCTTTGCGTTTACAGGGCAATTTGCTGTATGTCTCACATCCTCATACTCTGTACCTATACCCCTCTTTCCGTTCAAAAATTTGCCGTCGCTATCCCCGAGTCCCTCCGGAATCCCAATGCCCGTATCATCCTGGAGGTATAATGGTATGGACAGTATGATGGCTAATTGATATACAATACGCTGCGCGCACAGATTCGGTGTTTCACGAGTGTTTTCCCACCAATGTGGCTATGTGTTGGCGGACGTGACGAGTCTGCGGGACAAGATGAGAGGCACGCATGTGCTCTTTAATGAGACGGAACTGGATCCAGACGTGGGCAAGACGAGGTGAGTATTTCATCAAAAGAAAAATCTTTGCTGGAGAGGTGAAGTGAGGATTAAAACTGACTGATTCAATCCTCAGACCAGAACAGCTCAACCTTGCAGAAGATCCATACTTCATCCCCGATCTCGACATCAACTTTGATCTTGCGGCGTTCGGAATCTCTTCGGGTGGTTCTGGTTCCACGGTCTCTGGTCGGTCGTCCCCTGGCACCTGGCTGTCGAGCCGGTCTAGTCTTCTCGTAGACGATGATGACGAGGAACCTGGCCTGGAAATTTCCTCGCTCGATACACCTGGCGGCGGCGGATTCGGCATGCTCGGTACCGACTTTGGCGCAGGAACGAGCTCCGTCCTCAAAACTGGTAGTCGAGCGGGACATCCTCGTCCTCCTTCGCTGTTCGAAGAGGAGCCTGCTATCATTGACGATCCGATTTTCGACATTGACGACGACGGAGTCCTCCAACCTGCAATGCCTGTGTCCGGGGGTGACATTGACATTCAGAGCAGCGGCTCCGTCGGAGATCAAGGTCAAGGACCGCAGGGGCAGGTTGAAGATGAAGCAATGGCAGGTGGCGGCGTTGAGAGCCGGCTTGCAACCCCATTGCCAGAAGGCATGCCACTCCCTCAACACGACATCATAATGTACGACGACAACGACATGCCAATGTTCCTTGATGATGACCAGATCGACCTGGCTACTCCGCAGCATGCACTGGCAGCAGCTGAAGGTGAAGCTCCCGGCACGGTACGTTCGACTTCCTCGGTGCAGCCGCCCGATACTGAGTCTCGAGAAACGTCGGAGACAGCAGAAGCGCCCCAGCGACGAGCACGACCGGTCAAATCCATCCGGCCAGACCAGAGAACCGAGCTGAGCAATCGAGACTTGAACGAGTGGAATGAAAACTATCTCGTCAACATGGCAGCTGCCCTGCGCAGTCGACAAAGCCAAGTATCACGCTACGAAGCGAAGAAGAATGCCGAGTTCTGGATTCTGCATCAGGGAATCGGGAACATTGCCGGCACTTTCGGCGATGATCGTACACAGCATCCGTTCGCGCTCTTCAGCGGCCAATCGCTCTGGGAACTGCTGAGGGACGACAAAGCAGGGGGTACTAAGCGATCACGTTCACGCAGTGGTTCAGACACCGCAGAGGCAGACGACGGGGATGAAAATGCCAGAAGAGTTCGAGCAAGAACCACGGCGTCTCAAGAAGAACATGGCCGTGGAGAAGATGGCGTTGGCATTGACAACAATGACAACGGTATCAATTTCGACGAGGACGACGGCCTCAACATCCAGGGACCCGGAGGAGACGAGTTCAACATCGGATCCGAGGTTGGCCGCCATGCACCTCCTTCGTTGCCAGACCGGTCCTCGGGAATGCCTTGGAACACGGGCATCTCATCGCGTCAAAGCTTTGCGCAGCCAGGATCCCGGGGCCTTCGCCATGGCAGCGGCCTCTTCAGAATGAGTTCGAGTGTCGGTGGTCTTGCAGGCGGCATGGAACTTGTTGGACCCCCTTCTGCATTCGGCAGACGCGGATCTCGTTTCACTTCCGCCAGTCCGTTGCTCGGCAAAGGACCAGGACCGTCGTTTCCTCGACTGAGTAGCCAGGAAACCGGGGAGATGCATGGGTCACGACTCAGTAGCAATGTCAGCAACGAAAACGACTTTGCTGATCTCGATGCGCAGCTAGGTGTCGGCGCTGATGCTGACGTCGACGTCGACTTCGAGCTCTTCGGTCCTTCTGCGAATGTCGACACGCAGACAGCAGCACAGAGTCAATGGGTCGCTGAGACGCTGGAGAACGAGGCATACAACTTTCTCACCTTTGTCAACACCAAGGTTCAGGCTCTGGCAGAGGAAGGTCAAGAACGCGACCGCGGCGCCGCTGTCACGCTGGACGAGCTGCTTCCTCCGACGCAGCATAGTCAGGTTGTGGGCGCCCAGGCTTTTCTTCATGTGCTCGCGCTCGCCACAAAGGGCCTCCTCCAAGTCGCTCAGGCGGAACCATATGGTGAGATTGGGATTGCTGTTGCAGACTCTTGGGTTCCACAAGGAAAAGGAGATGAGCAGACTGTACCTACGGTTTAGGAAGGTAACATGTCGCAAATGGCTGTGGCTAGTCTTGACAACGACCCACAAGATGTCCACGGAAAATGTCTGCGGAACTTGAAGGTTATGCTGAGGTCGGCAAGTGTTTGATGTTCAAGAACCAAGACAAAATGGGTTCAAGTTATCAGAAGTGTGGAGTTTGAGTTTCCAGTGATGGCATACTGTAATGTATGAAGTGCCGGTATGGCTTTCAGTTGAGGTTCGATGATGATTAACTGGTACATGGGTACCTACCTACCTGTATGTGGCCGAGTTGTTTGTAACGGAGAGAGAACTTGAATGTCACCATAACCATGCAGTGGAACGAACTCAACTACCTAAATGTTCCTTTCCTCTGTGGGTTGCCTTGTTACTTCGACTAACTGATACAGTAGATACCTCACTCTGTAGGTGGAGCATGTGAGAGCAAGCAGTTTACACCACGAACCAAAACCTTGGCCGTTGCAGACGTCCCCATCCGAGTCCTCGATGCTTCAGGCTGTGGCGCAACTCGGCTTGAACTTGAAATCGAGGAATTCCAGCTTCGAGTCTCTATTCACTAGGTGCTATTTGTCGCTGTGCTTATGCAGTGTGGCAAGCCTGAGCCCACAGAGAAGGCCTTAGCTGAGACTCATGACGTTTCAAAGGCTTTTCAGCTTGGTCCAGGATGCGGGAGAGGCGCTGATGAGAAGGCTTACTTTGGCGAGCAGCCGGTTTCTGAGAGCCTTTATTACAAGGGTCATGCTGGGAGTATCGCAGACGCCTCGGGCGCTCGAGTCCACTGTTGTTCAAGTTCATCTCTAAATTGTGGTCACTGGGCAGTAACTGCAGCGGGCGAAGCAGAGAGCCTGGACCCAGTTCACGGTGTGCGCTGCTGTGGCTTGGCTCTGCAGGAAACTGGGACATGGCGGCGAGCATTGAGCGCTGCATTGTCTAACGGATGATCTGGGTGCGAGGAACGGGCAACGAAGTGTCAGTGGCTCAGGCTCAATGCTGGTTGCGTCGAATCACGGGCCTGTGCCTGACAAGGAACAGCCTGAGGCACAGCAGTGGCTGATGCAGTTGAGTGATGAGGCACGAGGGGCCCTTGAAACCAAGTCACAGCAGGGAATCCATCACTGACGCTTGCAGGAGAGTAGAGACACAGCGAGGGAGTCACTTTGCCCGACTCGTACACGGTATATTCATTCATTATTATTCATGTTGGACTCCAGCTTACTTACTAGGTAGGTAGGTTGTAGGTAGGTATAGGTGACACAGCCTGGCATTCAAGTTACGGGCATCTCGAGGCCCATAGATATCCATTGCTGGTCTTCCCCTGGCCCCTGGTGCAAACGGCGGCCCACAACCAGCCGAGTGCCTGAGCCTTAGAAGCCCCCAGCCGCGATCCTGGTTAAACGGTCCTTGATTTAAGTGGTGCTCAACTGTGCCCGGAGAGTGGCTGCGAGGGAGATCGTCTTTGTGCCGAAGCAAAGGTCGACCATTTTAATTCGATACGCCGTGCAGTAGAGTACCAGGTACACACTGCAGTAGTAGTTGGTACCACTGTGTAGCGTGTGGTAGGTTTGTGCATCTCCATCACAGACCATCCCGACTGACACCACATTGCCCGGACCACTGCCAGTGTGTCCTAACAACCCAGACCCAAGAACCTGAGGAACCACACTTTCTCCAGCCATATCCAGCGCCTTGTATGTCATGACTGCACGGGTCACGAGCCCACGAGTTTGCTACACGCAACGACGTATTTTCCTGTCGATCGCTTCGGAGCTGAATGATCTCGTTTCCATTCCTCGACGATTCCTACTTTGAGCTGCTGCTTTAAATCGGCCTTTCATTTCGTGCGGTCGGGTTCTACTGGAAGACAATGAACGCCATTGTTGTCCAGACTTTGCGCAAGACTTGATTCCTTTGGTTGGACATCTCTTTGTCCACCCGCTTCCAGCGACATACACAGACACATACACCAGTCCAGAACACCTCTCGGCAATACTGCCCGCCGCCAAATGGCTAGCCTGTGAGGCCGATATCTCATCCTAGGGACAAGATGATGGCCGGCAATCAATATCGCCAGCAGTGGCAACAAAGCCCTGCTCCGAACCAGCAATCATATCAGTACGATCGTAGGCACGATCAAAGGCAATGGCAAGAGAACGGGAGAGCTCAAGGGGTATACACGGACAATCAGGAATATCAACGATACAATGAGGCTCCTCAAGATCACCGCGGTTACGGCGGACTCGGAGGACAGCGCACGGCTCCAGCGCCCGCGCGGAGGAACAACTACGACCAAGACTGGCAATGGCAGGGTCAGGATCAATACTCTCAAGGAGGCTATCAGAACTCGTACGCCGAAGGCAGAAATGGATACCACGACCAAGCGTACAATGAGGATATATACCATGATCAAAACCATGCCCCAAACCGCACCTATCAATATGACGACAGATATCGAAGCCACAATGGCCAGCGCAAACCGCCGATGCAATATAACGCGAACGGGCCCGACAACTTGAACCAGCGGGGATCACCCCGCCATCAAAGGTCGGATCCTCCTAGTCCGGAGAAGAGATCGAAAAGTAAGTCCACGCTCAATCCTACTCTGCTTTTCGTCTGTTGCTAATTCGATGTAGCGCGGGAAAGGGAACGACTCGCGGCGAACCCGACGTCTCCTAAGAGCCTGGCCTGGGACAATCCATTCGGAGCGTTTCCGAAGAAGTCGTCTGAGAGGGAAAGGCGCGCCAGTTTGGAAAATGGACTAAACAACTTGACCATCAACGACTACCAGCAAAGCAGCGGAGATCCTGAGGCGAGACCGCACACGTCTCATGGTCATCGCGGACCGCCGAGGAAGGACCCTCCCCGACCTACCACTGCGCACGACCGCTCTCATGATATGGTTCGACCTGCTCTCCAGGAGTACCAGATACAACCTGCGCGTGGTTCGGCAGACACGCATCCTCCACGTCAGAACTTCAATTCAAATGGCTCTGGACCCACACCGCAAGGCTATCAAACCCAACCCGGGCGTGGTTCGGGCGATAGCGGTGGGCAACGGCGAGACTTCGATCCGGACTCGAGTCGACGGCCTCAGGAGGACTATGAGCCACAGTCGGGTCGCGGTCAGTCCTACCCTGACTATCAGCGTCAGAACCCCGGTCGAGAGATGGGGCGACGTCCGGTGCAAGGCTACCAACCACAACCTGGTCGCGGAGCAGCCGATGTTGGCAACCAGCGTCAAAACTACGATGCGGATATGGGCCGGCGTCCAGGACAGAACTACCAGCCACCACCGTCTCAGGGTCCAGACACCAGTCGCCCCCGTCAGGATGTCAGGACGAACCAATCGACTAATAGCCCTGCAAATCGACGGCCTGTTCCGGAACCACGTCGTGGACCTCCGCCACAGCCGATGAAGCAAGATCTACCACATGCTCAAGCATACGGCTCAATGTCTGACTATCCTTCTAATGGCGGGCTCAACATTCGAGGCGGCTACCAGCCTCAAAGCCCTCGGCGTCAGGAGTATTTCACGACAAACGAGCGTTACGATAATGACTACATCCCGCCTTCAGTTCCATACGAGTCACCTAACGAACCTTCTCCATCCAGATCCGCGCCTCGGTCTATACCTCAGAACAATTACAGAGCTGACCCCTATGGAGCGGAAGTGCCCAATCCAACGCCGCAATATAGAGGGAGAGATAGGGAAGTGCCCAATTTCGATGCCATTCCTCCCTACGCCAACGAAAACCCCGAAGACCACGTTAGTCCAAGCCCACCTGCTTCTTTCAACCCTCAAGTGTACCGCAAGCCAACATATCAGGAGCCCGGCTCATTACCAGGGCCGATCGATACCACTCAGAACAAGCCAGTTCCAGCCAAGATAACCGACTCACCTCTGGCCGAGTTCTCTTTCGATCTGCCGCCTAGTGGCAACAACCGACCCTTGACGCCGAGCAGAAATGATGTCTCTGCTCAAGCACCGTTGAGAGGAGAATACGGTGGACCCAGAAACTTTGACTCGAGAGCACCTCCCGCTGATGGGTATGGGAGTGTACAGACTCAGCCAGCACCAGTCTCACAGTATCCTCCACGAGCGGCCAGTAGAAACGGCATCAAGCCACCCGTGGGCGCGGCTCCTCCGATGCCTGGCAATAACCAAGGATATGGATCGTTTGGTCAAGCTCAAACACCTGTCCGGCCACACACGGCCAACTCAGCGCGTTCAGCACCCCAAAATTATGATGTGGGCAATCCTTATGACTCGGAATATGCGGACTACCGAGCACCATCCGCGCCGGCAGTATCGGGACCGTTCAATCAGGCATACAATCCCGCTGGAGGCAATCAACAATATCGGATGCCTTTTGAACAAAGAGCGCATCCTCGAGGAGGGTCTCAAGATAACTACCAGGGTGGCGGGCTTCGACCCAAGACATCTAATTCATCGCATCCTGTCCCTGTGCGAGTTTATCCGAGTGCCAACCCAACCAATACAAGCGCCGGTACGAATGCGAATAAGTCGCAGGTGAATGTTATCAACAACAACCCTGACGCGTTGCCTGCTCACCCGGAGCCAGTCAGGCCAGGCTTGAGCAATGGATATAATGCTGCCGGGTCGGCACAGCCTGTCCAACCCTTATCGAGACCGGCGCCAACAACAACACCGGCACCGGCACCGGCGCGACCACCGAGTGATTCCAGTGGAAGAAACACACCGCCAGTCAGCATCCAAGAGCTCAACCAGTTGCGACAAATGTACAGTCAGAATCCTGGCGATCATGCGCTTGGGCTGAGGCTGGCGAAACGATTGGTGGAAGGCGCTCGAGTGCTCTCGGATGAAGGAGGCAAGGCGGACGCGAAACAGACGCAAAAGAATCGAGAACGATATATTTTTGACGCGCACAAGTTGGTGAAGAAACTGGTGGCGGCCAATTATGCCGAGGCCATGTTCTACCTTGCCGATTGTCATGGCCAAGGACTCCTGGGGCTACCGGTGGACGCCAAGGAAGCTTTCCATCTCTATCAATCGGCCGCGAAATTGGGTCATGCACAAAGCGCCTACCGGGTGGCCGTTTGTTGCGAGTTGGGGTCTGAGGAAGGTGGTGGGACTCGACGTGATCCGATGAAGGCCATGCAATGGTACAAACGCGCGGCGACGTTGGGAGACACCCCTGCGATGTACAAGCTCGGGATGATCTTGCTGAAAGGTCTACTGGGTCAGCCAAAGAATCCGCGCGAAGGAGTTTCGTGGTTGAAACGAGCGGCCGAACGCGCGGACAAGGACAATCCGCACGCGTTGCACGAACTGGGACTTTTATACGAATCGACGACGCCTCTAGACAACATCATCCGCGACGAAGGATATGCGTTTCAGTTGTTCCAGCAGGCCGCCGATTTGGGGTACAAATACTCGCAATTTCGCCTGGGGTCGGCGTTCGAGTATGGGTTGCTGGGATGTCCTATCGACGCGCGACAAAGCATTGCGTGGTACACCCGTGCCGCGGCCCAGGGTGAACATCAATCCGAGTTGGCATTGAGTGGATGGTATTTGACGGGGTCGGAGCCGTTGCTCACGCAAAGCGATACCGAGGCGTTTTTGTGGGCGCGCAAGGCGGCGAGCTCAGGGCTGGCCAAAGCGGAATATGCCATGGGGTACTTCAATGAGGTCGGCATTGGAACTGCGGTGGACCTGGAAGAGGCCAAGCGGTGGTATTATCGGGCAGCCTGTGAGTAAACCCATCATCGGTTGAAGATTTGTTTTTCCTTCTGATTTGACAGTCACTAACCCGCACGTCTAGCACAAAATTTCGCCAAAGCACGAGAACGGCTGGAGGAGTTGAAGCGCGGCCAGAAGATGTCCAAGACCCGAGTCTCGCGAAGCAACGTCAACCGACAGAGTGATGGGGATTGTGTGGTCATGTAATGCAATCAGGTCAATGGGAATGACATGTAGTCAACGCCAACACGGATATGGACGAATCTGCTCTCTCAAGCGACGATGTCAAGAAAGGGGAATGGAATCAGGAAGGACAAGACAGGACACGACACTACTAGTACGACGCGGAGACGGCTACATACGAGCAAAAGACCTGGCAGGAGCAGAGAGTGTGAGGCGGTGGATACCTGGCGCAAATGGATTTACTGGTGTTCATGTTCACGCGGGAAAAATCTCATGACATGAAATCGAGGCCCTCAGATGTCGAGGCGTAAATCAGGGAGGCCAGCTACTAGCACTGCCACTGCCACTGCCAGTGCAGTGGATGATGTTGATTCGGTCATATGATACTAACTACTGTAATACAAATTCAAACACCCTCAAAAATGTCACAGTGCCTGCGTCCGCTCAACTGACCTCAGCCAACCTGAACTGATGACCGGACCGTGATCGATCGACGTAACTGTTGGTAAGGTTCCAACGAAAAACAAGAGTTGAGGGCTCGGTCGGTATGGAGGCTGGAGGTTGGATACTGTCGCACATGGCTGAGAGTCCAGTAGGTCACACGCCAGCTCTACGCGTAGTGTCTCTGTGTCCGTGCCGTGCCCGTGCTCGTGTTCTGCAATGTGATTGTGTCACTTGGGCCTTTGCAACCAAGATCTATATCTCGCATCTCGATCGATGGGCTGTACTGTTGTGCTGTACTATGCACTGTGCCGTGATGTGGTGTAGTAGTGTACTAGTACCTCAAGCAAATACCACCTATTTGGCCGGTAGTATGTACCTGGTAGACCTACTCGTTTGTTAATAAGGATGATTCGAATCTTTCGCATCTTCGTGGTCGAATCTAGGATCTTTAGCCCCGATTCTCGCTCCAGGCCCTCCACAGTTTTGGTCCCGCACTAAAAATCGTACCGGAAAACCAGTTGAACTCCACAGACTTCCTCACATTATTTCTTCGTGGTCAGTTAGTGACGTCGCACACCTTACAACTACACTGTGCTACACCCACCGACACTCAGATCACCAGTGCCAGTGGTTGACGACACTCGCACGGTCTCTGATTGCCTGGATGTCATATCCGACCATGACCTACGGTGCTGTAGGGACTCCTAGAGACTCCTGCCCGGCACAGGTTCCCGCTAAGTACTGTCACTCTGTATCTCAGGTAGAAATCCCATCCGATCTGAAGTACTCCAGTGTGAGCTTCTCTGCCAGTGAGCCTGACCCCTTACGTCGTTTACGTTCTGATCGACATCGAAATTCTTCGGGGCTACTACTACTTCTTCAGAAGTACAGCTACCTACCCTTTTACTGCTGCTGCTAGTAGAAGTGATACACTCTCGTCATCCCTTTTTATTCCTCGTTTCCCTACCTACCTTATCTCTCAAGTGCCTCGGCGCATCTTCCTTTACTATTAAGGCTCTTTGCCCTCCTTGCCTCTGCCTGTACCTAACTTGAAATTGTACATTATTTCCTCGTGGAGACACGAGGTATCCTTCCTTCGACCGCTACTTGAGTTTTGAGACGGATGCAGCCCAGCCCATCGGGCCTATCGTCTCTCAAGTGAGATATTCCACAGAGGGAAACCCCCGCTACTACGATCCTACCGTTCTCGTCTTCTCCTTGAGAGTCTCTGCAAAGAACCATGAACATGATCCGTTTCCCGACATTTCGCCCCTCTCCGGCCTTTGACACCTCTTCCGCCGAAGGATCTCTTCGCGAAATCCTGCGCAGGGCATCTGACCCCGACCCATCGCACTCTACCCGATCAGAGTCCCCAAAGTCGATTCCGAGTTCGAGTCTTTTCGGCCTGAACGGCAAGAAAAAGAAGAGGTCGAGTTCGAGTTCGACTTCCACATCAACGCCGACTGCAGTGACAGCAGCTACGACTTCTTCCATGTGGGATGCGCCGACGATGACTTCAAGTTCCACTTCATCGCCCTCACCCGCCTCGTCACGCACTTCTAGTCCGAGAAACAGTCAGGCGTCAGCTTCTACACAAGAGATGAGTTCGAGTCTCAATCAAAGTCCGGGAACGAGAACGAGAACCAGAACCAGTGGGAGTTCGGGTTTGAGCGGAACGGCGACTAAAGAAAGAGGAGCATCAGCAGGGGCTGCGAGTCATCATAAACCACCCAGCTTTTCGTGGCGGTGACGAATTGACGATCCACACCACATGAAGTTTGACGCTGGTTCCTATGCAGCTACTACTGGGCTGCACTCCACTGCATTGCATGCCTAGGGTGAGAAGTCAGATGCCGTTGTGGACGAGATGATCAAGGGGAGCATAAGAGAGGTGGCACTGGATCCTGCGAGAAGTCAAGTCAAGTCAATGCGTCACGACCACGACCACGACCAACTACAGTTGGGCCGACGCCGATGAATGAAGAGGATAGGACACAAATAACCGAGGGGCCAGTGGTGGATGAAGCCACGCTGCGGTGGTACAAAGGAAGAGAAAAAAGAGTTCATGAAGCAATTCAGGTCAATTCAGGTCATATCAAGTCAGATCAAATTAATGAAGGAACACTACAGTAAAATATCGTCAGTGTCAGGTCGGATTTTTCTTTTTCAAGCGCTGGAGCCAATGTATTGGGTCGAGTTGAGCTGGGCGTTTGTGTGACATGGTTGTTTGTGATCGAGTACTACGGGAGTCGAGTCGGTGGGAGCACGGGCAGGTCTGCGCAGGAAGCGATTTGATCTCGACATCTTGCACATACTGGGTGGTGGGATACGGATCCTGGGGATGCAGTTTGCAGTTTGTGGGTTCCCGTCGTGTTGTACCTTACCTATGGACCTCTTCGAGGTATGTATCATTGTCATGCCTTTAGATAGGGACTGTAAAGATATTTAATGCCGTTCCATATAACGCACAATACTAGTACCTGATATGTATCTATATAACAGTACATATATGTAACCAGGGGTATGTGCTGAAGAGGTCTCCTAGTATTCTACCGCAGTGCTACGACCAGTACTAGTCGGACAAGAATAGTATATCTACCTAGTAGATAGCCACACCAGATGTGTGTGTGTATTTGTTTGTACTGTTGGAACCGTTGGTCGTACCGCCGGTGGGTGTGGTGTTTCGAGCTGAACACAATGTATATACTGTATCCTAGGTACAATATCTAGGTACTGTATCTCTCTCTCTCTCGGTGTGCCCAATCTCACCCACCTCCACCACTGCAGCTTAACTGACTGCGTCCAAGTTGGGGTCAAGGACAGGAAAAGAAGCAAAGAGATGGAATGGCGAAACGAACTAAGGCAACAGATACTTGTTACCGACACACAAACTTGCGGCGGTAGGAAGGAAGAGAGAAGAGTATAGCAAAGGAGCTTGCTTTTGTTCCGCTTCACTCATATGCGAAAGTAGTACTGTATCAATCCTAGCAGAATTGGACTTCCTTGCCCACTGCATCTGAGCACGACCTGGACCATGGCAAGTCAAGTCCATCTTGTCGACACACGAAACGCTTTGGTCCGTCTCCGCTCGTGAGTCCGACGGCATGAGCTTGACGCTGGAGATCAGACTCTTTCTCCCGCCTTTGGATCCCACTATGGCCCATACCACATATAAGGAGATAAACTGCTTCCCAGTTCTTCTTTTCTTCCTCTCCTATTTTGCAACTAGGACCCTAAACCTTCTGCTCGACCTTTTTCTCAACCTTCTTGGCAGCGCCTTCAATGTCCCGTTCCATTTCCTTCAATGCCGCGGCCGCGCTGCCGGCTTCGGACCGCTTGTACAAGAAGATCCGGGTGGTTTGGATAGTACCGACGAGGAACAGGCAGAAGTTGACGGCGGCGAGACTATACAACACACCCATTATTAGTCATGATCGATCGGACAACATTTTGCAAGTATAGTCTCTTGTTCTTTCTTCTTTCTTCCAACAACTTCTCCGTACAGGGTAGGATGAAAAGAAAAAGGCGGGACAGGTTCAACGTACAGAATGTTCCTGGGTTTGATGATGAAGCACCATCTTGTCCAAATGGAGCCGGTGGCCATGAGGGCCAGGTTCTGCGTCAACGACAGTTTCTCGGCTGGTCGGAGGAAGTCCGAGGCACCGGCGAGGACGACTCCCCATTTCATGACAGGGGCCCTAGATAGATATCCAGTCGTCAGTAAAAAATACACTTGTTTTGGAATTGCCAACACGAAAACGACTGTCGCATGAACGCCCAGGTCCGGGTCTTGGACCACTGCATGCCAGATGGAAGCCATGTCTCTGAATGCAGCGCGCTGCTGGTCTTAGGAATCTTCAATCCACTGCAGTGGTGACCCGTCCGGTCCAGTCAAAGATGGAAAGATGCCCATAGCCATAGACCGGAGTCAAGGCGCACATATCACCACCATACGGCCAACATAAAGATCCAAGATTCAAGCCATTCGACCCGGCGTATTCAACAATATCTTGCAAGGACATATCATAGTATTGTTCTCATACCAGAAATGCACGGTCTTGATCCCAACCTCGCTGGTCCATAATCTCTGCCACAAGCTCTGTTGAGAAGGAGCCTCAACTGCCGGGTTGGCCGTTGTTCCCTGGTACCGGCGGAAGATTGGGTTTCGAGCCTTGAACTGGGTGAATCGAGACGCGGTCTGACGAGACCATTGCTGCGCAGAACCGAAGCGCAGACCGAAGCGGGCGGACATATTGGATATCAATCGAGGTGCAGCGACAGGGACCGGGTGGACGTTCAAGGGGACAAACAGGAGAATAGATGGTCAAAGGAGCGGAGAGTCGCCTGACTGTTCAGATCAGGTCAGGACAAGGGTCGATGCGATGTTTGGGTGCAGGGAGAGAGAGATTGTGAGATGAGAGACTGCCGGTAAATGAGTAATTGGGAATTGGCCGAACCCGGGGTTGAGATAGAGAACTCCGGGCCATGAACGATGCGGTTAGTACCACAGCTGATGCTCCAACGGCGTTGATTGGTAGATGCTTAACTCCGAGTAGCCGCGACCGGCTTAGTCATCCGCTTTCTGCGTCTTCGGACTTATTGCGCTAATTGTGGCCTGCCGTGCCGTAAGAAACAGTACAGTCGGGGATGCTCGACCGTATCTGACCACCCAAACCAACCAACCAAAGCGCACCTCATTCCCGTCGTTTGTCATTCGAGTTCAAGTTGGGTTGTCGTCGGAGAAAGGTCACATTTCTGGAGTTATGCGCCATTGATCCTCTGTGTCCCTCGACGGTCGTTGCTGTTCCCTTTTTCTCAAGGAGTAGTTGTCATTCACCGGTGTCCGTGTCAGCGCCGTCATGGCGAGCAAATACGCCTTCACGCAAGGCCTGAGAGAACTCCGCTTCCACCTGTGCGGCTCAAGCCAGGCAAGTGAAGCTGCAAGGTACGCATACAGATACACACACCATACCTACGCATATTCCCCCAATCAAGATGCCATGTCCAATGCAGACGAATCTTTGTCGGCGGCAGCGGCAACGGCATCGCTCGCCGCTCGTGGAGTCTATATTCTCTTTTTACGAGAGCCGGTTATGCTGACAGACATTCTTTCGTTCGCCAGATCATTTCTCAAGCGAGCATACCCGACAATGAAGCATCACAATCCCAACACTCCTATTTTAATTCGAGAAGCTACAGGCGTGGAACCAAAAGTGTGGGCAAGATATGGTATGCAACTCAGTTTATTTCTTTGAGGTTGACAACGCCTCTCACGCTTTACGCGGGCGGGAAATTTGAGGGTTGCGAAAACGGGGAGAGGAAGGCAGAAAGAGAGCTGACATTTGGCGTTTAGGTTACGGCAAAGAGAAATCGGAATCGTTATCAGGTAAGCTTAGATTGGTATACTTCTTGAAACAGTACACATGTGTTTGCAGCTTGAATGCAACTCGTGTGCATTTGAGAACAGTGGTTCTAACTCGGTTATGGGATTGCAGGACTTTCGGACAAGGAAATTGAAAACCGCGTGACTGAGCTGGTCAAGCACGAATAAACACCCTCATCTGCTTTCGGAGGAGCGCCGCTTCACACAGATATTACCCCGGATAGCCGACGACTGTGTCATGGACCCGAACCGCTATGAATGAGAAAATTGCTACCCGGGAGGCCACAACAGAGAAGATTGGGATGAGAAGATCAAAGATGCACTTTATACCATTGTAGTTTCTTCCGCCAGTCTAGACATCGAGCACGCGCACGCCAGCCCTCGAAGGAACCGACATACGAACTGTACATAACATGTTGGGTGCCAGCGCGCCCAGCTCAGGTTATACGAATCAAAATTGGCATGATACCTTTCCATCTCTAGCATATATGCCATCTATTCAATACAGCCGCTGTGGTATTTTATTCTGCTGCAGTGACGTCTCTGGTTCACTAGCTTTCCTCCTGTTCAAACTTATACTGGGCCCAACCCATACTACCTTCAGCCAGTGTCCACAGCTGCTTTCCGGGATCTGGACCAGCAGCACCAACAGCAATATGAATAGGCAACAAATGCTCAAAAGTAGGATGAGCCTGTCTGGCATCCGGACGGGTGAGCAACTTGATCATCTTTTCGTCTCTCTTCTCGCCCGGCGGTGTCTCCACAGCCTCCTTGAGCGCATTATCGAACGTCGGCGCATATGGCATGGTCTGACCCGTCCCCATGACCATCATGTAATGTCTTAGATTGTGCACCGACATGCCACTGCCTATAACCAAGACATTTTGATCGCGCAGCTTCTGCACCGCCCGCCCCAGCCGAATGTGTGCCCCGGCATCTGTATCGTCGTCAAACAGACTGACCTGCACGATCGGGACGGTGAGCGGGTTCTCCTTCGGGTCGAACATGACTTTAAAAGGCACAAAGACGCCATGGTCCAATCCCCTCTCTGCCTCCTGCGTCTTGATCCCGTTCTCATTCAACAAAGAAATAACTTTCCTCGCCAGCTCCGGCGATCCCTTGTTGGGGAATTTTTCCGAGTAGTAGTGTCGCGGGAAGCCGTAAAAGTCGTAGATCAAAGGCTCCTCCTCGGCAACGTTGACTTCAATCGTGTTGGGCCGTTCGGCTTGCCAGTGTGCCGAAAAGACCACGACGGCCGCCGGTTTGATCTTTTCAGTGATTTTTCGACCTATTGCTTGGAGTTGCGGGTATACTGGATGGTCTTTTTTGTACATGGTGGTAGGACCCTGTTTGGTACAAGTAGGTATGTCAGTTTATGCGAAAGTAGGGTCAAATCGACTGATTTGATGGATGACCCAGAATAGCACAGCCTAGCCCAGGAGCACCAGCAAGCACCATAGAAAGCATTGAAGAGGAGCACATTGTTCAAGGAAAGGAGATAACTGCTGCTGATACTGATGCTGCTGCTGCTGCTGCTATAACTATGGAAGCGCACCGAAAAGGAAAACCGCACAAAACAAGCAAGAGACAGAGGGAGATTGGATTCCTCGAGAGTAACTGGTACTTACACCATGAGACACAAAATATACCGGCATTCGTTTATTCGCCATTGTGGATGAGGTGTTGTTGGTAGCTGTCGATGTCGATATAAACGACTCGGAACCTTCCGTTGTGCCGCTTGAAAACAATTGATGACTTATTGTCGATGATGATGTTGTTGTCGCTGCCCCTGCCCCCGCCGTGGTCTTCGTCAAGAAGCCCGCGCCCACCAAAGCCCTCAATGAGCCAAAGATGCGCGACAAGCCTGAACCGAAAGAGGAGGAGGAAGCCACCTCGTCGGAAATGGAAGTGCTAGGAGCAGTATTGGTGGGATCGTATATGCTTGCAGCCAACAAAATGCCCAAAATTGAGACGATAACAAGGCCACTGAAGAAGGTTGCTGTTGAACTGGAGCTTGCTTTTGCTTTTGTTCTTCGGTTTTCTTTTGCTGATGAAGGAGATGTTGAAGCTGATGCCGAAATGCCTTGAGATGATGTCGGTATGTTCAAATTCCCGTTATGGCCGTTGCGGACTTGACGAACCATAAGAGAATTGACCCGGTAGAGAAAGGGAGAGGTGCACCGGCAGTGATGCGCCTCAGCTGCCAATCGCGTTGGACTCTGGACACACCGTTCCGTTCCCTTGCCGCGGGGATATAGAGATGAGAGAGGAAACAATTGCAACTGTCGTGCAGGGGACTTCTTGCATTGAATAGGAGAAGAACGGTACGCAAGAATAGAGAAGGGTAGGGAAAGGCAGGTTATCAACTTCCCTTCGTTACAATAAATGTACCGGAGTATTTGTTTATATACAGTACCTTGAGGCAGGAATCGTTAGATATATACTTTTATTTTATGCAGGGATGGGTAAGAAGAGGGAAAGTACTTTACTGAACGGAGTAAAGGTAGCCTTGCGCGTGGGTGGGTGGTTTTGACAAGCGGACATTATGTGATGCGGAATTGGCCCGTCGTTGCTTTGTTAAGCTCCGAGTCCATGTTGTCCGCTGCCGTGACGAAAAGACAAGGGAGTTGGCCACTCCACTCGACACTGCACTGCACTTCTAGTACTACATATGTCAATGAATGAGCTGGCAGTGGACAGGACGATATCCAAAAACATTGAGGTTGACATTGCATAAGCGATGAGCAAGTTGGCGTAGCCGGCCTAGCGGAATCAAAACTCGACAGACGCTTTCACTACACAGTACAGTACTTGTTGGTATGAATCAGTCGCAAACTTGTACATTAGCTACAGTGACTATACAAAACATGGCTGTCTCCTTCAGTTTGATACTGTATCCAACATCGAGACGGTAGTAAGAATGTTGGTTGGGTTTACAATTTGGCCTTTGTCGTGCCCTGCTGTTTCTTCCTCTCCTCAAACCACTCTTTGATTTTCTGCCTGGCCACCTCGACGACCTCCTTGTCCTCCACAGTGGCAGGGACATTGACTTCCTTGTCGTAATTACCTTCGACGGCGTTTTCGACCAGTTCTCGCAACACGCGCCGTAGTGTTTTGCCGCTCCGGGTCTTGGGGATCATGCCTTTGCCCTGGACGATTCCTCCTAGAGAGGCGATGGCGCCAATCTGCGTGCGCACAATCTTGTTGATACTGTCAAAGAACTCCTTGGACGGCATTGCTGGTAGATCAGACGATGTTGAGGCCGAAGGAATCACGAATGCAAATGGTAGATGGCCCTTCATTGCATCGGGGATGCCAACGACACAGGCTTCAGCTACACCGGGGTGGGAGGTGATGGCTTGTTCAATGGCACCTAAGAAATAAATATTGTGGTCAGTATCCAATGGTCTTACCGCCCAAGAAAAACGCAGCGACATACCTGTGCTGAAGCGATGCGCTGCGACATTGATAATATCGTCGCTCCGGCTCATGACATGGACGTAACCGTCCTGATCGATCATTCCGGCATCCCCTGTGTCCAGCCACTTGCCGTTGAAACGCTTCAGATACCCCTTATAGAACCGCGAGTCATCATTAAACAAAGTCGTGAACCCTGTAGGAGCCAGGGGCATGGCAAGAACAATGTTGCCCATCTTGCCTTGCTCCACCTCATTGCCTTCATCATCCACAATGCGCACATCGAAGCCCGGCATGGGCTTGCCCGCGCTGCCAGGCTTGATGGCCAGGGCTTTGTGTTCTTCGCGGCTGTTGGGGTCGAGGCCAATGGCGGGTCGCAAGGCGAGACCAGTCATAGGACTGCCCGACTCGCTGGACCACCAGTGGTCAATGACCCGAGCGTCCGGGGCTGCATACTTGCTCAAAAGGTCTTGATAATGCACGATGATGGACGGCTCAGACCGTTCGCCTGCAAGGAACAACCCCCGCAGATGCCGCAGTGCACCTTTCTCCCCATGTTTTCGGAAGAACTTGTCCTCTGGATCCTCCTTTCGGATGGCCCGTAGGGCCGTTGGGGCGGTGAACAGTGTAGTAACTTTGTATTCGTCGACGAGGCGCCAGAAAGCGCCAGCATCGGGAGTGCCGATCGGCTTGCCCTCGTACAACACCGTGGTCGCACCGGCCAGTAAGGGGGCGTAGACGATGTAAGAGTGACCCACCACCCAGCCAATGTCACTACCGGTGAAAATGACATCCCCAGGTCCCTTGACGTCAAAGAGATATCTGATGCTGAGATTCAGGCCAACGGCATGTCCACCTGCTTCGCGGAGGACGCCCTTGGGCAGGCCTGTCGTTCCGCTGGTATAGATGATGTACAAGCCATCGGTGCTTTTCACCGGCACAGCTTCGGCCCGTACACCTCTGTTGCGGGCGCTCTTGACCAGCCTTTGCCAATTCCGCTGGCCGGCATTTTTGTTGACAGGATCCCATCTTCGAATCTCACGCTGCCAGATGATGGTCTTGCTGGGCTTCCAAGTGCTTCGTTCAATAGCTTCCTCCACAAACGGCCTGTACTCCAAAGGCCCCTTGGTGCCTTCGATGGCACAACTGGCGGTTAGAATGACCACTGGTTTGGCGGCATCGATTCTTTGGGCCAAGCTGGCGGCGGCGAATCCTCCAAACACCACGGCGTGCATCGCACCCAGCCGCACTGCAGCAAGCATGCCGAAGATGGCCGCCGGGATCATGGGCATGTAGATCAGAACCACGTCGCCTTTCTTCACTCCCTCTTCTCGTAGAACCCCGGCTAGAACCTCCACCTCTTCCAGCATCTGCTTGTAGGTGTATTTCTCTTTGGAGCCGCTCACCGGGCTGTCCCATATCATGGCAATCTTGTCCCCGTTGCCGGCTTTCACATGCCGATCAATGCAGTTGTATGTGGTGCTGATTTCGCCGTCCGGGAACCACGACCAGTGTGGATGGGTTGTGCCATCTTGTAGCCGTTTGGTCTTTCGCTGCAAGACGCTGCGGTAAGGTTTGTGCCAGTAAAGCTGTTTCGCGTGTATATCCCAGAACTTCTCAGGGTCGGCAAGAGAAGCTCGCTGCGCCTCGTCCTGTGCTATATTATGAGGGGCCATAACGGCGGAAGATCAGGGTGTTGAGACTGGCGCCGTCAGGCAGATATGGGAGACAACGGAACGGAACAAGAACGGGACTGGGTATGTATTGTGGCAGAATGATACAAGGCCGGGATCACAATATGGAGATGTGCTGGGATGTATGTACAGGGAGACACAGAAGAGCAGAAGGGATAGAATGAGGACCGTCGACTATAGTGGCATTCTCTCCGGGACAAGTGGTCAACCGATACCTGATAAATAAATGATTAAATCTGTACGAGCGGCAGGGCTCTTACTAAACAAAGATGAAGCACCGCGAAGGTCAGGACTCGGAACATATAGTACCCTGCCTGGGGATAAAGCCATGGAAGCGGGTGGACAGGAGTGTCCCAGGCTGGGTCAAGTGCCAGTGGGGTATGGGGTAGCCGACGCCCAGGACATCGGTCGGACGGAGTAGGGTCGCCGGTCTGTTCCAAAAGAGCCTTTTAGCCCGCCTGTCGAATGCAATAATACAGGCGACATCATTCGATCGCTGTCTATGGAAGAGGCTGGAGGAACGGCATGATTGGTAGGCCATGGCCGCCATTGCTGAGCTATTGTCTCGAGCCTGAGGGAGCAGTTTGTACCTAGCTTCAAGTTCAGCAAGGAACAAGAACCGAGGCTCTCACCGACGACTCGGAGGCTGCTTTGCGCAGGCTTGGCACTGGAAACACCTCCTAAGACAACTGCACGGCACCAAACACGAGCAACTGTTACGAGCCAACAGGTTATTGCTTACGACTGCCATTCGGCGATGTTTCGGATCCTCGAGGTGTTTGTCCCCGTGGAGTGACCTCCTTCGGTCCTCGAATGCCCCGCAATGGGACCTGCGGACGTACAGGAACATGAGAGGAGAAAGCTCCGAGAGAACACCGGGTTGGAAAGACGGACGAAAATGAACAGGTTAGCGACGACCTCTCCGTCCACCGTCCTCATGTTGTAGCGTGATGGCCAAGTCTGAAATTGATATTGTCGGCTTTGCCGATGCGCACACTCAGGCTGCACAGTACCTTACGTAAGTGGTAGGTGCAAAACTGTGAAGCGTCCAGCCTGACGGCGCCGCCCTGCGCTGCCAACTGGCACCAGATTTGGTGCGGAGATTAGGCTATCTCGCCGAAATAGCATCCGCTGTCAATCACACGTCTGGCACCGCATGAGCTGTCGAAGCCGTCAAGTAAAATAGCGCAATCATAGCGCAATGGCCATCAAAACAAAACAAACACACGAGCACGGCACCAGGCAGCTGTATCAGGGCAAAATCGAAAGGCAATTTTGAGGTGTTGTTTCCGAGTGCTTTCGGGCCAAAGGTCGAAATATGCAAGTTTTCCAAGGCAGGAAGGGGAGTGCAACAGTGACAGTCAGTTAGCAGGCAGTGTTTCCAGTAGAAAAAAGAAATATTCACATTTTGGATGCCCCGAGAACTCGCAATGCAATGCTATCTTCAAAAAAAGTTCCATTCATTAATATAATAACAGATGCCCAGGGTCTGAATGCAGGAGCGAGTCCGCATGCCCAACAACGACCAGTTCAAATCTTGGTCCAATGCGCCCGTGAGAAGCAACCTGCAAACGAATTGCAAAACAAGTCGTCATGTCCGCCATCTATGTCCATGCCATCGGTCGCCCACTGCAGCCGCGCTGACCGGTCGTTGTTTTCCCCTGAGCCACTAGATATCAAGAAGTCAAATATTGAGCCATGAGCACCACCAGCCGATCCGCAATGAACTAAATCATGCAGACCGGCTAGGGCCACTCAGACTGGACAGCAATCCACCATTTACAGGAGGAGAGCAGCGACGGCACCAACACCGGCAAGACCGGCACCAACGTTGGCAACGAGGGCGTTGGCAGCGCCAGTGTAGGTGGCCACAGGCGGGGTGGTCGGGGTGTAGGATCCCCAAGCCTGGGTCTTGGTCTCACCGGCCGGGACGGCAGGCTTGGTGGACTCAGCAGCCGGGACGGTGGAGGACTTGGCCCAGTCAGCCCAGGTAGAGGCAGCACCAGTCTTGGTGGTGACGGCGCCAGTCTCGGTGGCGGTCTCGCTGTGAGATTATTAGAATGCAGTTCACCGTTAGGTATGGTTAGAGCAATGCTTACCTGCACGAGGTCGAGGTCTTGGTCCAGACTGGGACGGAGACGGTGCATGGGCAGTCAGTGATGGTCAAGGTGGTGGCGCTCGTGATGGTCCAGGTCTTGCCAGCGTGGGTCAGGGTGGTGGCCTCCGGGCAGTAGGTGGTGATGGCAGTCACAACAGTGGTGGTGTAGCTGTCAGGAGGAGTGCTGGAGGTCCAGTCACCCCAGACACCAGTGGAGGTGGTCTCAGCTGGCTTGGTGGTAGTGGTGGTAGTCACAGCTGGGGTGGTGGTGGTGCTCTCCTTGGTCCAGTCAGCCCAGGTGCTGGTAGCAGCGGCCGGGGTGGTGGTGGTAGTGGTGGTAGTGGTGGTGGTGCTGG